CATCGATTTTGGACAATTTATTTTCGGATGGCTTTTTCGTAATTTCTTGGGCGACGAAACTCCATTTTCTTTGAATATTGAAGGCTACAGATCACGGATTCGGCCTGAGGCTATTCTCCAACGATTATTGAGTCCATTAAGCACCGATTTGGGCGGATTTATTCCGGGTCAATTGTTGGCAGATTCCAAAGGGGTACCATCAAAGATTTCGAGCGATTTATCCGAAATGCCATTTTCTTTCGATTCTGGAGGCTACAGATCACGGAGTAAGGCTGAGTCAATTATCCACCGATAATGAAGTCTATTGATCTTATTCTCCACGGATGATAAGTCCGTTAAGCATCGATTTGTGCCAATATATTTTTGGATGGTATTTTCGTAATTTCTTGGGCGACGAAAGTCCATTTTCTTTGAATATTGAAGGCTACAGATCACGGATTCGGCCTGAGGCTATTCTCCAGCGATGATTGCGTCTATTAAGCACCGATTTGTGAGGATTTATTCCGAGTCAATTTTTGGCAGATTCCAAAGGGGTACCATCACAGATTTCGGACTATTTATCCGAAATGTCATTTTCTTTCTATTCTGGAGGCTACAGATCACGGAATCAGGCCGAGGCTATTATCCACCGATAATTAAATCTATTGATCCTATTCTCCACGGATGATAGGTCCGTTAAGCATCGATTTGGGCCAATTTATTTTCGGATGGCATTTTCGTAATTTCTTGTGCGACGAAAGTCCATTTTCTTTGAATATTGAAGGCTACAAATCACGGGTTCGGCCCGAGGCTATTTGCCAACGATGATTGAGTCTATTAAGCACCGATTTGGGAGGATTTATTCCGGGGCATTTTTGGCAGATACCAAAGGGGTAGCATCACAGATTTCGGGCGATTTATCCGAAATGTCATTTTCTTTCGATTCTGGAGGCTACAGATCACGGAATCAGCCCGAGGCAATTATCCACCGATAATGAAGTCTATTGATCTTATTCTCCACGGATGATAAGTCCGTTAAGCATCGATTTGTGCCAATTTATTTTCGGATGGCATTTTCGTAATTTCTTGTGCGACGAAAGTCCATTTTCTTTGAATATTGAAGGCTACAGATCACGGATGAGGCCTGAGGCTATTCTCCAACGATGATTGAGTCCATTAAGCACCGATTTGGGCGGATTTATTCTGGGTCAATTTTTGGCAAATTCCAAAGGGGTACCATCACAGATTTTGGGCGATTTATCCGAAATGCCATTTTCTTTCGATTCTGGAGGCTACAGATCACGGTATCAGGCCGAGGCTATTATCCACCGATAATGAAGTCTATTGATCCTATTCTCCACGGATGATAAGTCCGTTAAGCATCGATTTGGACCAATTTATTTTCGGATGGCATTTTCGTAATTTCTTGGGCGACTAAAGTCCATTTTCTTTGAATATTGAAGGCTACAGATCACGGATTCGGCCTTAGGCTATTCTCCAACGATGATTGAGTCCATTAAGAACCGATTTGGGCGGATTTATTCCGGGTCAATTTTTGGGAGATTCCAAAGGGGGTACCATCACAGATTTCGGGCAATTTATCCGAAATGCCATTTTCTTTCGATTCTGGAGGCTACAGATCACGTAATCAGGCCGAGGCTATTATCCACCGATAATGAAGTCTATTGATCCTATTCTCCACGGATGATAAGTCCGTTAAGCATCGATTTGGGCCAATTTATTTTCGAATGGCATTTTCGTAATTTCTTGGGCGACGAAAGTCCACTTTCTTTGAATATTGAAGGCTGCAGATCACGGATTCGGCCTGAGGCTATTCTCCAACGATGATTGAGTCCATTAAGCACCGATTTGGACGGATTTATTCCGGTCAATTTTTGGCAGGTTCCAAAGGGGTACCATCACAGATTTTGGGCAATTTATCAGAAATGCCATTTTCTTTCGATTCTGGAGGCTACAGATCACGGAATCCGGCCGAGGCTATTATCCACCGATAATGAAGTCTATTGATCCTATTCTCCACGGATGATAAGTCCGTTAAGCATCGATTTTGGCCAATTTATTTTCGGATGGCATTTTCTTAATTTCTTGGGCGACAAAAGTCCATTTTCTTTGAATATTGAAGGCTACAGATCACTGATTCGGCCTTAGGCTATTCTCCAACGATGATTGAGTCCATTAAGCACCGATTTGGGCGGATTTATTCCGGGTCAATTTTTGGGAGCTTCCAAAGGGGGTACCATCACAGATTTCGGGCGATTTATCCGAAATGTCATTTTCTTTCTATTCTGGTGGCTACAGATCACGGAATCAGGCCCAGGTTATTGTCCACCGATAATGAAATCTATTGATCCTATTCTCCACGGATAATAAATCCATTAAGCAGCGGTTTGGGCCAATTTATTTTCGGATGGCATTTTCGTAATTTCTTGGGCGACGAAAGTCCATTTTCTTTGAATATTGAAGGCTACAGATCACGGATTCGGCCTAATTCTATTCTCCAACGATGATTGAGTCCATTTGGGCGGATTTATTCCGGGTCAATTTTTGGCAGATTCCAAAGGGGTACCATCACAGATTTCGAGTGATTTATCCGAAATGCCATTTTCTTTCGATTCTGGAGACTACAGATCACGGAATGAGGCCGAGGTTATTATCCACCGATAATGAAGTCAATTGATCCTCTTATCCATGGATGATAGTCCGTTAAGCATCGATTAAGGCCAATTTATTTTCGGATGGCATTTTCGTAATTTCTTAGGCGATGAAAGTACATTTTCTTTGAATATTGAAGGCCACAGATCATGGATTTGGCCTGAGGCTATTCTCCAACGATGATTGAGTCCATTTGGGCGGATTTATTCCAGGTCAATTCTTGGCAGATTCCAAAGGGGTACCATCACAGATTTTGGGCGATTTATCTGAAATGCCATTTTCTTTCGATTCTGGAGGCTACAGATCACGGAATCAGGCCGAGGTTATTATCCACCGATAATGAAGTCTATTGATCCTATTCTCCACGGATGATAAGTCTGTTAAGCATCGATTTAGGCCAATTTATTTTTGGTTGGCATTTTCGTAATTTCTAGGGCGACGAAAGTCCATTTTCTTTGAATATTGAAGGCTGCAGATCACGGATTCGGCCTGAGGCTATTCTCCAACGATGATTGAGTCCATTAAGCACCGATTTGGACGGATTTATTCCGGTCAATTTTTGGCAGGTTCCAAAGGGGTACCATCACAGATTTTGGGCAATTTATCAGAAATGCCATTTTCTTTCGATTCTGGAGGCTACAGATCACGGAATCCGGCCGAGGCTATTATCCACCGATAATGAAGTCTATTGATCCTATTCTCCACGGATGATAAGTCCGTTAAGCATCGATTTTGGCCAATTTATTTTCGGATGGCATTTTCTTAATTTCTTGGGCGACAAAAGTCCATTTTCTTTGAATATTGAAGGCTACAGATCACTGATTCGGCCTTAGGCTATTCTCCAACGATGATTGAGTCCATTAAGCACCGATTTGGGCGGATTTATTCCGGGTCAATTTTTGGGAGCTTCCAAAGGGGGTACCATCACAGATTTCGGGCGATTTATCCGAAATGTCATTTTCTTTCTATTCTGGTGGCTACAGATCACGGAATCAGGCCCAGGTTATTGTCCACCGATAATGAAATCTATTGATCCTATTCTCCACGGATAATAAATCCATTAAGCAGCGGTTTGGGCCAATTTATTTTCGGATGGCATTTTCGTAATTTCTTGGGCGACGAAAGTCCATTTTCTTTGAATATTGAAGGCTACAGATCACGGATTCGGCCTAATTCTATTCTCCAACGATGATTGAGTCCATTTGGGCGGATTTATTCCGGGTCAATTTTTGGCAGATTCCAAAGGGGTACCATCACAGATTTCGAGTGATTTATCCGAAATGCCATTTTCTTTCGATTCTGGAGACTACAGATCACGGAATGAGGCCGAGGTTATTATCCACCGATAATGAAGTCAATTGATCCTCTTATCCATGGATGATAGTCCGTTAAGCATCGATTAAGGCCAATTTATTTTCGGATGGCATTTTCGTAATTTCTTAGGCGATGAAAGTACATTTTCTTTGAATATTGAAGGCCACAGATCATGGATTTGGCCTGAGGCTATTCTCCAACGATGATTGAGTCCATTTGGGCGGATTTATTCCAGGTCAATTCTTGGCAGATTCCAAAGGGGTACCATCACAGATTTTGGGCGATTTATCTGAAATGCCATTTTCTTTCGATTCTGGAGGCTACAGATCACGGAATCAGGCCGAGGTTATTATCCACCGATAATGAAGTCTATTGATCCTATTCTCCACGGATGATAAGTCTGTTAAGCATCGATTTAGGCCAATTTATTTTTGGTTGGCATTTTCGTAATTTCTAGGGCGACGAAAGTCCATTTTCTTTGAATATTGAAGGCTGCAGATCACGGATTCGGCCTGAGGCTATTCTCCAACGATGATTGAGTCCATTAAGCACCGATTTGGACGGATTTATTCCGGTCAATTTTTGGCAGGTTCCAAAGGGGTACCATCACAGATTTTGGGCAATTTATCAGAAATGCCATTTTCTTTCGATTCTGGAGGCTACAGATCACGGAATCCGGCCGAGGCTATTATCCACCGATAATGAAGTCTATTGATCCTATTCTCCACGGATGATAAGTCCGTTAAGCATCGATTTTGGCCAATTTATTTTCGGATGGCATTTTCTTAATTTCTTGGGCGACAAAAGTCCATTTTCTTTGAATATTGAAGGCTACAGATCACTGATTCGGCCTTAGGCTATTCTCCAACGATGATTGAGTCCATTAAGCACCGATTTGGGCGGATTTATTCCGGGTCAATTTTTGGGAGCTTCCAAAGGGGGTACCATCACAGATTTCGGGCGATTTATCCGAAATGTCATTTTCTTTCTATTCTGGTGGCTATAGATCACGGAATCAGGCCGAGGATATTATCCACCGATAATAAAGTCTATTGATCCTATTCTCCACGGATGATAAGTCCATTAAGCATAGATTTGGGCCAATTTATTTTCAGATGGCTTTTTCGTAATTTCTTGGGCGACGAAAGTCCATTTTCTTTGAATATTGAAGGCGGCAGATCACGGATTCGTCCTGAGGCTCTTCTCCAACGATGATTGAGTCCATTAAGCACCGATTTGGGCGGATTTATTCCGGGTCAATTATTGGCAGATTCCAAAGGGGTACCATCACAGATTTCAGGCGATTTATCCGAAATGCCATTTTCTTTCGATTCTGAAGGCTACACAGATCACATAATCAGGCCGAGGCTATTATCCACCGATAATGAAGTCTATTGATCATATTCTCCACGGATGATAAGTCGGTTAAACATCGATTTGGGCAATTTATTTTCGGATGGCATTTTCGTAATTTCTCGGCCTACGAAAGTCCATTTTCTTTGAATATTGCAGATCAAGGATTCGGCTTGAGGCTATTCTCCAACGATGATTGAGTCCATTAAAATCACAGATTTCGGGCGATATAATGAAGTCTACTGATCCTATTCTCCATGGATGATAAGTCCATTAAGCACCGATTTGGGCGAATCGATATTCGGATGGCATTTTCGTAATTTTTATATCGACGAAATGCCATTTTATTTTGATTTTGAAGACTATAGATCACGAATTCAGCTTGAGGCTATTCTTCAACGATGAATAAGTCCATTAAGCACCGATTTGGGCGGATTTATTCCGGTTCTATTTTTGGTAGATTTCAAAGGGGTAACATCACAGATTTCGGGCAATTTTTTAGAAATGCCATTTTCTTTCGATTCTGGAGGCTGCAGATCACGAAATCAGGCCGAGGCTATTGTCCACCGATAATGAAGTCTATTGATCTTATTCTCCACGGATGATAAGTCCATTAAGCACCGATTAGGACCAATTTATTTTCGGATGGCATTATCGTAATTTTTATGTCTACGAAAGGCCATTTTATTTTGATTTTGAAGGCTACGGATCACGGTTCGGCGTGAGGCTATTCTTCAACGATGATTAAGTCCATTAAGCACCAATTTGGGTGGATTTATTCCGGGTGAATTTTTGGCAAATTCCAAAGGGGTACCATCACAGATTTCAGGTGATATTTCTCAAATGGCATTTTATTTCGATTCTGGGGACTGCAGATCACGGATTCGGCCAGAGGCTATTCTACAACGATGATTAAGTCCATTAAGCACCAATTTGGGTGGATTATTCCGGGTCAATTTTTGGCAGATTCCAAAGGGGTACCATCACAGATTTCGGGCGATTTTTCCAAAATGTCATTTTCTTTCGATTCTGGAAGCTGCAGATCACGAATCAAACCGAGGCTATTCTCCACCGATAATGAAGTCTATTAATCCTATTCTCCACTGATGATAAGTACATTAAGTACCGATATGGGCCAATTTATTTTCGGATTGCATTTTCGTAATTTTTATGTCGACGAAAGGCCATTTTCTTTAGATTTTGAAGGCTACAGATCACGGGTTTGGCTTTAGGCTATTCTTCAACGATGATTAAGTCCATTAAGCACCAATTTGGGCGGATTTAATCCGGGTCAATTTTTGGCATATTCCAAAGGGGTAACATCACAGATTTCGGGTAATTTTTCCGAAATGCCATTTTCTTTCGATTCTGGGGGCTGCAGATCGCGGATTCAGCCTCAGGCTATTCTACAACTATGATTAAGTCCATTAATCACAAATTTGGGCGGATTTATTCCGGGTCAATTTTTGGCAGATTCCAAAGGGGTACCATCACAGATTTCGGGCGATTTTTCCGAAATGCCCTTTTCTTTCGATTCTGGAGGCGGCAGATCATGGAATCAGGCCGATGCTATTCTCCACCGATAATGAAGTCTACTTATCCTATTCTCCATGGATGATACATTCATTAAGCACCAATTTGGTCCAATTTATTTTCGGATGGCATTTTCGTAATTTTTATGTCGACGATAGGCCATTTTCTTTGAATTTTGAAGGCTACTAATCACGGATTCACCCAGAGGCTATTCTTCAACAATGATTAAGTCCATTAAGCACCGATTTGGGCGGATTTATTACAGGTCAATTTTTGGCAGATTCCATAGGGGGTATCATCAAAGATTTCATTCGATTTTTCCGAAATGTCATTTTCTTTCTATTCTGGAGGCTGCAGATCACGGAATCAGGCCGATGCTATTCTCCACCGATACTAAAGTCTATTGATCCTATTCTCCACGGATGATAAGTCCATTAAGCACCGATTTGGGCCAATTTATTATCAGATGGCATTTTCGTAATTTTTATGTCGACGAAAGGCCATTTTCTTTTGATTTTGAAGGCTACAGATCACGGATTCGGCCTGAGACTTTTCTTCAACGATGATAAGTCCATTAAGCACCAATTTGGGTGGATCTATTCCGGGTGAATTTTTGGCAAATTCAAAAGGGGTACCATCACAGATTTCGGGCGATATTTCCGAAATGGCATTTTTTTTTATTCTGGGGGCTGCAGATCTCGGATTCGGCCTGAGGCTATTCTACAACGATTATTAAGTCCATTAATCACCAATTTGGGTGGATTTATTCCGGGTCTATTTTTGGCAGATTCCAAAGGGGTACCATCACAGATTTCGGGCGATTTTTCCGAAATACCATTTTCTTTCGATTCTGGAGGCTGCAGATCACGGAATCTAGCCGAGGCTATTCTCCACCGATAATGAAGTCTACTGATCCTATTCTCCACGGATGATAAGGCCATTAAGCACCGATTTGGGCCAATTTATTTTCGGATGGCATTTTCGTTATTTTTATGTCGATGAAAGGCCAATAACTTGTGATTTTGAAGGCTACAGATAACGAATTCAGCCTTAGGCTATTCTTCAACGATGATTAAGTCCATTAAGCACCGATTTGGGCGGATTTATTCCAGGTCAATATTTTGTAGATTCCAAAGGGGTAACATCACAGGTTTCAGGCGATTTTTCCGAAATGCAATTTTCTTTCGATTCTGGAGGCTGCAGATCACGGAATCAGGCCGAAGCAATTCTCCACTGATAATGAAGTCTATTGATCCTATTCTCCACGGATGATAAGTCCATCAAGCACCGATTTGGGCCAATTTATTTTTGGATGACATTTTCGTAATTTTTATGTCAACAAAAGGCCATTTTCTTTGAATTTTGAAGGCTACATATCACGGGTTCGGCCTGAGGCTATTCTTCAACGATGATTAAGTCCATTAAGCACCAATTTGGGTGGATTTATTCCGGGGGAATTTTTGGCAAATTCCAAAGGGGTACCGTCACAGATTTCGGGCGATATTTCCGAAATGGCATTTTCTTTCGATTTTGGGGGTTGCAGATCACGGATTCATCCTGAGGCTATTCTACAACGATGATAAAGTACATTAAACACCAATTTGGGCGGATTTATTCCGGGACAATTTTTCGCAGATTCCAAAGGGCATCACATATTTCAGGCGTTTTTTCTGAAATGCCATTTTCTTTCGATTCTGGAGGCTACAGATCACGGAATCAGGCCGAGGCTATTCTCCACCGATAATGAAATCTATTGATCCTATTCTCCACGGATGATAATTTGATTAAGCAAAGATTTGGGGCAATTAATTTTCGAATAACATTTTCGTAAATTTTTAGGCGACGAAAGAACATTTTCTTTGGATTTTGAAGGCTACAGATCACGAATTTGGCCTAAGGCTATAATTTAACGATGATTAAGTCCATTAAACATCGATTTGGGAGGATTATTCTGCGTCAATTTTTGGCAAATTACAAAGGGGTATCATCACAAATTTAGGGCGATTTTTCCTAAATGCCATTTTCTTTCTATTTTTGAAGCTACAGATCACGGAATCAGGCCGAGGCTATTCTCCACCGATATTGAAGTCTATTTATATTATTCTCCACGGATATTAAGTCCATTAAGCACCGATTTGGGCCAATTTATTTTCGGATGGCATTTTCGTAATTTTTTGGGCGACGAAAGGCCACTTTCTTTGGATTTTGAAGGCTACAGATCACGGATTCGGCCTGAGGCTATTCTTCAACGATGATAAAGTCCATTAAGCACTGGTTTTTGCGGATTTAATACAGGTCAATTTTTGGCAGATTCCAAAGGGGTACCATCAAAGATTTCAGACGATTTTTTCGAAATGACATTTTTTCGATTCTGGAGGGTGCAGATCACGGAATCAGGCTGAGCCTATTCTCCACCGATAATGAAGTCTATTGATCCTATTCTCCATGGATGATAAGTCCATTTAGCATCGATTTGGGCCAATTAATTTTCGGATGGCATTTTCGTAATTTTTTGGGCGACGAAATGCCATTTTCTTTGAATTTTGAAGGCTACATATCACAGATTCGCCCTGAGGCTATTCTTCAACGATGAATATGTCCATTAAACACCGATTTGGGGAGATTTATTCCGAGTCAATTTTTTGCAGATTCCAAAGGGGTACCTTCTCATATTTCGGGGGATTTTTCCTAAATGCCATTTTCTTTCGATTCTAGAGGCTGCAGATCACGGAATCAGGTCAAGGCTATTCTCCACTGATAATGAAGTCTATTGATCCTATTCTCCACTAATGATAAGTCCATTAATCCCCAATTCGGGCCAATTTATTTTCGGATGAGATTTTCGTAATCTTTTGGGCGACGAAATGCCATTTTCTTTGGATTTTGAAGGCTACAGATCACGGATTCGGCCTTAGGCTATTCTTCACCGATGAATAAGTCCATTCAACACCGATTTGGACGGATTTATTCCGGGTCAACTTTTTGCAGATTCCAAAGGGGTACCATCACAGATTTTGGGGGATTTTTCCGAAATGTCTATTTCTTTCGATTCTGGAGGCTGCAGATCTCGTAATCAGGCCGAGGCTATTCTCCACTGATAATGAAGTCTATTGATCCTATTCTCCACGGATGATAAATCCATTAATCACCAATTCGGGCCAATTTATTTTCGGATGGCATTTTCGTAATTTTTTGGGCAACGAAAGGCCATTTTCTTTGGATTTTGAAGGCTACGTATCACGGATTCGGCCTGAGGCTATTCTTCAACGATGATTAAGTTCATTAAGCACCGATTTGGGCGGATTTATTCCAGGTCAATTCTTGGCAGATTCCAAAGGGGTACCATCACAGATTACGGGCAATTTTTCCAAAATGCAATTTTTTTTCTATTCTGGAGGCTGCAGATCACGGAATCAGGCCGAGCCAATTCTTCACCGCTAATGAAGTCTATTGATCCTATTCTCCATGGATGATAAGTCCATTAAGCACCAATTTGGGCCAATTTATTTTCGGATGGTATTTTTGTAATTTTTTGAGCCACGAAAGGCCATTTTCATTTTATTTTGAAGACTAAAGATCACGGATCGGTCTGAGGCTATTCTTCAACGATGATTAAGTCCATTAAGCACCTATTTGGGCGGATTTATTCCGGGTCGATTTTTGGTAGATTCAAAGGGTGTACCATCACAGATTTCGGACGATTTTTCTGAAATGCCATTTTCTTTCGATTCTGGAGGCTCCAGATCATGGAATCAGGCCGAGGCTATTCTCCACCGATAATGAAGTCTATTGATCCTATTCTCCATGAATGATATTTCGTTTAAGCAACGATTTGAGGTAATTTATTTTCGAATGGCATTTTCGTAAATTTTTGGGCGACGAAAGAACATTTTCTTTGGATTTGAAGGCTACAGATCACGAATTCGGCCTAAGGCTATTATTTAACGATGATTAAGTCCATTAAACATCGATTTGGCGGCTTTATTCCGGGTCAATTTTTGGCAAATTACAAAGGGGTACCATCACAAATTTCGGGCGATTTTTCCTAAATGCCATTTTCTTTCTATTTTGGAAGCTACAGATCACGGAATCCGGCCGAGGCTATTCTCCACCGATATTGAAGTCTATTGATATTATTCTCCACGGATGTTAAGTCCATTACGCACCGATTTGGGCCAATTTATTTTCGGATGGCATTTTTCGTAATTTTTTGGACGACGAAAGGCCACTTTCTTTGGATTTTGAAGGCTACAGATCACGGATTCGGCCTTAGGCTATTCTTCAACGATGATTAAGTCCATTAAGAACCGATTTGGACGGATTTATTCCAGGTCAATTTTTTGTAGATTCCAAAGGGGTACCATCACAGATTTCGGGTGATTTTTCCGAAATGCCATTTTCTTTCGATTCTGGAGGCTGCATATCACGGAATCAGGCCGAGGCTAGTCTCCACCAATATTGAAGTCTATTGATCCTTTTCTCCGCGGATGATAAGTCCATTAAGCACCGATTTGGGCCAATTAATTTTCGGATGACATTTTTGTAATTTTTTGGGCAACGAAATGCCATTTTCTTTGGATTTTGAAGGCTACATATCACGGATTCGGCCTGAGGCTATTCTTCAACGATGAATAAGTCCATTAAACACCGATTTGGGCGGATTTATTCCCGGTCAATTTTTGGATAATTCCAAAGGGGTAGGGATGGCAACAAAACCCGAACCCACGGGTACCCACCCGACCCAACCCGGTCAACGCGGGTAAAACCCATGTTGACGGGTTTTGGGCCGGGTTCGGGTTTAAACCCGCTACACTATTCACCGGGTCGGGTTGGGTTTGGGTTTAGGTAAACCCGCCCCATGGGTACCCGCCCACACACATATAATTATTTTCCCGATATATTTAATATTCTAAATAATATATCTTCCTTAAACCACAAATATTTTTTTTATGTTTGTGGAGACATGTATAATTTGTTCTTTCTAATTGTTTAGAATGAAGTTGATATGATGAAGTGGAGAGTGAAGAAACTTAGGTGACGAGGAAAAAGCTTTCAATTAATCTTATTGTTTATAGATGTTTATCTTTAATTTTGAAAAATTTGTATTGATCATTTGCGGTTTGCTTGTATGCTCTAGATTGGTGTTTTTTGTATGATTAATTTGTATGAGAAAATTGATGTTAAACTTTTATTTTGAAAGAAACTTGTTATCGTAAATTTTTTACCACAAAAACCCACGGGTATCCATGAACCCGCGGATACCCAGGGGGTGGGGTTGGGTTGGGTTTGAGTTTTTCAAACCCAACGGGTTTTATCCCGGGTTTTTTGGCGGATAAACCCATGGGTTTGGGTTTGACAAAACCCGCCCCAATCCAACCCATTGCCATCCCTACAAAGGGGTAATCACAAATTTCGGGCGATTTTTCTTAAATGCCATTTTCTTTCTATTTTGGAGGTTACAGATCACGGAATCAGGCCGAGGCTAGTCTCCACCGATATTGAAGTCTATTGATCCTTTTCTCCACGGATGATAAGTCCATTGAGCACCGATTTGGGCAAATTAATTTTCGGATGGCATTTTCGTAATTTTTTGGGCAACGAAATGCCATTTTCTTTGGATTTTAAAGGCTACAGATCACGGATTCGGCCTGGGTCTATTCTTCAACGATGAATAAGTCCATTAAACACCGATTTGGGGGATTTATTCCGGGTCAATTTTTTGCAGATTCCAAAGGGATACCATCTCATATTTCGGGGGTTTTTCCTAAATGCCATTTTCTTTCGATTCTAGAGGCTGCAGATCACGGAATCAGGCCCAGGCTATTCTCCACTGATAATGAAGTCTATTGATCCTATTGTCCACGGATTATAAGTCCATTAATCACCAATTCGGGCCAATTTATTTTCGGATGGCATTTTCGTGATTTTTTGGGCCACGAAATGTCATTTTCTTTGGATTTTGAAAGCTACATATCACAGATTCGGCCTGAGGCTATTCTTCAACGATGAATAAGTCCATTAAACACTGATTTGGACGGATTTATTCCGGTTCAATTTTTTGCAGATTCCAAAGGGGTACCATCACAGCTAGGGCTTGGAGTCTAGACCAAACCGTATGAGAAACCGCGGTCTAGACCGTATCGTATGGTTTGGTCTGGACCGCGAGACCAGAACTATGGTCTGGTCTGGTTTGCGGTCTCCTCCTTTAGAGAGTGGTCTGAAGTGGTCTGGACCGCGGTCTACCGCAGTAAACCGTAACAGACCGCGACACATTACCTACTAACTCGGATAAAAATAACACTAAATTGAACCTCCATTTGTGTATTTGAAGAACAAAGTTAGTTGATTCTTCATCTAGTTGAGAGCCAACAAATTACCAAATGATCGCTTATTTGTTATCTCCTTATCAAAGAACCACACAAAAACCAGAAAGACTCATAAATAATATTCACAGACAATGTCTAGACTATGGTTCTTCTAAAAAAAAATGTCTACACTATGGAGTCGATAAAAATTAAACGATAGAAAAAATTCGTTCACCTTGATGAGATACAAAAAATTATTGAGAGATCATATGTGACTATTTTAGTGGTTCAAAATTACCGCGACGTCATCACAAAGGTTATCAACCGGAAGAACCTTCCGATCACTCGAGAGAGGAGAGAAGCGGTAGCACAAAGAGGAATAGGGAAACAAGGCTATTTGATGTGTGTGTGTTTGAAAATTGAAAAAACCCACTTCTATCCTCATATTTCTTCTCATTTAATTACGATCACAATTTTTTTTTGTTTCAATAGCATATTGGTCACTAGAATTTTTATTTTTATAGATACAGACGAATGGTTGGAGGGCGAACAAGAGTTAAATTTTTTTAACATGGTCTGTCTGGTCCAGACCATATCGGACCGCACCGTACAGATGTGGTCTGGTCTGGACCGTATAGTATATGGTCTGGTCCATGGTATGTATTCCAACCTCTCGGTCTGGACCACAAACCGTATCTATGGTCTGGTCTGGACCGGACCGCACCGTTTCCCACCCCTAATCACAGCCTTTGGAGGATTTTTCCGAAATGTCATTTTTTCTATTCTGGAGGCTGCAGATCTCGGAATCAAGCCGAGGCTATTCTCCACTGATAATGAAGTCTATTGATCCTATTCTCCACGGATGATAAGTCCATTAATCACCAATTCGGGCCAATTTATTTTTCGGATGGCATTTTCGTAAATTTTTTGGAGACGAAAGGCCATTTTCTTTGGATTTTGAAGGCTACAGATCACGGATTCGGACTGAGGCTATTCTTCAACGATGATTAAGTTCATTAAGCACTGATTTGGGCATATTTATTCCAGGTCAATTTTTTGAAGATTCCAAAGGGTATCATCACAGATTTCGGGTGATTTTTCTGAAATGCCATTTTGTTTCGATTCTGGAGGCTGCAGATCACAGAATCAGGCCGAGGCTTTTCTTCACCGATAATGAAGTCTATTGATCCTATTCTCCACGGATGATAAGTCCATTAAGCACCGATTTAGGTCAATTTATTTTCGGATGGCATTTTCTTAATTTTTTGGGCGACGAAAGGGCATTTTCTTTGGATTTTGAAGGCTACAGATCACGGATTCGGCCTGAGGCTATTCTTCAACGATGATTAAGTCCATTAAGCACCGATTTAGGCGGATTTATTCTGGGTCAATTTTTGGCAGATTCGAAAGGGGTATCATCACAGATTTCGGGGGATTTTTCCGAAATGCTAATTTCTTTCGATTCTGGAGGCTGCAGATCACGAAATCATGCCGAGGCTATTCTCCACCGATAATGAAGTCTATTGATCCTATTCTCTCCGGATGATAAGTCCATTAAGCACCGATTTGGTGCATTTTCTTAATTTTTTGGGCGACGAAAGGGCATTTTCTTTGGATTTTGAAGGCTACAGATCACGGATTCGGCCTGAGGCTATTCTTCAACGATGATTAAGTCCATTAAGCACCGATTTAGGCGGATTTATTCTAGGTCAATTTTTGGCAGATTCGAAAGGGGTATCATCACAGATTTCGGGGGATTTTTCCGAAATGCTAGTTTCTTTCGATTCTGGAGGCTGCAGATCACGAAATCATGCCGAGGCTATTCTCCACCGATAATGAAGTCTATTGATCCTATTCTCTCCGGATGATAAGTCCATTAAGCACCGATTTGGTGCATTTTCTTAATTTTTTGGGCGACGAAAGGGCATTTTCTTTGGATTTTGAAGGCTACAGATCACGGATTCGGCCTGAGGCTATTCTTCAACGATGATTAAGTCCATTAAGCACCGATTTAGGCGGATTTATTCTAGGTCAATTTTTGGCAGATTCGAAAGGGGTATCATCACAGATTTCGGGGGATTTTTCCGAAATGCTAGTTTCTTTCGATTCTGGAGGCTGCAGATCACGAAATCATGCCGAGGCTATTCTCCACCGATAATGAAGTCTATTGATCCTATTCTCTCCGGATGATAAGTCCATTAAGCACCGATTTGGTCCAATTTATTTTCAGATGACATTTTATTAATTTTTTGTGCGACGAAATGACATTTTCTTTGGATTTTGAAGGGTACAGATCACGGATTCAGACTGAGAATATTCTTCAACGATGATTAAGTCCACTAAGCACCAATTTGGGCGTATTTATTCCGGGTCAATTTTTTACAGATTCCAAAGGGGTACCCATCACATATTTCGAGCGATTTTTCCGAATGCCATTTTGTTTCGATTCTGGAGGCTGCAGATCACGGAATCAGGCCGAGGCTATTCTCCATCGATAATGAAGTCTATTGATCCTATTTTCCACGATTGATAAGTCCATTAAGCACCGATTTGGGTCAATTTATTTTCGGATGGCATTTTTGTAAATTTTTTTGCCACGAAATGCCATTTTCTTTGGATTTTGAAGGCTACAGATCACGGATTCGTCCTGAGGCTATTCTTCAACGATGGTTAAGTCCATTAAGCCCGATTAGGGAGAATTTATTCCGGATCCATTTTTGGCAGATTCCAAAGTGATACCATCACAGATTTCGGGCGATTTTTCCGAAATGCAATTTTCTTTCGATTCTAGAGGCTGCAAATCACGGAATCAGGATGAAGCTATTCTCCACCGATAATGAAGTCTATTGATCCTATTTTCCACGGATGATAAGTCCATTAAGCACCGATTTGGGCCAATTTATTTTCGGATGTAATTTTCGTAATTTTTTGGGCGACGAAAGGCCAGTTTCTTTGGATTTTGAAGGCTACACATAATGAATTTGGCCTAAGGCTATTCTTCAGCGATGATTAAATCCATTAAGGTCTCATTGATTTCCACGAGGAAGGTAGATGGTGGCAGCAGCAGTCGCGGAAAGTTGGAAGCAATGTTCGGCTTCTTCGGCGGCGGCGGCTGGCGGAACGCTTCTGTATGCAAGAGGGCAGTAACGCTGCTGCAGAAGCACCTGAGAGACTTGAGAGACTCGAGTGTTGCGTTGGTCGAAGACTGTACTCGCAGTCGCAGAGTAGCGCGATTCGTAAGTGACGGAGACTTGGGTTCCGCCTTCACCGCCGCGGAGCGGATATTGAGGGAGGAGAACGCGATTCGTCTCTAAGAGTTGCTGTACGAGTCGTGCGAGATCGTCATGGCCAATTTCTCGTATATCTGTCGTCACGTGGACTGCCCTTGGGAGATTAACAAGGTCGTGTCCACGCTGGCCTTCGCCGCCACACGTTGTCCCGATCTTCTCGAGCTTTGGATCATTCGGCAGCTCTTCTTCGAGCGTTACGGCGAGTTCTACGATATTGCGGCGGTGGAGACGGTGGAGGGTTTGCATGGGAGTTGCGTTGACTTGGAAGTCGCGGAGAGGATGGAGTGGAAGCATGCTAGGGTTCCTTACGATACCACGCTTTGCAAGGTTTGTGCGATAGTTAAGCCAAGGAAGGAGGACGTTGGAGCTCGCGATGAGGAAAATTCTACAGGGGCGACCGAACGGTGAAAGTTATACCACTTGATCCTGAAGATTTGCAGCAGTAGTGTAGTGGTGCCTGTTTACTTTTGGAGAAAGTTATTGTATGGGATTTAGAGAGGATAAACACTTGAACAAAGTAGTGTAATATTCTAGGGTTTCATTTATTTGAATCATTATACTGAAAATGTTAATCAGAAGTAGTACGCATGTATGTTGTGTTTCTTTAGGTCGTAGACTGCACTTTCTTACTTTGTGTTATACATATTACAAGATAGTGTTTGCTAAACGGACTTTCTTAGTTCGTGTTATACATACTTCAAGTAGTGTTTGATAAACCATACAATTATAATACTGACAGTTTGACTGAAGAACCTACTTATTGGAATAAAAAACATTATAGAATTAAATCGAAACAAAATGAATTATATCAAAATTAGACCACAATTTAGGCACGCAATACACTATCAAGTCATTGTCTAGAGATTAGCCTTTATTTTCAACTCTTGTAAATATTTAAAAGATAGATTGATTGAACCACAACGGGTGCCTGAAACTGAACCGCAAAACCCACAACGGGCTCGACAACAAGCGTGCAACGAAAAGCCCAATGGCAAGTCCGGCCCATAAGCAATATTATATGATATAAAGTAGAAACCCACCATCAGCACACCATACTCCAAGTCGCCAACCACAACAAACAAATTTCATCTCCTCCGTGGCATTTCTTCTTCCACTCAGCCACTTACCTCTCCCAAATGGCCGCCCAGGGCTCCATAATCTTTTCCTACGGCACGCTGAAGCGAGGCTTCCCAAATCACAACCTAATGGAAGACCTAATCTCCTCCGGCGACGCCGCTTTCATCACCTCCGGCGTCACCCAGCAGCCGTACCCGCTGGTGATCGGGCCCAACGGTATCCCGTACCTGATCAACATCCCGGGCCAGGGCCGGCGCGTGAAAGGCGAGCTCTACCGCGTGTCGTCGCGTGGGATGGTGCGCGTGGACGAGCTGGAAGGGACCCGCGTGGGGCACTACGAGCGGCTGCCGATCCGGGTGGAGAGAAACGGCGACGGCGACGGAGGTGATCAATCGGCGGCGGAGGCTTATTTCGCTAATCGGGCGTTTGGCGAGAAGATGTGGGAGAGAATCGGGGAAGGGCTGAGCGAGTACACCGTGAGAGACGGGGAGAGCTATGTCAGGAAGGAGAATCGGCCGCCGGGGAGCAGCTTTCTCGGCGAAATCCAATTGTTTCTACACCCCCGTTCTTAGAGCTTCATTCTTTTCCCCCTGTAATTTGCCCAGTCATTTGATCTATTTTTTTTATAAAGGTGATCTCTTTATCTACCATAAGGATCAGGAACCTGATAGGCCAAAAGATGCAAAGAATCATATTTCCAGAACATAGATTTCTTGATGCGATAATGCGCAAGCAAACAGAAATCATAACAAAACCCCAGAAAAAAGAGCACCAAGTTCCACAAGTACATGAAGCTGTGTTGGGCAACATTCAGATACCTGATCCTGTATATAACAAAAGTTTGACAAAGGCCAAAAAAAAAAACTAACGACTATACAGGATGACGGCTTACTGGTAACTTGGCGCCTCTATTTCTATGAACTACTTGCTAGTTAATTCAGCTGGCTGGCTTGTAATTGAGGGTTCAGAAGCCACCAATCTGTTGGTTTGCATAACCGCCACCGTACCTGTTACCATGCGATTGAGGACCAGTGGCTGACCCTGGACAGTCTCTAGCAAAGTGCCCAAACTGGTGGCACTTATAGCATTCGCTTCCGCCTCCACCGCCGCTGCCACCGCCACCGGCGCCACCTGCACCAGCTCCATACAATGTTCTATTGACATAGGCCCCTCGTACAGGCTGTTGAGGATTTGTGAAGGTTCTAGGGCAATTGGAAGCGACATGGCCTGTGCCTCCACAGATGTCACACAAGACTGGTCCCCCAGATGCAGTTGGTGTAGGAACCCTTGAGTTGTATTGGTTACTGTACTGACCTGCTTGATTGGCCGGCAAGCCCATTGAACTCGATCCTGTTTGCCCACTTCCGAAATTCCCCTTTCCAGGAGAACTCTGCACAGAATTTGTGTAACTACTTTCTACCTTGGGGACTGAAGCAGTCAGGTTCCCAGATTTTAAGTTTTCCATCAAACTCAGAAAGGTTTTGGATAGGGATCCATAGTTTACATTATCTGCCTTGACAAGAGTAGACTTCACTCGCTGCTCGTCACTGAATGTTTCCTCTTTCACTTTCAGCTTGAATATATATCTGACAAACATAACTTGACGAAGAACTTTCGAAAACCCATCGTCATCTTGTTTCTCAAACTTCATAAAGTAGAGGTCTTTAGCGGATATTCCCATCAGCTCCTCAGCTGATTCCTGGAAAGCAGTTACCCATGTTGAGCCCGTGTGGTCTTGTATCTGGAGCGAAAGTATGTACCTATAATCACATTCATCAACAGATTTATCACATCGGTCACACCGCCACCTCCCATCGCCATTGTTTGTAACCTTCTTGTTACACTGTCGGTCCCCAAGCATTAGAGGGCAAGCTGTGTAGCAAAAATTATCCTGCTTTATGAATACGACAGTCGCATTGACACTAATCCAATCTGGTTTTTCTGAAGTCCCAAGCTTCTCATCTTTGATTTGAGAGATAGTCTTCACAACATCAGTCCTTCCTGCACCAGACCATTCCCTGGAAATAGAGATAGAAGGGGTATTTTTCCCATCCCTGTCAAACCATTGTTTCAGATTTTGAGCTTCCGCAAAATCAGGCTCGATAAGTAGCTGACTTGTAGAAATAGTACCCACAGCCTTGCCACTAAAGTCATTAACCCTGCCAGATTTGACTGCCAGAACAGGGAAGTGACCTGCCTCGCACATATTTTGCAGTTCCTGTCCTTCTGCACCGCAAAAGTTTCCCCACAAGGTCAATTCAACACTACGGCCAGACATGTCTTTCAGCTGTATACTTCTCTTCTGAGTTTCAGTGCCATTTTTTCTCATTATCGAGGTTGCTGGACTAACAGAAGACACAATGCCAATTATATCCACAACACTGTTGTTATCCATCCCCTCGACCTCACTTATTGGACGAAAATGAAACTGCTGCCTCGGGATTGAGTTGTCATCATCATAACATTGCTGAACGGTTGAGCCATTATCCAATGAAATCTCTAGATCGTGATGAAGGTGATTGAAGTTCTTTTGGGCAGGTTTTAAGGTCCCTTTGGAAATCAAATACACCCTGCCAACTTCAATCTGGGAGTAGAACTGATCAGCAACAGCATTAAAGCAGGTTACTCTAATTTCACCTCCATCAGAATCAAGAAGATCAAAGGAGAATACTTTCCCGTCACCGCGAGGATTGTTATAATGCCTCATTTCTGCTTTTGCAGTCACCCTAGCTTTAATTGTCCACCTTCCCTGGTATGGATTCAAAGCAGAAATTGGAATGATCCTCGCGGGAGCTTCATTCCTTGCCACTGGTCCCCTGTTGCTGTACATTGGAGGCGGTTGCTGATATGCTGGTTTAGACATATTAGAATAACCACCTGGAGGAACCCCAGTTCCTTCCTGCCTGGAGTTGCGGAAGGCTGCAGACTGGTTAGCATATGGCATTCCTGATGACAATGATCCTAGCGATGTAACACCAGTTTCAGACTTCATACCAAAAGAAGACACAGTGGTACCACCAGCATTTCTCGCGGAATCATAACCCGTAGTATAAGAACCACTGTTTGGTTGATTAAGCCTAGGATATTGCACCGAGTTTGCAGGTGGATTCGGGTTTGTAACTGCCGGACCAGCAAGGGGTGGATTTGGTGGATCTGGTGTCCCTGACGACTTGAGCAATGAGGGTTTGCCAATCAGAGGGCATTCTTGAAGCAAAACATCCAATTCAAGTATAATAATAATCCTGCTTACAAGAAATCAAGTGTCACCAAATCAACTACCAGATTTCTCAACAAAAAGGAGACAGTTTTAACGAAGTCGGATGTTTGTTACAACACATCCTACTAATTTTCTTCATCGGATAATAATCTGTCATAACCATTAACCGCCATACTCATGTGAAGTCCCAAATTGAAAATCCCACACAATTAGCATTCTAAGTAGCCAGAGAAAATCAAGGGATGCAATGAAAAACCATCAAATGACAAATTCAAAACGGGGATGGATGGATAACTCACATTCTATTTTGGATGACCGAGCAAGAGTACTGTTTCATGTGGACTATCGAACCAGCTCGCAAGTTCCCATTTTGCACCAAGTGGTTAAGCTGCGTGCCCAGCATGGCCTGCTGCAAGTGCGAACCATCCGACAGCAGAAGCCTGAACCGGTCGCCGTGCTGCTGCTGCGGCGGCTGCTGCTGTTTCGCCTGGACCTTCTTCAGCTCCGTCACTTGCAAGGTCGGCTGCAGTTCGCCCGAAGTAGCGCCTCCGGCAATAAGGGCGATGGCGCCTTGCGTTAGATCCGCCATTGCGGGAGCAGTAACACTCTCTATCCTAGCAGCACAAAAGCCAAACGAAAAGAAACGGGGAAGACAGGAATCAAGAAGTGAAATCGGGTGTTTCGAAGTCGAGATGGCGAGAGGGCAAGAGCAAGATCCAGCCACTGGGCAATCGATGGAGAAGGGGAAGAGAAAGGGGAACGCGGACGGTTTGTTGGATTGGGTTCTGAATTCTGGGGGGGAAAAATCAAGAAGAAAACCCTAGAAGAGAGAGAAATTGGGGCGCCATTTCGAATTTAACTGGTTTTCTGAGAGGGAAACTAGAAAGGCTTCGGTTTATTTGGAATGCAGAATATTTACAACGGAGGTCATCATATTTTCCTGCAATCACATTTGGATCCCCCCCACTAGCCGAAGGATGCGGGAGACGGAAGTTATTACTCGCGCACGTTCTAGATCTGCTTCTTCAATACGCCAACCGTAGTGAGTCGTGGGCTCGTGGAAGTCTTGGGATAGGACTTGGAGCTGGGCCTGGTGCCTTGGGTTTCTTTGGGGTTGTGGGCTTCGTTTCTCTGTTACTGATGTTTCTTTGTATTTGAGTTCTGTGGTTTTTCATCTTTGGGCTAGACTATCTTTCCTTTCATGGATCTTGGCCCAAACGCTTTATCATTTTTTTTTAATGAAATAAGGTTTTGCAAGTAAAATTAATCTATTTTATCCGTAGTCACTGAGATTAGTTCAACAGTTCAAGTTTGGTTGTCCTCCGTTAGTCTCCGTTAACTTTTGCTGATGTGACAATCGACTTTGATAATTGAGCGTTAAATAGTTATTCTATGTGACAAATAAAAATTAATCTATTACAATTTCCACCTCTTCATGCCTCCGTTTGAAGGGGAGTGTTGCGGATCATGCATGTTCATGGATGAACATAGGTTGCATGGTTTGGAGCTGGATTTTGAGTTATGTATTTTAATATATGTTTCGTGTAGCTAATTGTAATTAGTCACTTAGTTGTATCTGAAACCACGTGAATATATCTTATTACAATATTCTAGACTCATTCACTTTAACACTTTGTTCATCCATATTCATAAAACACAATAATTATCATTTAGACCTCAAGTCTGGTTCATTTTCTCCCAATTTTACAAACAGTGTGACAAATAAATTTAATTTTACATTGATATTCGATGGAAAAAAAAAATTAGATTATATAAAAAAATTTCACACATGATTGTTTGTAATGGTGCGGATAGGGTTTTTCCGAACCACATACTGGTTGTGGTTGGGTTTGGATTCAAAGCTAATTAGTTCATTATGATTGTAACGTTCAAAAAATAATATATCACCAATAGTAACTCAGCGCCGGGAACCCACTCCGTCAAGCCACAAATAATCCCCCACCTTGCCTTGGAAATCACCGGATCCGTGTAGGAAAAGGAGTAATCCAAACAGGAAATTCCAAAAACACAATTATATATGTATAAATCAATTTCATTGGTTTTGAAATTGATTTTTTTATGGAATTCATTTTCAATTCTAAATTTTAAATTTTATGGAATGAAAATAGTTTTACCAATTTTGAGGAGTTGAGGTGAAAAATTCAAATCAATTACACATATATTTTAATAATTATGATAGTATGACATAATTATTCTCAATTGTGGAGAAAATTATCTATATATATAATTCGGCGCCAATGCTCCATATATGCGTGTATAATCTTTCTCGCTCCGTCGCTACTTTACCTAATACAAAATCATGAGTATTGAGTAGCGCAAGCTCTCTTAGTTCCGGAGAAAAATAAGTTACAGACTTACAGTGAATATTTTTAGAAGATAGATCTTGAATTTGTTTACTAGTTCTTATAAATTTTATTTTTTTACTTGGTTGAATTGGTCAGATGATAATTTTAACACTTGCGTTTTTGGAAGATGGATTTCAATGAGCAGTAACAATTTCTTTGATGGACCTTAACAAGGGTAATAGTTGAAAACTTTTGATTTAATTTAGTTCTTAACTATTTTAGAATTTGCTTCACTTATTTTAAAGATTTAAAAATAACATTTCAAACATGAAAACTCATTTAATAATAATTTTATAAAAAAATTTATTTTAAATTAAAATAAATTCTCAATTCATTTAATTCCAAAATATATGCTAAGTATCAGGAAAACAACCATTAGAAAAGAACAATTTTATCCATTTAAAAATGGCGGAGGTGAAAAAAGAACCAAGGTCGAAGAGGCGGATAGAGAAAAGGAGCCGCTACGTGCGCTGTGTGGGGATTTTGGAAGCTGAGAAGAGGATCGAGGAACAACCGAGGAGAAAGAGCGGGAGCAAGGTTTCGCGCGACCAGATGACTCGAGGAAAGCAGAAGATAGAAGCGCAAAAGAAGAATGCAGAGAAGAATCAGAAATCCAAAGGCTCTCAATTTGAGGCCAGAGTCGTTGCTCTCAAAGTCACTTGCCCCATCTGTAAGGTACGTCATCTGTGATCCACTGACCACCAGATCTCCCACTTTCTTTCTCCTGCTGATGCTGAGAATTTCGAGCTCTGGGGCGATCGTAATTGGCACTTCCCGATCCCTAGCCCCCCCTTTTTTTTTTGTTCCGTGATCGTCGAATTCCTTCCGGATGACACTTCCGGTGGTGGATATCAACATCGTTGTTATTAATCTGCTTGTGTATGCGCCTCTGTTTCGTCCTTCTTCCTGATCGTATTTCTCAAACTTGCGAATTGTCGCCTCTGGCAAACGTTAGGGATGGCTTGGATCCGATGCATATTGGAATGGTGCAGAGTAGCTAGGGATTGAGATGAGCGTACGAAACCATGTATCTTTGCGATTCCATAATTGCGATAGGCGTCATACTTCCTGAGAAACGAAGCTTCAATCGGACAATTTCAGCACCTGGCGTTCTGCTTTTTTAAGGGGGGGACAAGTTATGGAGTAAAAAACCTTATGACTTGTGTTTGTGATTTGTGTATGTTAGTTATTAAAAGTTCCTGAGAATCGATTCATGCAGTACACTCTTGCATTTCCGATTTTGCGTCTGTTGTTTCCTGCTTGCACTTCTCCTAATCTTATTGGAGTGGCTCAGGCGTGAATTTCTGCTTATGGATCAGTGTGATTAGTATTTCAAGAAGTTTTTTACTTTCAGTAGATGAGGATTATAGGTTTGATGTTGAAAAGTACTTCAGGTCTGGATAGGTAACTCGATTGGTCTTTTGTAGCGAAACCCGAAACCAGCAATATGGTAGCATGGATGAACTCATGATGCTAACGATAGATGGATGATTCCTTTTGAGATGTATTAGAAAAGGAATTAAGCAGAGTTTCATAGGGCATATTTCTCTGGCATGGAAGTATTCTCATTCTTCATATTGTTCCTAAATCCTAACCTTTACCTTTCCCCTTTTGTGCTCTGCGGTTGACGTTGGTTACTGCTGGGATAATTCCCAGAACTACCCTGCTCTTGGGGTGAAGGCAACATTTGAAATGAGAGGGCATGGCATGGCGGCTAGTTTGTGTTTAAGTAGAATACGATTATCAATCATCATTTTGCTTCCGGATTCTTGCCTTATAGTTTGCGATTGTTGCAGTTGATTTTGTGACTAATCCGAGTTTTCTCTATGTTGTGTGATAACTTCTAAATTATGCTGCAAATGACCATTGTGTAGAAAGATGCATATTCATGCTTCTGTATGGCCAGAAGTTATTAGTTGGAATCATGGGTATGGTTATTGAATGGAAAGATGGTTGTTTACATCGTCAGTTCAGTTGTTTGTTTCATGACTATTAAGACTTAGAAAGCTTACTTGTGGTGCTTACTATATAATCTCAAGGTAGAATTACTGTACCGATATGATCAAATTGCTTTATTATTCTACGGCGAAGCTTATGGCTCGACGTTGGTATCAGCATCTTTGTCTACATATTCCAGAAACACTTTAGAAATTCAGTGCTATCTACATTTTGCTTAATCGTTTTGCTTACTCTTATTGAGAACACGAATGTCCTACCTTATACTGATGCATATTCGATATCCGTTTCTTCTCGACTCATTATGACGTGATGTTGTGACTTTCGCAGGTACAACTAGCCAATCAAAATCAGCTTGGGGATCATTATGGAGCTAAACATCCAAAGGAGAAGCCCCCTGCTGAATCAAGCTGAGTACAGTGTACCTTGTGTAAAAATGTAAAACTTGGATCCCGCCAAAGACGAGTGGGATTCGACTAATACTTCTCTTATGTGCGAGCCTTTGAGTGATGGAAATGTGTGCTAAGTTATGTTTGGTGGCTTCTGTCGTCTGAGATATGACTCTGCATTTTTTTTTTATCTCTTTGTGGAGCTTTTCTGCTGTGGATGATGAACCAACTATGTATCGCGAATTCAGTAATCATGCTTGTGTTGCTGGCTTGTCCAGGCATCGTTTATCCGAGTTTCGACTGATGTGTCTAACCAGTTACACGATTTCTTGATAGAGCTTCAATTGATGTTGATCGATTGTTCCAGCCTCTAAACTCTAAAGCCTGTCTTGTGGATTCTTGGTTATTACATTTCTTAGTACTGTGAGCTAACATATTGTTGTCATCACCTCCTACATAATTGTCGATCGGCACAAAGCTAATAATCGAACACCATACTCGACAAGCATAATTTATCGAACAAGAAAAGATGTATTTATAAAAAAAAATATATAACTCGAAATAAATCTAATTTATGCTAATTGTCATATCATATAATCATAAGCTTATCATCTTCTGAATAAATAAACCATTCCCGCCCTTCCTAATTTTAGTTTTTTCAATTTTAGAAAGATAGAAAATAAACAACACAGCCATTGGCGCGAAATGCAATTAGAACTTCACTGAAAAGGCGCCAAGGCGGGGTTTCTGCTTTCCTTTTGTCAGTGGTCACCGACTCACAGCTAGCAGCTCACTCAGCGGGACGATTCCTGAAGTACAAGCGGTTGGCCGTCGAAATTCCTCCGTCGGCGGCCAGTTCTCTTTCTTTTCTTTCCGGTAAGGCTTACGATTCCACCAATTTCCTCCTTGTGCTTCGTATGTTTGCCCTTGCCGCCATCCTCACCAACTGGTTCTGCATCCGTTAGGTGCTGCTCGGCTGCGAATTCTATCATCGAGAGCTCTGTAGCTCGCGCTCTTTTCTCAGGTTAGTTTCTGTGCGCAATCGACTTATCAAGCGAAATCTCCCTTCTTACATGGTAGTTTTCGACCTGAATTTCCTTCGTCTCTGAACAACATTTCGGAAAAGCAAAAAAAGTAGACTCTGTGATTATTGAATGTTGGAGATAGATTTCTCTCTGGAGTGTTCTTGATTGGCTGCATCTCTAGAAATCACGATCCTTCGGCTTTTCAAGTATAACTGATTTCACTGGGATGGATAGCTGCTCGTAATTTCAATTCGTAAGAGGCCAATTAGGAACTCTTTCTGAAAAAAACTGTGTGGCTTGTGTTTTAGGTGCTTTCAATTGCCTAACTTACCCTATAATCCCTGAAATAAGCTAAGAAAGGAGATGAAGTTCAAGGCGTTTCTTACAGAGAATGGGGTCATGCTGCTGGAGAGAAGGTTTCTGCCAGCTCTTGACAAACTAGGGAAGACATGCCATCTTCTGCTGACCAAAGAGCGTGTCATCTTCCTTCACAACCTTCTCAATGGTGATGGCATTCAGTGCATTGCTCAGTTTCAAAAAGAGGTACTATTCGATGACTACCGAATCTCCAGCCAGAACGAAGACTGCATCGCCTTTGCCGTGGACCTGTCCCTCCTTCAGCGAGCAGTTCGAAGCAGTGTCAGCATTTGCAGCGAGTTCGGTGCAGGTGGGTCACCCTCGAACCGCCTCCAGATCAAACTGGTGAAGAAGCTCCCACCCAAATGTACTCAGCCAATGCCATATCTCACGTTTGAGACCAAGGGCTACAAGGCTGCAGTTATCCAGGATGTCCCCATTTCAAAACCCTTGCCGAGAGCGCAAGTGCTAGAGCTTCGAGCTGCTCTCGAGCTGGCACAAGAACTTCCCCCGACATTGGTCCAGGTTCCCGATTTGAACCAGATCCAGAACTATGTGGACCGAATGAGACATTTGGGGGAGATGCTGAATGTCTCAATAAGCAAGTATGGGGATCTTCATCTTCAAATTTCAACTGCTTTGGTTTCACTTGGGGCTGAGTTCAGGAAGTTGTTGGTTATTGGGGAGAAAGCACAAGCTCCACCTGAGGATGAGAATCTCAGTGCTGAAACTCGACATCAGAGGGCGATTATGAGGCAAGATGGGCAGTCTGTGCATGTGAGTGTGAAGCATTTCGCAAAGAGCCTTCAGTGCAACCTGACTAAGCCAGATTGTGCTTTCTATGGGATTGCACCTGAGGGAGCTTCCTTGACTGTGATATTCCAGTTCTTCGTTCCTGGCACGCATCAAACGGATAAATCGATTGGCTTGCATTGCAGACTTCCTGTGCTTGATCCTGGAACGAACTGAAAGGTTAGCTTTGGCTATTCGATTGTGTGATGGCTGCCTTGATATTGGTATCTGTAAGTTTTGATGGTTTGTATCAGTATCACTTTTAACAAGTCGGCAGTTGTGTGTTTGTCTCTACCTTCTATGAACATTTTCTTTGAACAATGTTGAAGATTTGAAGTAACTGAGGAGCTCGCCTTATGTATCATTCCCCTCTTCTTTTTCTTCTACGTGGCCTGCATTGCTTGCGAAACTGTGCTTGAGATCAAATTGAACGGTTCCAAGTATAATGCTAACGTTTGCGAACCATGATAAAAAATTTGTCATGATGAATACAACTAAGTTGTTCAGCATTCCAATGCATAGAAAATGAACATAACCCTCAACAATGCCTTCTCTAATATGGAAGGACTTATATGACAATGCTGTTTATTAACTTACTCCTATATACGAACTTGCTGCGAAGTTAGCAGCAGATGCTGGCTGAGGACGAAGTAGGCCCATCCTGGTTGACCACCATAGGCTCAAACGCTATTCCTTCCTTCCCACAAGAATTACCACAGGTGCTGTCGATATGATTCGGACCGTACATGGCAACAGCAGCAGAAGGTGGCTTTGCTTTCAGTTTCAGCCGCTGTCTCTCAGCTCTCGACCCAATCACCTGACCGATTATAGAAGCACCAATGGTCAGCGCCATAGCAGTTTTAGGCATCACCACCGACTTCCGTAGCATGGCGATGAAGGGAACAGCTGCATGGACTGCAGCAAACCACGCTAGTGAGAATTTGTCGGTGTGTTCCTTCCACATCCCCAAGGGCACATTTGCTGCCATCCCTAACATGGCAATCACTAGCATCTTTGCTGGTAGTGGCTGAGGTCTGAGGGTTTTGACAAACGCAGTACGGGCTAGGGCTGCCCTTGCAGCAACTACTGCCGGTGGACACCTGAGCTTCATTCCAGGAGGCGGCCGAAGAGTTGATGCAACAAGTGGGAGCACGTGGCTTACCGCTCTGTATGATTTCGCAATCGGGCAGTTGCCTGTTCTTAACCATTCGTTTCCCAGTGCTTCGTGCTTTGGCGTGTTCCCTTCCTGCCACAAGTTCAAGTTCAACATGACATGATGAGAATAGCCATCCATATAAAGGTTTCCATCTGGGAAAGGAGGATGGATGGTGGGTAATTTTCAGATTAACTCCATTCCCGCAAAATCATTGTGGCAAAAGAAATGTGCCTTTTTACCTGTGATGATGGTTTTCTCTTCTTGCCAGGCTCGGATTTCTTCTTCTGCTTATTCCTATTATCATTGAAAGGACCAAAGCCAAAAGGACCGCCTGGACCAAATGCAGAGAGGCTTATTGTGGCAGCTTTTCCGGCTAAGGGGTTGAACTGGGGAGCAGGCTCTGACTCCAAAACAGCATCATGGAAAGCAGACTCGTTCGAGAGTGGAACAACCCCATCTTTGCCATGAAAGAGCTTGAATGCCATGTCAAAATTAGGGCCATCTTCAAAAATTGGGCCCTTGGTTGCTCCCTGGACCAAAATGGAACCCATAAGACAAATGAAATCCAGCAAACTACATTCATCATTGTAACAGCACTAATTATCGATGGTTCATTTTCGGAGAAAGAAATCAAGAACGGATAGTTATCATATAACAACATACCAGACCAGGGAAGTTAACAGCTAAGAAAGAGAAGCTCGTTGGCTTGTCGATGTTCCTCAAAAATGGGCATCTTTGTATAGCTATGTCATCAAAGCCACACTCAGATGTGCTGCCAATGATTCCTTTAAACAGAGAGTCCATTGCAACTTTCCTGAGATTATCAAAGGTAAATAACAATTAAACATGTGAAGAGAACTCTCGGAACTATTACACATCGAAAATCTTATATCAACTACTACTGTGTTCGCTCCTCGTATCAATGCCAACGATAAGACTACTAAAAACTGCATTAACATAACAACAAGAATGTACGCAGCAATAATCAATCTTCAGTAGAAAGCAAATGAACAACCGCCCAGTTTCAATGATCTATCGCGACATTCCTCGCCCTTAAGGAATTGGTTTTACCGCCCTGGTTAATGATAAATAGTCGAAAGAAACTCGTCCTAAACAACCTCTGTGTGGTTGGTATTAACACTGGAAACTCATATAATCATCCTAGATGGAAGGACACAATTTCTCTGACGACCTAATCGGTTTGAAGATTAATCTTACGACATGAGACAGCTTTCTAAGAAGCAGAAAGAATGCGTTGCACTCTTTGCAGACGAACCAGTTGTCCGGCAGTACTCCTGAATCGTGTTAAATCTCGTTCATACAATCTTTCTCCGTATCACCCCTCAAATGTAAAAATCCTCTGCCTTCCCTAATTTCTACCCAGAAAATATCACTCATTAATAAACCTACTACTTCCAGCCCTTGTACGACTGCATGCGATAGACAACTACTACGCAGAATGAACAGCGAGAGATCGGAAGCTGACGGAGGAGAAGAAACTTCACCTGCTCCGGCGGCTTTTCTGTCGCGCGTTTTCACCGGCTTTCTCCCGTTTCCGAAGCAGCCAAATAAGAGACGTGTGGTGTACACGGACGGACGGACGGACGGACAATTGTTCAAAGCTTGAAGTCTCTAGAACGAATCAACGAAGGGTAGGGCCAATTTTCTCTCTTTGCGTTGGGCTATAGGAATTGGGCCTAACAATTTAATCCCGGCCTAAATGAAGAACTCTTACTGGACACTTTATTTTTTATGTATCGATTTTCTAGGGGGGAAAAGTTAGTTTTAATTTATAGAAATAAGATAGTTCTTTTAATTTTTTTATTTGAATTTTGTAAGTGAAGAACACCCATGATCAAACTTCTAGGTTGGTCAATATATATATTGAGTTGATCCTCCTACTCTTATGTCCATTGTGTAGAGAGCCCAATGTTCTTTATAGTAGATTCTCATTTAACGATGGTATTGTATGTTTTGGGATAAACTCGCACCGTTTTGTTATTCATTGCGTATAAGGGGGTAAATTGTAAGTTTGGTAACTGGAATTACTATAAAAATTCACGTTTGTCACTAAAATTAGCTTACTCCATCCGTAGTCAATTAAATTAGTTGTACATTGCAAATTTGGTCACTCTCCGTTAATCTCCGTTAACTTTTTCTGATGTGGCAGTCAACTCTTACGGTTGACCGTTAAACTAGTGACGTGGCAAATAAATAATTATTAAAAATAAATAATGAATATGTTTACAATTTCCACCTCAATATAACTATAAATTAAAATAAATAAAACATAAAATTAATAGTTCTAATTATAAAAATTGAAAATAAACGTCTCATCCCACCGCCGCGAAGACTCTGATTCCCTTCGTTGTCGTCTAGTTTTTCTGCTCCAGCCGAAGTCGTCATCGGATTTGGATTGAACCCGGGGTGATGGCTGATCTGCTAGGGTTTCGAACTCCTTTCTGCAGTGGTGACAGTTGGGTCGAACTCGTTGTCGGATTTTGGATTTGAACTCGAGGGTGACGGTGGGATGACGATTGGGATTCGAACTAGCAGTGACGGCTAGGTCGTACTCGTCACTAGATACAGATTTTACTGATCTCGATCTTCACTGCAACCTTGTCTATGATGACACAGGCAACTTCGCCGTGATCAATGTCGACGGAGACGACATCGTTGATCCTCTGTGGCAGAGTTTCAATTTCTCGCCGGATTCATGGCTTTCGGGGATGAAATTGGTCGTATACAAAAGCCAGAGTGGGAGTTAGAGTCGTCACCGAAGTTGACGTCATGACTGAATTTCGACCGCCGGTGATAGAATCTGGGATTAGGGTTCTATCGGGTTTGATCGTGAGATTGAGAATTAGGGATTAAGAATAGAGTTAGGGTTTGAGAAGAGAAAGATAGAGAATCGGCCTAGGCCTTTAGAGGAATTGGAAACAAGAATTGAGAGGATTGGGAGAATAGTGTTTAGGAAGGCTTTTATTAATATTCTTCTTGACTGATCTGAATAAAACGCTAAATACATATTTATAACGAAAGACTCGAAAAACCTAATAGACTATCCTAATATGACTCAATAACTACTACCCTATCTAATAATATCCTAATTATAGTAATAATAATTATTATGATAAATTCCAAGAATTGGGTTTCCGGCAAGGAAAAGCTGGTGATGAAGCGGCGAGGGGTTGTGTTCTGCACCAGCGACAAGCTATTGGCGCCCAATAAATTCCAGAATCTCGAACTAGGAGGAAAGGGGTTGATGAACTTCAACGTCTCCTGCATCTCCAATCCTCCTAGCGAGGATTACTTGACCTTCTCTGTTTCTCAATTCAGCGCTCTGCATTTGAGATTTGACGGTGAGATCATGGTCCAAACTGGGACAATCCCACAAGTCTGCGACGGGAACTTCACCGAGAATGGGTGTCGGAGATGGGAGAAGGGTCGGCTTGCCGGAGGGATAACGACGACAAGTTCGTGATCCGCGGGGGAAGGTTCAAAGAAAGTTTGATGGCCCGAAATGATAACCTGAGTATGGTGATTATAAAGACTAGTGCGGGAAGGATTGTAAGTGCGTTGAAAGCGTAATGAATGGCATTGGAGATCATAACGAGACGGGATGTACGCTTCTGTACGAGGGATTTGGGAAGTTCCTGGACCGATGAAGGAATACTTTCACGTCTTTGTTGGCGGAGGTAGTGGCGGAGGCAGATCGCCATCAGATGCGGATCGGAGAACAAGTGAGCGTGGGCAGAATCACTTGATATGGGTTTTGTTTGCTGAAGCAGGGGTTCTCAATTATTATTCTCTGAATTTTCTTGAACCAGAGAAGGCAAAAGCTTAGAGGTTTGTGAACTCTGTTTTTTTAATATTTTAATGCATTGTTTTTTAATTTATAGTTATAATGAGGTGGAAATTGTGAACATATTTATTATTTATTTTTTAATAATTTTTATTTGCCACGTCACTAGTTTAACGGTCAACTGTAAGAGTTGCCTGCCACATCAGAAAAAGTTAACGGAGACTACCGGAGAGTGACCAAACTTGCACTGTACAACTAATTTAAGTGACTACGGATGGAATAAACTAATTTTAGTGGCAAACGTGAACTAATTAAAGTGACCAAGCTTGCAATTTAGCCCGTATCAAGGTGACTCTCACAAGGTCACTCATCATTGCAGTACTGCATAATAAACACGTTTAACTTCGGAGTTCTCACAAAAACTCGTACATTTCACCCCAAAATGTGTCATAACAGTTAATGTCAGTTTCTACTTATAAACCGTGTATCTCTCATTTACTTTGTCGACATGCAATTTGCATAAAGTGTTACTAACAATCTACAAATTGTGGTACTTAATTAAAAGGGACATGAGGGGTGGAACGTGGAACATGGTACCAAGGGGTCATTTAGTTTTGGTGATAGTTTGGTTGAGCTAGTTACATGTGTTGTCCATAATGCATTATTTTTGTGAATTTTCTGCACAAACAATACATGCATTGTTTGCTTAATGTGACCCAATAGTTAAATCTCAAATTTTTTCTTATTCGAAATTCTCATGTACCGTCATTTATTAGCTCCATTATTGTTTAGCTATGAAGAAAAAACACAAGGAACATTGCAATGCATCAACATATCAATTCTTTTATGGTAAAAATTTAAAGAGTTAGCAATGAAGTAAACCACCATTCGTAGAATTGAACAAAATCCCACTTTGGTGAGCATTTTATACATTCCAAAATTCAATACTAGTAATTCCCATAACATTGAAACCTCTCCAAAGTGGGATTTTGTTCAATTCCCACAAGACAATTCCTTGATTTTGTTAAAAGTGGAAATTAAGGCAAATTCTCACGATTCCAAATTTTGTCAAAAGATCACTCGTATTATCGAGAAAGCCAGATACAAGAAGTCACACGGCTGTATAGCCAAGAAACAAAATTGAACCCTACTAAAGAAGGGAACATCGAAAGGGACTTTCTTGCCACCAAATGGGCAGCCCTGTTACAATTTCTACCAACAAATCGGATATTAAATATCGGAAATGAATAGCTCAAGCTTCTAATCTCGTCTAAGATCATGCCACCCTGAATATCATCAAACTGACCTTCCCGAATCTTTCGTATCACCACCTGGGCATCTCCGGCAAAGATGACTAAATGTAGTCCACGTGCCAAACACCAACGAATTGCATCTCGAAAAGCTAACAGCTCCACCAGAGAGGGATAAAAAATCCTCACATATAACGTTGTCGAAGCCTCCACCACCATGCCTGATGGATCCTGCAAACCCCAGCCACTGGCCCCGTGTGAACCACGCAGAGTGGCTCCATCGACAAACAACACCAGCTCCCCATGCGACACCACTTCCCTAGCTGAGGGGAGATGACCCCCGAGACCTCGAAGAGGCTGACGTTGGTTATCGGGAATGTAATCCCACTCTGTGACCTGCAAGCCAAATTGTGAGAGCAAAACAAGGACAATGAACTGCGTAAATTCAAAAACAACCCAATTTAGAGCACGCCAAAAAGAGCCACAATCCTCATTATCGTGCTCCGATCCAGATCCCCCCCCCCCCCCCTCGAGTACCCTGCGCCAAAATATGCTTATATTATTAACTGGGTACCGATCTCTCAGTTGTTGAAGCTCTGCCCCGTCCCAAAGCTGCACCGCCACACGACATCGAAAGAAGAGATGCTCAAGAGACTCCACCACCTCCCTGCAGACTGGGCATTGCTCCATCCCCCCCACCCCGTGAGTACTCAGTGCCTCACCAGTCGGCAAGACACCACAGACTAGCTGCCATATAAAATACCGCAGTTTGGGAGGTATAGGAGTGCCTCAAATTCGTTTCCAAAGGCTACAGTGCCATGCATGAGAGATCGCCTTCACCTTTAGCTCATTCCGATGTCTTAACTCGACCGCCTTATGATAACCGGATTTGACAGTATAACACCCCAAAACTTCTCCATCCCAGACAAGACGATTAGCCACTACTTTAATGGGTAGGGGAATAGCTAAAATAGCTTTGACCGTGTCCTCTTCAAAGATTTGACGGAGGCAATCTACTCTCCAGACTCCCTGATTAGGAAAAATCAAAGACGCCACTTTCCCTTCCACACCGATAATACCCTGCCGGGGTTTTGGGGGAAAAGGATGCAGAGCAGGCACCCAATTATCTGTGAGTACCTCTACCGAATCATGGATTGGAGATGGCTAAAATCCGATAATACATCCAAGGGTATTAGGAAATTAACTAGTAGATTTAATAATGTTTTAGCAAGCCCCGTACTTAGCATATATTGCAAATTAATCATGAGTCACAAAGCTGTTGCTAAAACCCCAAAATTCGAGCAATTTAATGTTGATATTCGCCTTATGAGCACGGGTAAAATATCCAAGTCAAGGGCATCAATCTTCAAGTTGTAAACGACTTAAATTAATAAAGTGTGTGATTTAAGAGCGCTAGTTAGTGTTCAATTCTGGATAATTTATTATGTTGTATGATGATGCTTGATGCATGTTACTTGAGTTAAATTATGCCCCCGTATGATATTGATGGTTGAGTTATACACATATAAGATTCATGTATGTTGATATGCCCTTATATGCCATTTACGTTAAGTTATGCATATATGAGATTCATGTTCTAGTGAATGAATATGTTTAGTATGCATAGCATCATGCTCATCAAAAATCAAACCATGTTTAACCATATAAAGGTTATTAATTAAGCAAGTTAATCAGTTGGATCTTCCCATTGTGTGGGAGATCATCAAGCTTTCCAGGTATGCAAGCAAGGATGACTTAATTATATCCCTCCATAGCGTGAGATATTAATTAAGGCATGTATGTATAAGCCATCAAGTTAAGCAAACAAGAAAGAACAAGATGATAAGTAAGAACAAGCTAATAAGTAAGAACGAGTTAACCTTTCTTGGCTAGCCACATTCACGATCGATCACTACCGGACTGTGATACATGAAGTAGTAGTTGATTAGTCATGAAAATAGGTGGCGATACCTAATGCAGTTGCCGTTATCCATACTCAGGTATGCAACTGGACGACGATATGTAGCGTGGTTGACATACCTCAATTTTGACACCGAACATCAATACGTAGCACGATAGTCATAACTCATGTTATGGCTCCCCATTGTGAGGGCAGCCATGTTGAATAAGCATGCAGGCAGTGGCGCCAGCTAAGTTGAGGTAGGGACCCTTTCATAAGATAAAAGATGCATAATACTGAACGAGGAAGTGAATGAGAATTATAAGTTCAAGAACTCTTAATAATGTACTCCAAATAATGTAATAAGGCAATGCATGAGTATTTACACGTTTTGTATGTTGCTTCATGTTATGTATTATGTAAATAATGAAATTAGGATTAGGACAGATCCCAATGCCCACACTCGTGATTTGTAGAAGCAACAAAGTATGACAAGGGTACAACAGTTCACCACGAGGATCTGTGACTCTAGAGGACTCTGACACGAAGTCGGTAAATTTCACTGCTTGGTGGGACAAGAGACTTGATCTGATTTTTAATATGGACATTTTATTAAGTTAAATGTTTCAGGGTTGTTTATGATTTTGACATTGTTTAATATGTGATATTACCCTTGTTGTTCAAGCATCATAATATTCATTATTTTTTCAAGGACATTTCGGTTAAAATGGTATATCACCGGGCTAGGGCGTGACAACTATGGTCTTATAAAAAATAGCATAACTATGGAAGGTTGTTGATCAAGTTGCCAATCCCGTTAAAACCCAAAAAGAAAAATGGCGGAATCAGTCAATTAACCATAGAAAAGAAAGGAAAACAAAAGAAAAGAAAAGCAAAGCAAAGAGAGATAGAACAAGAGACAACTCAGCTAGACAATAACAGAACAAATGACTAGATTTTGTTTTTGTTTTTTTCCTTCCTTCTTCTCCCCAATTCCTCTTGTATATAAGGAAGATGGAGATCATCAAGCTTTCCAGGTAAGCAAGCAAGGATGACTTAATTATATCCCTCCATAGTGTGAGATATTAATTAAGGCATGTATGTATATGCCATCAAGTTAAGCAAACAAGAAAGAACAAGATGATAAGTAAGAACAAGCTAATAAGTAAGAACGAGTTAACCTTTCTTGGCTAGCCACATTCACGATCGATCACTACCGGACTGTGATACATGATGTAGTAGTTGATTAGTCATGAAAATAGGCGGCGATACGTAATGCAGTTGCCATTATCCATGCTCAGGTATGCAACTGGACGACGATATGTAGCGTGGTTGACATACCTCAATTTTGACACCGAACATCAATACGTAGCACGATAGTCATAACTCATGTTATGGCTCCCCATTGTGAGGGTAGCCATGTTAACTAAGCATGCAGGCAGTGGTTGACATACCTCAATTTTGACACCGAACATCAATACGTAGCACGATAGTCATAACTCATGTTATGGCTCCCCATTGTGAGGGTAGCCATGTTAACTAAGCATGCAGGCAGTGGTTGACATACCTCAATTTTGACACCGAACATCAATACGTAGCACGATAGTCATAACTCATGTTATGGCTCCCCATTGTGAGGGTAGCCATGTTAACTAAGCATGCAGGCAGTGGCGCCAGCTAAGTTGAGGTAGGGACCCTTTCATAAGATAAAAGATGCATAATACTAAACGAGGAAGTGAATGAGAATTATAAGTTCAAGAACTCTTAATAATGTACTCCAAATAATGTAATAAGGCAATGCATGAGCATTTACACGTTTTGTATGTTGCTTCATATATTATGTAAAGAATGAAATTAGGATTAGGACAGATCCCAATGCCCACACTCAGGATTTGTAGAAGCAACAAAGTATGACAAGGGTACAACAGTTCACCACGAGGATCTGTGACTCTAGAGGACTCTGACACGAAGTCGGTAAATTTCACTGCTTGGTGGGACAAGAGACTTGATCTGATTTTTAATATGGACATTTTATTAAGTTAAATGTTTCAGGGTTGTTTATGATTTTGACATTGTTTAATATGTGATATTACCCTTGTTGTTCAAGCATCATAATATTCATTATTTTTTCAAGGACATTTCGGTTAAAATGGTATATCACCGGGCTAGGGCGTGACAACTATGGTCTTATAAAAAATAGCATAACTATGGAAGGTTGTTGATCAAGTTGCCAATCCCGTTAAAACCCAAAAAGAAAAATGGCGGAAACAGTCAATAACCATAGAAAAGAAAGGAAAACAAAAGAAAAGAAAAGCAAAGCAAAGAGAGATAGAACAAGAGACAACTCAGCTAGACAATAACAGAACAAATGACTAGATTTTGTTTTTTGTTTTTTTCCTTTCCTTCTTCTCCCCAATTCCTCTTGTATATAAGGAAGATGGAGGTTCCCATGTATGGGTGTGAATTTGTAGAGGAAGAGAGATTGGGACTTCGATATCCATATTGAGAAAATAATTAGAGAGAGTTCGGTTCTAGGACACTTCCCCTTCGTGTCCCCTAGGGCCCCAACTCCCTCTTTGTTTCTCTTCTTCATGTTGTTGTTCATCCTTGATATTAATTGCACTCTTCGTGTTTGGGTTAATGTCTCTTAGAGCAACAGATCTATGTTCTCATTGAGGGGTTCTAACTTCTAAGGCTCTATTGTGAGAAAGAAAGGAGTTGCTTCTTTTTTCTTCTATTTCTCTGGAGGGAGGCTTGAAGGCAAATAAAGGTACAATTCATAGCAATAATACTTACCTTTTTCTCCTTTTTTACTGCTTTGTGCTTTCTAGTTTCTCTACTTTTTCCTTATCTGTACTACTTCGTACCCATTCATCATCAATGCGGTTTTGGTGGGGATTGAGTTTTCTTCATTCATTTCCCTTACAAATTCTCTGCCAGATTGAGGATTAACTTGTTTCTTTTGTTTTATCTACAATTTTGAGAGGGTAACCATTGCTACATCCTCATCGTTCTTTAATGTTCCTTCCATTTTTGTAGTTGTAATTTTGAAGCAGAGGCAGATCTGCCATGTCTTAGTTTCTTGCTATGCCACCAATTTTTGTTTTTACCCATTTTTGCTCCTTCTTTGGATGGTTCTTGAGAATTCTGTGCTTCACCAAATCACAGTTTCTTCTACTTCGCCTTCATTTCCTTATGCCGTGGTGGGTTTTCTCTTTTAGGTGGGATATAGTAGGCGATTGTTATCCTCTCTTTTTTGTTGCTATTAATTTCGTCAAAGCTATTTGGAATTTAGTGCTTTTTCTTCCTTTTGCTTTTGTCAATGTTTGTCGTCTTATCATCATGATCTTGCATGAGAACTCAAGGTATTTGGAACTATTCAAGAGGCGAAATTACAAATAATTTCTTTATTTTCAAGGAAGTTATTGGAATTGTATGACTTACTATAAGTTGGCACTAGTATTCTTTCCTTTCTCATTGATGTTTGGTACGAAAGATCTAGTGCCTCCTTCATATTTTATGCATTTTTCGTGTGGTAGAGATATATATATAGAGAGAGAGAGAGTGGGAGAGAAGTAGGATGAACGGAATGAAGCTTTTAGAACGCTATAATTGACGGAGATGGTCCCCAATGTCATGTGGGCAGACAAAAAAATGTCTAAAACCCAGACATAAATTAGAGTTACTCGTCTCCAAGTTACTTTCAGATCTTGTAGTAGTATGCTTATTATACTTACAACTTATTATACTAACAACTTCATTCATTGAGGACTCGAATTTGGCAATTTGGTATCTTAAGTGCACACTGTGTTCTATCTAATGTCTTCATTAACCTCTTAACTCTTCCCTTTCATCCATTCATTGGTTTTGCCTATTATGTGTGCAAGTTTGTTGTAGCCGGTTTCATTTTTTGTTCCCTCCTCCCTCTATGCTTATAGGTTGGATCTATCTACCCAAGTACCTTTTTCACTTCCTTGATTTGTTTACTTCACCTTGCTAGCCAAAAGAAACTTATTAGCTAATTGGTTTGAGATTAGGGGGAACTCCAAGTGCATCCCTTAGGTGGTTTTAGTTTCATATTTGGCGGTGTAAGGGAACTAAAGTTGTCTAATTTTCAAGGGTTCCCTCCTTCTTCCTTGTAGATAAACCGTAGTTATTAGTGAGTCTTTGACTTGATAATTTTGAGATTGCCTTAAACGTCTTGGTTTGTTTTCAAATACTCTTTAGATAAGAGGGGTTATCATGAAGCATCATAAAGATGGAAAGCCGGGATACTCATCTAATAAAAATCCAAGGCTTCCTACGGTGATCATAACATGCGTTCTGCTTTGTGCGCTCTCATTTTACCTGGGTGGAATCTTCTACTCTGAGAAAAACAAGATTGAAGAGAGGGAGGCCAAAGAAGTAAAGGTGGCAATTCCATCTCCTACGGAAACAACTGTTGCACCTCTTCAAGTCAAATCGTCCTCTTTCTCTGAATGCAGTGCTGACTATCAGGATTACACTCCTTGCACAGATCCAAGGGTGAGAGAATCTGGATTTGCTTGCCTTCAATTTTAATTAGCCAAGGTTCTTCTTATATAATGTTTGTTAATTTTACAGTGTGAATTTGTCTTTGTTCTCAGAGGTGGAAGAAGTACGGAGTTCAGCGCCTTACTTTCATGGAACGCCATTGTCCTCCAACATATGAGAGGAAGGAATGCCTAGTTCCACCTCCAGATGGCTACAAATCACCAATTAAGTGGCCCAAAAGCAGGGATGAATGTTGGTACAGGTAATGTTACAGTATCCATTGTAGACTAAATACTTGGTGTTTTGTTTGTCCCAATTTGGCATTCAACTAAATTTTATTTGATCTGGATCCAGAAATGTGCCATATGATTGGATAAACAAAGAGAAATCGAATCAGCATTGGCTGATAAAGGAAGGTGAAAAATTCCTTTTCCCTGGAGGGGGTACTATGTTTCCCAATGGAGTTGGTGAGTATGTTGATCGCATGGTAAAACTGATCCCAGAAATGAAGGATGGAACTATCCGCACTGCCATTGATACAGGGTGTGGGGTGAGTATTGTTCTTCAACATCTAATGTGATCTAGTTACGTATTTCTTATGTTCATTTATCTGAAATCTTTCTATTGTCGTTGACACAGGTTGCTAGCTGGGGAGGCGATCTATTAGATCGTGGGATCCTAACTCTTTCTCTGGCTCCGAGAGACAATCACGAGGCCCAAGTGCAATTTGCTTTGGAACGTGGAATTCCTGCCATTCTTGGCATCATTTCTACACAACGCCTTCCCTTCCCCTCCAACTCTTTTGACATGGCTCACTGCTCCAGATGCCTTATCCCATGGACTGAATTTGGTAATCTTTTCAAACACGACCAATATAATATATATAGTTGTTTGAATATGCTCTTGCTAAGTAACTAATCTAGTTTCCCAACGGTTATAATTATATCAGGGGGAGTCTATCTCCTAGAAGTTCACCGTACCCTACGCCCTGGTGGTTTTTGGGTTCTATCTGGCCCTCCAGTCAACTACGAAAATCGATGGAGAGGCTGGAACACAACAATAGAAGATGAGAAATTTGATTATGAGAAATTGCAGGACTTGCTCACTTCAATGTGCTTCAAACTGTACAACAAGAAGGGAGACATTGCGGTTTGGCAGAAGGATTCAAATGACACTTGCTACAATAAGCTTGAAAATCCTGATGTTTATCCACCAAAATGCGATGACAGCATCGAACCAGATTCTGCATGGTACACCCCACTCAGGCCCTGTGTGGTTGCTCCAGGTCCAAAGATAAAGAAGTCGGTTCTTGAATCCATCCCAAAATGGCCAGAGCGCCTGCAGGTTGCGCCTGAGCGCATCTCAGAGGTACACGGTGGGAGTCCCAATGCTTTCAAGCATGATAACGGGAAGTGGAAGGCGAGGGCAAAACACTACAAGAAGTTGCTTCCAGCACTCGGTACAGACAAGATCAGGAACGTGATGGATATGAACACGCGTTATGGAGGTTTTGCAGCAGCTTTCATCGAGAGCCCATTGTGGGTCATGAACGTGGTGTCTTCTTATGCTCTCAACACACTTCCGGTGATCTACGACAGAGGGCTCATTGGAACTTATCATGATTGGTGAGTAGTGGGTCCTAAAATCCCATTAGTTTTTGTGATAAAATTATGCAAAAAGTCTCTTTCTGTTTCGTTTGCTGATGACATTTTCCCTTGTGGCCGCTCTTTGGTAGGTGTGAAGCTTTCTCAACATATCCCAGAACCTACGATCTACTCCACGTTGATGGCCTTTTTACTGCCGAAAGCCACAGGTAAAAACCAACTCTTGGAACCCTATCTTACCTTTTTGAATAAAGTCTCTTTCGTGAGAACACTTGCAATGTGAGGATATGTTGTGGATAAAAAAAACATAATTTTCTTTGTTCCTTTGGTGATTTTGGGTGGATTGTAATTGTGTAGGTGCGAGATGAAGTATATGTTGTTGGAGATGGATAGGATCCTTCGACCAATGGGTTATGCCATAATCCATGAGTCGAGCTACTACATGGACGCAATAGCTACGATTACGAAGGGGATGAGATGGAGTTGCATGAAGGAAGATACAGAGGATGGAGTTGAGAAGGAGAAGATATTGATTTGCCAGAAGGAGCTCTGGTATTCCTCAAACCAGACTTCATGATGATCAATGGAGTACATGAGTGAGTTCCTTGTCCTTTTTTTACGACAAAGATGATAAAGCTATGGTCAGTTAGCAACAACACAACAGTTACCCCAACCCCTCTGTAGGAGTTTGTAACATTTTGTAATCCGGACAGGAAGAGACATAGGCCAATAATATCTACTATATTTTGTTTTTGTTTTTTTTTTATGTTATTTTGCTTACCTTTTTGGGCATTTTGTAGTATCTTGAGTATTATAAGGGAAATGATGGTTCAAGATTCAAATATCTTGTATTTTCTTGTCTTATCAGCGAACTTGTGTGGGTAGATGTCTTACATACCACCCATTGTAGATCTATCTCTTATTAACATGTATGTACTTTGTGAGCTGGTATTATCTATTTCTTCTTTAAAGATATTGATCTTTCCAAAGGTTGTCTTGTATGTTTAATAAAAGACGATATAAGTGGTTGCCACTTGCTTGTGTCATGCTATCAAATCCACTGTAGCATCTTATCTTATAGGAGGGATGCACAACTTGTTTCTTGTCTTGTCTTATATGGATGGAGGCTTTGGCCTAAACGATGTTTATAGGGCGTTCGTGAGAACGCGCTCACAAGATGCCCAATTGTTGGATTATGCATTGAACTGTTAATTGCTTACATTCAAGTTAATCTCGAATTGGAGACAAGTAAGTTCCATTATGACCAATTTGACTATGGTTTTTTTAGACATAGCACCTTAAGCCATCAACTTGAAATTATTTATGAATAACCCATCATAGTGATCTAATAATGAGAATTGCTAGTGTTGGAGAACAAGTTTGTGAACGAGTCTCCGTAAGTCGAGGAGGAGATGGAGAAGATAAGATATCTTCAAGGCAAAAAAACACTCATATTACTTAAAGGAAATTGATGTATTGTACATGAGATGAGAGGCTAATGCACCTTTTTCCAAAAGACAAATTGATTCGGGCTTAATTGTACACTTTTTATCCCCGTTTCTCTTTGACGTTTGTTGAAAACTTGCAATCGAGCTCCAAAAAGGGTGGTTTTACGCTAGGTGTCTTGTGTTTCAGCGTGTTTCAGATCCTAACAAGTGAAACCAACCCATAGTCGAAAGTTGGAAGAAAGGAGTTCACGGTCTGCCATGTGAGTTCATGTCTGTAAATATCTTGTTAAATTTGTAACTAGTCTGATTTTCGCTTCGGGAATATGAAGAAGTTGTTAGGATGAAAGTCGCACGAGTGTTGAATCAGTTGTTCGACCAATTCATGGCTGACCCATATATTGTGTTTGGCGTTGAGGAATCTGCTAAAGGATTAGATGAGGAACTCCAAATTGTTTTCCCTTGACTCCTTGAGGTCAATAAGTTAGGGCTGGTTAGGTGATGATACTTCTTATTTGGTTTCAAAGGTTATTAGAATAATCTATTTAGAGCTCCCACTTTTTGAATACTTCTCAGTACCTTGATTGATCGAATAGTTAGGAACTTAGGACATCCCCGTTTCATTATTGCTACATTGATCAATTTTTCATGCAAAATAGTGAATGAAACCAAAAATATCAACAAGATCGAAATTGTAGCTAATAAACAACCGCAACTTTTGTTTTTCATGTATATTCGTAATTTGTGTCCGTACAATAGTAAAAAGGAGGGGGGGAAAAGAACGCTATGTTCTCATCTAGACATTAGAGAATGATTTATGAATGATTTTAGGAGAAACCTTGGATGGTTATATTAAGAATATAATTTGGATTATGAATTTGAGAGGAGAGGAATGAACCGAGAATTATAGTAAAAGTATATTGTATAACATTTTTATTCGAGATCATAATCTACTTAACATAAAAATATAATAAGTTACTCCTAATCTGATAACAGTTTTTCTGTCAAGAACCAGTTGATCCCAATAACTCGAGTTGTTGGGAGAGGTTCAATCGTGGGTCATATACCGTTTACTAACACCCCCCTTCAAACTCAAGCCATTCAGATAGGCTTGCAGTTTGGACAGGCACAGGTCCGGACACCGTGTGCTTTACAGAAACAACAGAAATAGATAGGGGTCACCGGGAATCGAACAGAAGATCTCACGGTCACAAAAGGCTCTGATACCATGTCAAGAACCAGTTGATCCCAATAACTCGAGTTGTTGGAAGAGGTTCAATCGTGGATCATATACCGTTTACTAACATTTTCATGGATTTTGGATAGTGAAACTATGGTACTAATATTTTTAAGCTTCTAAAATTTGATGTCACAACTCACAATTACTTGATTGATTATGTGTTTGTTTAATTAATTGTAGGTCATTTCGGGGAAGATTGGGAAACAATTAAAGGGAACATAACCGAAATTTGAGCGAGGGAAAATAAAAGCGAAGATAAAAGAGAAGAAAGGAGACCACAATTAGAAAAATATCGCCGCCCTCCACCCCATTCTCGGCATCGAAAAGTTTGTCCGATCACCGGGTAAATGCTTCCGGTGGACGGAACCGAAGTGTTTGCCGACGTATCAAACGTCCTTCTTCCTCTCACCTTTCGTCGATTGCTCAATTCTTGTGAATGATGGATTCTCTCAAGGAACCAGAGATGGTGGAAATCCCCGACAGCAGAAGGACAAGTTCCTGTTTCCGTCTGTGTCTGCTATTAGTTCTGCTTTTGCTTTTCCCCTTCTTCGCTTTCCTCCTCCTGTCGATATCCATGGTCTTCATAGCCGTGCTCTCGGGGCAATCATCTATCACGACGCCCGTGTCTGTTGCCTCTCGGTGCCGGATAGTCTCCAGTGGTAAGTTCTTCTTTGCGCCCCCCATCTCTGTTTCGAATTTGATTTCGCTTTCTTCAATGGTTTCCGGCTGTTGAGAAGTATAGGAAGTAGAATGGAATTAAAGTGATTGAATTGCTGAGTTTGATTCGTTACAGAATGAATCCGAAAAGTTACAATTATGTTAACTGGTGTTGAATGGTGCAAAATGGCGGGGGAGAGTCTTGCTTCAAATTCAAACCTAGGGTTGGAAAGAGTCCCTCTGAGGGTTTCACGCACAGTGTCCATGGACGAAGCTCTGCCATTAAGTTTATTCATTTGGAACTGCTACTGTAACGTAACTAATTAAGCTGTGGGATTGTAGTTCTTATTTGGTTTATCTTCACTTGCTTCTGATCGTACTTAGAGTTCATGTTTGTTCAGCTGATGCTTGGTATGGGAGATCGACAGTTTGCATTTCTCTTGTTATCTGATGATAAATACATGGTTTGCTTTTAGGATTCCCAAAAATCCCCTCATTTTGGTTTAGAGCTTAGGATAAGTTCAGTACATGGATGTTGTGAAGCACGCAGGCACTTTTGCTATCAATAAGGTTTTGCTTGTGTTAGAGGAGGAAAATGATTTTGTTTTGGCCTTTTCAGGTGTTGATCTCAGATCATCTAAAGTTTGCGAACTTGGTTTGCTGAGGTACAAAACAAAGAATGCCTTTCATCCTTTTGACAGAAACAAATTTCGATGCCGCTATGATTATTACTGGGCTTCTGTGTTTGAGGTGATATTTATGTTCTTGTGACTTTCATTTCTCTTCTATCGTTTCAGTGTGTTATTCTTTCCAACTTTGGCGCCTCATTGTTTGAAATATAGTACACTCATCACTCATTCAGGAATCCATAAGTAAAGTCCCATCAGATCATCCGTTGATTGTCCATCTAAATTATCCCTGTCCTAGCATTTGATTGTCAGTGTGAGGGAAAGGAGCCATGACAATGTTATTATAGTTTCTTAGAGTAAATTTGCTAGTGTCATTGTGAACTACTGCTGACCTGGGGCCTCCTGTTACTGGGTTCCTGCTCTTAGACTGTGTTAAATTAGGGTTCTCCAACAGAACCTTAGCCGTTTCTTTTGCCTGTGTGATACAAGCATCTGACTAGAGCATGGTCGAACCATGGTTGTGTTTACATTTTGTATCTTCAACCTCAAAAGTTGGGGCATTAGGAGGATCATTTTCGCTTTACCATTGCAGGTGGAATATGAAGATCATTCCTTGGGACGGACACAGCATGCTTTAGCTGAGGCTCCAAGTGAGGCGCTTCCTCTGAATTGTAGGCCCAGTTTTGCTGCTGCATGGATGGCCAAAGATAAATTTAAGGTTTAGATCCGTGTCCTCTTAATCCACTGTGTAGGGAGAAAGGATAAATCCATCTGTGATTGTTTGAAATTTCAATCTACCCTGAGTCGTGATGCAGAGAAGTTTAAGGGGATTCTGTTAACTTTTCAATTTGCAGGTGAATGAAACTTACAATTGCTGGCACAGGGCTGGGATCTCTAAAGTGAGCTTATACGTCGATGACTTTCACCACTGTAATTCAAAAGATCCTTCTCTTCTCGAGATTATAAATCAATATATCAGATTGTGAGTATACGGGCTACTTATACTCCTCCTCTCTTTTAGTACAGGCTTGTTCATTTCTTTTTCCGCGAGTTTTTTCCTCGTACTTTGCCTGCCCACTCTGTCTTTTGAAGCACTAAAGTTGTTTCTCTTTGGTGTGACTTGTGAGAAGCGCCTAACATATGATTATTTAGGCATCTGAAGAATGTAATTAAAAATTAGCCATGTTGATTATTGGAAGAGTTATATATGTTATATATTTTTGAGGCAGTAATGTTACTTGAGGGAAAATACCCAGTCAGCATTATATTTGGGTTTGATGTTAAGCAGAGACAAGTTGTTGAATGGTCGACAAACTTGGATTGAGCGACCACCGAATAGGATAAGAAGTTGCTACTTTAAAATAACAGCCTTTACAAATTATGTAGGTTGTAGCTCTTTGAACAAGTGAACTATTGCAGCTTGGCTGTTTGCAAATTGCAAGGTACTTAACAGTGTAGGTCATCCATTAATTCTGTTGCATGAAAGATTGTTTTAATTTGTCATTATGTATCATTGAAGCATGGAATGTCACTTAAACAGGTTGTGTAGCTAAGTGGACTAGGGGGAGTAAATTTTATAGGGACAGCATAGTATGTAGAATGACAGGCGTTTAGAGAAAAAAGGTTCTACAGTTGGTTCTGGTGCAGCTAGTTATGCATTATTGTTTTTGGGTGTTTTCTTAGGCTAAATGGAAAGGCTGATGTGTAAACAGATCACAGTGAAGGGTAAATTTATTCCTCGGACCTGAGGTTGTAGAGTCTCAAGGCCTGGTAAATTCATGGAGAGTTTGAACAACCTGAGTTGGGAAATCGCCAAGTCATGGGAATCTTTGGGGACTCTATAATTTGGTTGGCTTCATACGAATTAACTGTTTTTCCTGACAGATGTCAGTCTATATGCCTGCTATTGCAGATGTTCACTTTATACATGTCGGACGTAATGTCTATCTGGAACTTACACGGTTCAACTGTATGATTGTCCCCCTCAGAACCAAAATTAATGTAGATTTCCAATTAATGATACCAAATGGTGCTTTCCCATGTTTCTGTGGTCAGGTTGATGGACGCTCCGAGCTCCTTGTTCATTCAGAAGACGGGAAATGCCACCAGATTCTGGAAATGGGAAGCTGTTGCTGGAGCTGTCACCGGTTTCTTGACTTCCTTAATCACCCTCTTCTTCTTCTCAGTGGTGCAGATGGTGATTCCCCCAGTCCCTCAGACATGGGCATACATAGTAAGGGTTCTTACTCGGGCTATCAACCTGGTAATCTTGAAGCGTGCTTGTTTTTTCGTGGCATACTTCTCCTTCATGGGCTGGTTGACTATCCAGTACGGGAAACGGCTTGGCATGCCAGAGATTCGAGTTGGCTATATTTAATCTAGGAAGAACTTGTGAGCCAGGTTAGTGAAATGTATCATCAATTTCATTGTAGTTAGAAGAGAAACGATGGAACCAACCGTGGTTCCTGTTTTGTATCAGGTAAGAACTTCTATAGCATAGGGAAACTGTACAATTGAAACAAACCTCAACAGTGTAATTGATGTGAATATCATTCTGTAACCAATTACTTGAAGAATGTCAAATCGAGATTATAGCTGGTTGAATTGGCTACAGTTTTTGGACATCTTCATATTCTTAGAAGTTTTGCCTCTTCAAAAAGCAGGATACTTGGTAGAAAACATCTTGTAGTTCACGATATCTCTAGAACGCAGTATCAAATACTTCCTATTCCATATATTTGAGATTGTACAATTTGATACACCCAACCGAACTCTCTGCAACGGGAAGAATCGAGTCGAGATCGAACACTTGGAAATTTATCAAGTGTTAAATCTGAAAAATATTTGAAGCTGCAACTAGTTTTGTAGAGATACAGTTGCTGTAGAACATTTATCAACCACCCTAATCTCGTCACAAATGGTCGGTCCTATGAATTTTTCTGATGATTTGAGCATGTGTAAGACAAGTGAATGAGGATGATACGGTTGCTATGTCCTGTACTCTTCTCTACCAACACTAACAAATAAAGTTTAGCCTGCAGGCTGCAGAAAGAACCAAGTGTCAGCATTCCCCATCCACGTAGTTATAATATAACGCTTCAGACCTTGCCGGTTTCACACATTATCCTCTCAATCTCCTCCAGCAGGCGTTCTTTCTCGTCTGTCAAATCCTCGTTCCGTTTCTGAAGCTCTTCGATCTGCTTAGTCTGCTCAGAATCCTTCCTGGAAGTTGCAGCAAATTAACAGTTGATTGTTATCTATCAATCATCCAAGCAGAGCTTTGAATCATCCATTAGTATAGGAGTTTTGTCTCTGGTCTCACCTGTTCATGAAAGACAAGTTCAGTTTGAGTGATCTTACTTCCTTTTCAAGGTTCTCACACCTTTTCATCACTGACTGCATATCGGAGGGCACCACAGGTGTCAAATTCCTCTCCTTTGCTTCGGCCATCCTACCAATACCATTTACAGATTTCACCGTATCAGAGCCCTGTTTAAATGAAAGAACAGAGAGATGAATACGGAAGGGAAAGTTACTTGCGAGAGCGCTCCACCCTACGCTTCTTGGTTGGGTCTCCTGTGTCCACTGCAACACAACAGAAACTCATAATTTCTTAGGTTGCAAGTAATTGTGTCTTTCAACTTTCGCTCATTCTACTGAATTTTGACAAATCAGAAGCTTGGCTTACCTGAACTAGCTGATGTCACTGATCCATGCCGGACAAGCCCTTTACCTCTCTACAATAAATCCAGAGAGTGTATCATATGAAACTGAGACCAGGAGTAGCTTGATGTGCAAGCAATGCGAGAAAGAGAATGTATGTTTACCTTTTTATCATCTTTCAGACTGTCAATTATCCTTCCTCTAAACTCTGCATTCCAAAAACGATAATGATTGTTTAGCATTGCCAATTTCATTTTCTAGAGTCAAAATGAAGAGTTGTTGTACATGTCAAATGCAATATACCTTTGGCTCTACCACCTTGCTCTGAACCATTCCCAACTGCTTTCTTTGAGCTCTCACAAGTGGTCACATTTTGACTCGAGTTGCTCGGACCATCGCATGCATCAAACCCAGATGAAACAACTGGTGCAGCAGCTGAAGATTCACTCAGAGAAGAAGGCTCTCGAGAAATCGTGTTCGTCTGCATTGGGTTGACAGGATGATTTGCATATCCTTCCATCTCAAAATCCACAACTTCCTGAACCGTCTCCAAAAGCCCAGCAGACATGGGGTTCTTTGCTATTGCAGATGCAAGCGCCTGTAAGCTATCCATCCCATCCCCATTTCCCTGATTGAAGCTATTCATCATCATAACTTCTTGACCATGACTGTGATGATAGATCGAATTGGAGCTGTCTTCTTCGACAGTTTCATGATTGCCCAGCTGCTTCTTGCGTTCGAGGGTTCCCTTCAACATGCTCACCACTGAAGAGACATTATCCATATTCCCCGTGTGTGGAGTATTGAATGTTCCAAATTGATTCGTCACATCGTGCATGAGGAGATCACTGCCGAGTCCACTAGGATTTGAAAACTCTTGTTTCGGTAATCCACTTTCATCATTCTCTCCAGTAGTTTGCATGGCAACGTATCTCCTCCTGTAGAAAGAACCCACTTGTAATTGTTAGACAAGTTATTGAGATGCTTAGCAAGCAGGGATGGTAGAGAATGATCACCTTAGTTCAGAGGATCTGCTCCGAGTCATGGGTTGAGAACTTTGAAACCAGGCCTGCATAGAAGGGAGACAAATGCTATGTGAACTCATGAAGCGTTTTTAACAGTATAAAATTTTCTGCAGAAAGCTATAAAATGTAGCAGACCTTGGCCATGTATAAGTTACTAGCCTGCGTGTTTCTGTCAACAGCGCCCTTGCTGAAAGTTATAGCAAATGAAAGGCAGCGTAAGGGAAACTGAGTTTGCCACTAACAACAAAAATCTCAAAGAGGGCAACAAGGGAAGGCTGCAGCCTGCAGTTTCTTACTTGTTCGATTGTCGATTGGAGACATCGTCTGCTGTTGGATGATTATTTTGTGTCGACAGCACATCAGTACTTCTTTTCTTTTGCAGAGATGCCTGCCCTTGTTGCTGACCTGACAAATTTGATATTTCAGTGGACATCCTGCAACCATCACAATTTACAAGTTATTTCTTTCTCATATAGCACCTTATGTAATATAGGGACACTTCTGCAATGTGAGTGATGATGCATGACATTGTGAGCTCGATTCTCCTTACTATAGGCTCTTGTCTTAGATTTTGGCACAAGATTACATTTACATAAATCGTAGAAGCAATGAGGCCACTGTATAGTGTGCAGTCACCTCTTAGATGATTGTCGCGTTCGATGTGCAATGCTTGGTGTTCCATAACCATGATTCTGCAGATAAGAACAGATAGCATTTCATAAATATGTGAAAATTCCAAGTTGATTAGCATGGAAAGGAAGCCAAGGAAATCTATAAGACAGAACTTTGAATCTAAAAGCCAAAGCTCATGCTGCTGATTCTCCTTGATCCAAAATCACATCAACAAAACAAATCAGCTAGGAGATAGAGTTTAATGGGATCAACTCTTTTCCTTCAGTGAACCAAGATTGCTTTCATTTGAAATTTTCATAACTCAGAATTTCCATGGCTCATCAAAATGGATCAGCTCAAAGAGAAACAAGTAGAACCTCAAAGCAAACAGAGGTGATCATAACTCATAAGTCACACTTTTGTAAGAGATGGATGGAAATAAAGGAGAAGAACAAACAAAGTAGAGATCTTTTTTAGTGCTTGCCTCTCCAGTACCAGTAGTAAGCCAGCTCTTGAAGAGCTCCTCGCTATCGGTCCGAAAATTGTGGTGGAGATTCTTAAACCCTAGCATCTCCATTGTTGGTGCAGGCATCCCAATCGAGCTTTCCATCAAGGACTTGATGAACATCTCCTCACTTGTGTTCCTATACAAATCTGAAGAAAACCCTCTTCCTTCACTAGCCTCCATCACAATTCTCTCTGATGATCGTTCACCCTTGCGTTGCTGTTCACTACCACCACTATACAAGTTCAAATTCTCATCTCTTTCTGCTCCCCTCACAATTGATGAACTCTTTCCTTCGCTTCTACCATTGACCATAACATTACCTTCCCATTTACCCCCTCCCCCACCCTTCACAAAACCCAGCCAGTAATCGTTTGCAACTCAAGAACTACAAAAATGATCAAAAGGGTTAAGAAGAAACCAGCAACCCAGAATCTGAAACTGGTTGAGTAATCAAAAGATCGCTACTTTAATCCACAACAAACTGAACCCACCAAGGAATCGTTCAGCTGCAGACTTGACAAGCTGGCAATTCAGAGGGAGAAAGGAAGTCAGTTTCTGAACAGGAAAGCTGATCCATGAACAAATCGACTTAACTCTTTCCAATTCCCAAACAAAGTAAGATCAATCGAACAGATTTTGAGTTGGCAGCAGTGAGTTGACCAACTGTGTAGCTGCAGGCCTAGCAGAAGGGGGGAATAAAGGTTGTGGAAAGGAAGTTTGTTAGCGATTGTTGTGTACGGTAGTGAGGAAATGAGAAGGAGGCGAAGGAATCAAATTGCGGAGAAGAGGAAAACTTCCAATGTGTATCATTTGTCAGCTTCTCCTGATTTTCGGATTTTATAATTCGATCAAATTAATAAATAAACTGCAAATCAAATTAGCAGAATATTACTCTGCCTTTTTATTTTTATTTTTTGGGTAAACCTGCCTCCTTTCCCTTTCACTCTTGAACGGTTGAATTACGCGGGAAACCCCAATGGATCTGGACCGGGCCTTGGACGGTCAGTTTCTATTATTATTATTATTATTATTTTTTTTTTTTTGCATAAGCCAAATAGGGATTCAACTAGAGTTCTCAGCAGCAAACAAAGGCTTAATATTGTAGTAATACTAGCGATTTTGAATCTGGAGGTTCAGTTGTTAATAATTTTTTGAATCTGGAATCGTGGATATCCGCTCGAATTCGACTTAATCGGGTAGGGTAAAACCCGAATCCGAAGGATTTTCAGTGGATATAGGCAAAATTTGAACCCGAATATTGCGGATAATGAGTAGGCATGATTTTCGTACTATCCAACCCGAACCCGACCGATCATACACATGCTTATGTATTTTGTCTAGAAATGATTACGATTTTTCTCAACAGATTTGATATTTAGCAAACAAATCTAATATTTTCGTGAAATCGTGTTGTGTTTAATTATTTTTTGGCATTCTAGTAATTACTGTCATCCATTTTCATTTACATAATGTGAGTATACGCGTGGATGTTAACATGTTGGTTGGAGTTATGATGAAAAAATTATTATCCATGTATAACCGTGGATACTCGAAACTCGAACGGGTATGGACATGGTTTTGATTTTCTATCCGATTCTTATGTGAGTATGGGTATGGTAAAACCCGAACTATTTTGAGTAGGATAATGTATATGCACTATCCACCTCCGACCCAACCCATTGCCATTCGTATCGACGGTCATGAATGAAATTAAAATAATTGAATGATTTTTCAGCATGGAAAATTAAATACAGGGTAGGCTGTGACTGCGACAACAAGGAATTGAGAGCCGGCTTCACACGATGACAATATTCCAATTAGTATATAAATACCCAAAAAAAAACATACAGAATTTAAATAATCAAGTAATTAAGTCATTATCTGGGTTGGAAAAGAAGTTATTTATTATATGATTGCTGCCGGGAAGCTTTAGTAGCTGAACCCACTTGCAGCGATTATATATGAAACTTTCTTCATTTACCGTGAAAAATTAAAGAAGTAATAACTGGAAGGGAATTTATATAATATCAACGATATGAAGTCAGTCGCATTATGACAACCAATCAGCTCTAAAACATAATTTTACGTGAATGATCGTCACAATTTAGTCATTCCCCAAATCGTGCAATTTTTAGAATATCAAAACCTTGTTGTTCGATAATCACTTTCTCGCAGAGAGTGGTAATTAAGGTAATAATTACAACACACAGACACAAGAGAAGCTTACTTAGACCTTAGTAATTAAGGTAATAATTCAGGCGTGGAATTTCAGTCACATCGCGTTTATTACAGAGCAAAGTAGCAAACACCGAACACTGTAGTACAGTAGCAGTAACGTACAAATACGGTGTAGTTTTCAGTCTAGTGGCGGAAGCTCCTGACCGGACGAGGCGGGTGAGCTTCGGTGTCTTCGAGCTTCACGGCGGTGTAGGTGCCAGCTCCGGCAAGAGCGCCGAGGGTCGGCGCAACCAGGTATATCCAGAGTTTCCTGTAGTTCCCTGCCGCCACCGCCGGCCCGAGTGTCCTCACTGGGTTCATCGACGCTCCGGTCGATGTCCTGCATATGCACCAGAGAACCATAGCATGCAACTCATTCAAGAATCAAGATCGTGTCATAATTAATCATGATCTTCGACAAAATTGAGGCCTACTATCTATCGGTTTAAGAGATATACAAAAAATAAATTCGGAAATTTTCCCAAACTGCAAGGATTACTAAACAAACTCCTACGATAAAAAAAAAATTTGAAAATACTAGAGTTTGATGTGGTTCGCTCTAGTGTCCAACGAATTAGATAGTGATTCGCGGGAGACAGGAGCGATCTACATCGAACTAATTTCAGTCGCGCCAAATCGAAGCGAACTAGCACCAAATTAAACCAACCAGAATAATAGTGCTGGGAACCGAGCCCCGAAGCACCTGCATCATAGCAATTAATACAAGCAAACCAACCTCGAACCACCCGAATCGCGGGACAAACCGAAACGAACCAACATCGATCAACCCCTGTATATCTAACCTTGATCGAAACTTCGACTTTGTGCTCAGTTATTTCATTGTAGTGAATTTTTACCCCATGATCGGATAACCGTGAGCCCAAATTTATGAATCATTCGAAGTTTCGACCTATTTAGGTGTAGATCTTTGGGTGTCATCAGCAATCTGATGTGGGTTCGCTTAATTATATTAGTTGTATCACGATCCATGTTCATTCAAAGTTGGTTCGCCTGAGTTTAGCGCGATTCATGTTTGATTCGAGGTTGGTTCACTTGAAGTTGCTACGATCCATGTTGATTCGAGACTAGTTCACTTGGGTCTTCAGCAATCCGCGTGATCCGAAGAGTGAATTGCTTTTCTTTTCCAACGAATCACCACATAGTTCGCTAGAAACTTAAGTAAACCACGTCAAACTCTAATATTTTCGAAATTTATTTCAAATATGGTATTGTGAGAATTTTTAAGATAATTAACAACAATTTTCTGAGAAAGTGATCACTCACCCTGCAACAAGAATGTTGAGCATAACCGTAGCACCAACCGCAATCCCGGCCAGCTCCCCCACCGCGCGAGTATCCGTAGCAACGGCAGTAACAACAAAAAGCAGGACGAAAGTAATAATGAACTCAAGTGCAAAAGCCTGGCCGGTGGCGACGGAAGGCACGGTGACGCCGCCGGACATAAAGGGATGAAACACGCCCTTGAGTGCGAATGCCGCGCAGATTGACGCCGTTACCTGGGCAGCGATGTAGGCCGGGACGTGGGCCCAGGGGAAGTGGCGGAGGAAAGCGAACGCGATGGTTAGCGAAGGGTTCAAGTGGGCGCCGGAGATGTGTCCCGTCGACAGGATGATGATCATCACGGCTAGGCCCGAGCAGGCGGCGTTGCCGATCAGGGTCTCGGCGCCGGCGTACTTCTGGTTGACGATGGGGCCTGCCGTCGCCGCGAAGATGAGTATGAAGGTGCCCACGAACTCCGCACCTAGCTGCAGGCAGCCGTGTCAAAGAGATGAATGTTGTCCTTAGAGGTCGATGCATGCCTACCAGGTGTTTGTAAAAATGGCTGAGTGAAAGGGCATGTGCCCAGCGCAAAGCTAAAATTCACCTCTACTTCCTTTTCATTTTTACAGCTAAGCTAAGTAGTAATGTTACTTAATAATACTTAAATTTATTCTTCAAGGGAAAAGAGAAACATGAGCTTTTATTCTCCTGCGTAGGTTGTGCGGTGGCTGTGCAGCAGACAGCAGTATCATTGTAACACCGCACCGCCCATTGTTGGAGAGAAAACAGACTCCAGCCGACAATCAAGTGCAGCAGCAACGTTGAACTTAGGCACATGCACATCCATTTTCTAGCATAAAGTTTTGCTTTGTACTATTGCAAGTGCTCATTTTTAACTTTCTGAAACTTTGTTCATCTGCAATAATTAGTGCATATGAACGAAACGGATACTCAATTTAGCTTTAGAAACTTCAGTTCTCCAATAAGATATTATTATTTGGATTATTTAAATTGTAATTGACTGCATTGGCCCTTTTGTTTAGATATTTGTAAGACATTATAAGCTAATCTTCGTTAAATTCATAGTCAAAAACATTGTCAATATGTCGTTTCTAGAGAGACGACTCTACATCAGTACATCTTATATATCTAAGAAGATTAAACTACTCTCGACCTTGTCTTGATTGTGTTTAAAACTTTAGAACTTTAAATCTATTCTCTTACATTACACTCCTCTTGCAATGCCTAGACATAATATGACGAGTTGTCGTAGTGTGGGACCTACATTCTAACATTGACAATAACAATGACAACGAATCTAACCGGTTGAAAATTTGAACTAACTTGAATGTCTGAATCGTTGAGAGTGTCGAAATAGAAGGGCAATACGTGAACAACCCTCATTGAAATTATGAAGATCAAATAGAAAATACAATTACAATTATTAACCATAAGACAAATACACTAATTTATCTTGTATCCCGCCAAATTTCTAAACTCATCATACCAAGCGATTAAAGAGTGGACTCAATTGCTCATAATTCAGATTATAATGATGTAAATTGACTATATCAAATAACTAAAGCAGCCGCAAGGAAAGAAGGGAGTGAGTTGGGTATGAAATGGTGAATTCGTACCTTGCGACTGAGCGAGATATCGGGAGTGGGGAAATCAGTGAAGCAGGTGGGAGTGTCGGGTTGACTCCACGCTCGCACCGTCACCGGCAAGCACTTGCATCTCGCCGCCATCGACTTCCGATCGTACGACAGCGACTCCACCCTCTCCGCCGAAAACAGGGGACCTCCCGGAGTCCCCGGCGCAGACGTCGCCACCGGCGTTCCTCCTTCCGATTCCGGCATCCTTCTTCCGTCCAACTTTTTTTCTTCTTTTTTATACTTGAAATGTAAATTTTTTTTTGGGTTTTTTTATGGGGATTGGTGGGTAGTAAGGTGAATCGAGATTACATAATTTGATGGGTTTTTATGATGGTCTCGCTACAGGGTGATAATCTCGACCTTAGCCACGATCTAAACGATGGCTACAGCTAGAATCGATGCATGAACATAATCAATACAAAAAAAGAAACTTTTTTTTTTGGGTTTTTTGTGGGAAGGGGAGAGGAAAGTGAAGCTTTACATAGTTTGTAGGGATTTTATAGATGTGGAGCTAAGGCAGGGGAGGAAGGACGGGAGCCAGAGTAAGATGCAGAGTTTAGATCAATGGAATGAAATGGATGGTGAGGGAGAGAAGAGGATTTGTGTCTAACTCACCGGGGAGAAGGAGAAGTCGCCGGCCGATTGGGGATTGGAATGCAGGTGGGAAGAGGCGGAACAGGGGAGGGGAAAAAAAACAGAGGTTTTCAGGGCAGGGGAGGAAGCAGGTTACAGAGGAGGAGGAAATGGAGGTATTGGAAAACGCAGATCGATATATAAGGGATGGATTGACGTCTATATATTTATGTATAGAGGGAGAAAGGGGTGTTTGTTGAAGTCTACTTGTCAGCGAGTTTCTTGATTACTCAATGAAGGATTTCAATTCATGGGTGTCAACTATGGCACTCATTTATTGGTGTAAAATTGGTATACAAATGCTTACAGTGTGGAGCCTAAAAATTGAATAATCATTTTGGTGGGAGCGGTGATCCGTTACAAAGTTGACTTCTTTAGCAAGAAAAATCTTCAAATTCAATGCTAAGTAAGTCTTTGGTGAGCAGCGACGTAGATGAAGACTCAATGTGTTTTGGAATAGTTAAGAGTTAGCGATGACAATGAGTCTGATTGTATCGAGTACCCAGATCTGTACTCAATCTATTGGATGCACTCACAAAAATAAAATCTAGTGTGGCACTTATGTGGTTATGGAAGGTTGTACCCTTAGCTTATGCAACATGTATTGATAGGTTTATATTGACGTAATTGTGGATATTATCAAATTCTCACCCTACAAATACATTGTCACAAGACAATGAAATGCTGAAAATAATGATAATCACACTTTATGTTCAAACTTTTAGCCACTAAAAAAATGTGTGTAAGGCAGAAAATAAACAATCGATAAGTTGCATATTTCTTAATCGTTTACCAGCTCTTTGAAAATTAATTTCATGCACAAAATGGTCAGAATCATCAATCTTTTTTGTTCTTGGTAGTATAAGGCGACTAAAGTGCAATTATTAATAATCGTGACAATGATTTAAAAAATGCAAAAGAAAACAAAATTGGGAAGATAATGATAAAAAAAAATGCAAAAGAAAACAAAATTGGGAAGGAAATGGACAAGAGGCCAAGATGGGTGAAGTGAATGGGTAGCTCTCTCTGTCTCTCGTCTCATCTCATGGGAGAATCGAAAGTCAATGCCAATCCCATCATTCATAGCTACTACCTCTTTTCTTCTCTTCTCTAACAGCCCCTCTTTCGCTTAATAAATCACATGACATGGATTCTCATTATCATTGAAACGTGAAATTGAGATTGGGAGGGAATGGTATATTGTTCATAAAGATTTTTTTTTAAAAATTCAGAGATTGAAATTAACGGATTCTTGATATGATGTTAGAGCTCGTTTGATCAAGTGGTCGTGTGTTTAAATATCTATGATTTGTAATATTGACAATTAGTTTTTTGAGATTAACTCGTTCTTGGCATAGTATCAGAGCTGGTTTGGCCAAGTGGTAGTATGTCCGAGTCTTCTCGTCCCTCGATATTAACAATTAATTGAAGCACAAGATATTGTGGGTCGTCAGTGCAAACTTACAGCCCATGCGTTAGCTTTCGTGTAAGGGGGCGTATATGAGATTGATGTATGGTCCATAATGAACATTTTTCCAACAACTCGAGTCATTGAGACTACCTGATTCTTGACAGAGCTAAAATTGGTGGGTGCAGATTTGGCATCTTCTCATAGGCAAGATCTTAGTCGTGAGATGTGCGTAGGTGTTACTTCATTCCACGAACCGCTGTCATGTTTTTTTCTATTACCCAGAAACCTCAGCCCCACGTGCCACTTTGTGACAGCGGGTCCTACTAAATTTGGTGGCCACCTGCAATTAAATTCAACGCCAATTGGGCTTCGCCCCCAGCAGCTTTTCGACCTCCAGGAACACCAACGGGCCTCGATTGGATTCGAACCTGGGATATGCAACTCCCAAACTTTCACTGTCGCGACAGCTTTACCGTTAGACTATCTTACTTTTGATAAACCGATGTCATGTTATCGTGTTCTTTGTTTTGGTTTCTTCAATTCAAGGGTGTGTCAACTTAATAATGACGATGGCCGCACCTCCTCCCTCCAATCACCATTTGTTCATAATGACATCGACGTAGTTTCTTTTTACTTCCCAATTGATCGTATGATCCAAGTATCCCATCACCTAGATGATGAGACAATCTAACATCTTCTACTCTTATATCTATTGGTACAGTATCTCGAAACAGAGAAAGTCCTTCACCGTGATAGAAAATTGTGGTTTTCTGGGTGTCAATGCATTCTAAGAAAAATCTATGTATTTTAATTTTAAATTTTAACAAAGTAACTATCATCGTCTAGATCATAGTTAGTATATTTTTTTATATTTAAAAAGAAAATAAAATTCAATTTCAACATACTAAAAATATTGATCGGTAATGGGGAAAATCATAGATGTGATGAGATGAGATCTAGATAGTGACGACTGACAACAGTTGAGAAAATCTTGATACTATAAATTTTTGTATACTTTCTTCCTAATTCCCTTGTGCCCTCCTTGAATCCCGACACGTGGATCAAACTAATAGTGTGCAACAATACCCCGTTCTCCACGGATTATGGCATAACATGAATTCTAGATTATGCATCCATACTTTTGCTAAAACACTTGAAGGAGGACAAAATATATATATATATATATATTTAAATGTTCAAAACACACCACAATCTTACTCGTGTGTAAGATTATTATTTGAGGCGGTCAAACTTATACTTGGTCTTTAACGAAATAAGAAGAAATAAAAATAGACGAGAATGAGAGTGAAAACAGGCTAGTTAATCTCTCTACCAAAACTCAAAACACCCCATTGCCTCGTTCTTCCATTAGACCGAGCCCAAGCTTTATTTCCAATCTCTCCCCCACTATCTTTAGCAAAAACTAGAATGCAGAATTTCGTTCCGCCGAAAACAACAACATTTCCCCCAACAACAACCTCTCCCAAACAATTCCTCCTGCTAAACTAGTGAGAGTTCTTCCAAAACTTTCTTCACCTTTGGTGTTACTTCTTCACCATTCACCACACACGTCTTTTTCACACTATCACCACCATCTCTTCCTCTTTTTTTGGCCCTTTTCACCGATCCCATTACTCACCACACCATCAATCGATGAAGCATCAGTCACTCCTCGACCCAAATCCCCAGCCTTTCAGCTGGTAAATTTCCTCTGTTTCCACCAAAAAGAAAGAAAAGAAACAGAGATAATGGCCAAGGACCACGCTCTAGAGTCGAAGAGAAAGCGCCTGACATGGATCCTAGGCGTCACCGGCCTCTGCATCCTCTTCTACACCATGGGATCCTGGCAGAACACCACCAACAACCCTCCCAAACCCCAATCCGACATCAAAACCAAATCCGAATGCGAAACCCCCGCAACCAAAAACATCAACAATCTCACATCCTCGCCAATCAAACTGGATTTTGAGAGCCATCACCAGATCCAGATAAGCGACGAAAGCTTGACGAGCAGCAAGGACGAATTCCCGCCCTGCGAGATGTCCTACAGCGAGTACACGCCCTGCCAGTACCCGCCCCGTGGGAGGAAGTTCGACAGGGAGATGCTGAGGTACAGAGAACGGCATTGTCCGACGAAAGAGGAGCTGTTGTTCTGCTTGATACCGGCTCCGCCGAAGTACAAGACGCCGTTCAAGTGGCCGGAGAGTCGGGATTATGCGTGGTATGATAACATTCCGCACAAGGAGCTGAGCATTGAGAAGGCCGTGCAGCATTGGATTCAGGTGGAGGGGGAGCGGTTCAGGTTTCCCGGCGGTGGGACCATGTTCCCGCTCGGCGCCGATGTGTATATTGATGATATCGACCGGCTCGTCCCGCTCGGTGATGGGAATATCAGAACCGCCATCGACACGGGCTGCGGCGTAAGTCTCCATTGACATGATAGAAATTGATTATGGTAATGTTTAACAGGTTATTAATTGGTTTGTATATGTCCTGATTTCTATAATTTACGTTTAACAGGTTATTAATTGGTTTGTATATGTCCTGATTTCTATAATTTTAGTTGCTGCGAGTGATACATTTATGATACTCTCGTTTGATTTTAAAATGAAGTTTTTTAGTTTTAAATTTTTTTGAATTTATCACGAATTTATATTTGAAAGATAACATTGTTTGTTTAGTTGATTTTGATAATGGATTTAAAGATTTTTGTACTATGGGTCTTCAAAACTTGCCTTCGATGACCAAATACCAAATGAAATGTTGTATTTGCAAATACGTGGGCCCCACGGATTTGTAGGCCTCAACAAACAATGTTTTTATATCAAATACGTAATGTTTTGTATTTGGGTGCCTAATACTATCACCCAAATCTCACAAGCAAACGACACCTTAATTGTTTTTTTATTAGACTGAAATTGGATTTAACTCGTCTGTCCTTGTTTCCAATTTGTTTTCCCAAATAGGTACATAATTTTTTGTGGTAAAATTGCATTTTAGTACCTTCATATTGTTGACTTACATTACATTGCATGAACTTTTAATACTTTTACGCATATGTGCTCTTTTAGTACCATATCCTCTCCCAATTTCAAATCACTAGTTATTGTCATGGGTCATAGAGCCAAAAAAAAAAAGTGACTCGATCGGATCCTATCCTACCCGACACTTACTAGGCCAAAAGATGACTCGACACTAAACTGACCTTGTAGAAATGTTGATTCATCCTAACCGTCGGGTCAGGTCGAGTCTAGGACAGACTTGCAATTTCGATCCCATGTCATAAGTCAACCGGTCTTAACAACTCATAAACCAACTAATCCCAATAACACGAGTTGCTGAGAGAAGATTAATTATGAATCTCATATCACTCTCTTACCGTCTCTTTCTCTCCGTTTTCCTTGTAGGTTGCTAGTTGGGGTGCATACCTGTTGAAGAGAGACATATTGGCAATGTCTTTCGCCCCAAGAGACACTCATGAAGCCCAAGTCCAGTTTGCCCTAGAAAGAGGAGTTCCAGCCATGATCGGCGTCATGGGCTCACAGAGGCTTCCTTACCCAGCAAGAGCTTTCGACATGGCTCACTGCTCCCGCTGCTTGATACCATGGTTCCAATACGGTACTTAATTTCCTCCTCTTACCTTCACATCCACTTTCACATCCACCATGTCAACTAAACCCTACTCTGGATGTGTTTGTGGCGGCTTATACAGATGGGCTTTATCTGATCGAAGTGGACAGAGTGTTGAGGCCCGGTGGTTACTGGATCCTCTCTGGGCCTCCGATCAACTGGAAGAAGTACTGGAAAGGGTGGGAGAGGAGTCAGCAGGATTTGAAACAGGAACAGGATGCCATTGAGGATGTAGCCAAACGACTGTGCTGGAAGAAAGTGGCTGAGAAGAATGATCTCTCGATATGGCAGAAGCCCATTAACCACTTTGAGTGTGTACAGAATCGGAAGGTCTACAAGACTCCTCATATGTGCAAGTCCGACAACCCGGATGCATCATGGTACGTATCTAACGTTCATCTACACATGCATCATGTTACTTCATGTTTTCGAATTAGGGTTGGAGTTGGGACGTTTTAAAGCATTAATGGTCATTGGATCGTGTGTGTCGTTATCCACGTACAGTCGTTGGCTACAATAGAACGTGCTAACTCGAGTTCACATTAAGATCATAATCGTGGTACATTTTATGATTGAACTAATAAGTATTATTATTATTATCACACAAAATGAAGAAGAAAAATACAGAGTCAATCATATTTTGCTGGAGAATTTGATTATTGTGGAAATAGGACGATACGATCGGCTAGTATCATTAGTCATCACTTATGTGTTTTAAAATTGTTAGTTCAACACAACAAGAATTTTACAAATAATGTCATACGAGTTGATCCGATGGTTGTGAACGTTCAGAGAGCAGTTTTACAATGCTTTAAAGCATTGGTACGTGGTTTAGTTTTTTTTTTTTTTGTCTTTATGGTACAACTTGAAGTTGTAACTTAAACGTTATAGTACAACAACTTCAGGTTGTAACTATACTCTTTTGTATAAATCTCTTTATGGTACAAACAAAAGTTATACATTTATGTTATGGTACAATTTGAAGTTGTACCATAACATAAATGTACAATTTTTCTTACGGTACTTTAATTTGTACTTTTAATGTTATAGTACAAAGTAAAGTTGTACTTTAAAGCATAGTAGAAGTGCTACGTTATTTATGTGCTCTTTTCTTTTCTAATATATCGAAATAAAAAAAAATTGGCTCAATTTTTTTACAGGTACAAGAACATGGAGATATGCATAACTCCACTACCAAAGGTAAACGGACCCGACGAAGTCGCCGGCGGCGCGCTAGAGAAATGGCCGGACCGGGCCTTCGCGGTCCCGCCCAGGATCTCTACCGGCTCGATACCGGGAATCACGGTCGAGAATTTCAACAAAGACAACGACTCGTGGAAGGAGAGGTTGCGCCACTACAAGCAGATCATCAACCCTCTCGCTCAAGGTCGGTACCGCAACGTCATGGACATGAACGCATACCTCGGCGGGTTCGCCGCCGCGCTGATCAAGTACCCCGTGTGGGTCATGAACGTCGTCCCCACCGAATCGGATCGAGACACTCTGGGCGCGATCTACGAGCGAGGGTTCGTCGGTACATACCAGGACTGGTGTGAGGCCTTTTCCACATATCCAAGAACATACGATCTCATTCATGCTGGTGGCGTTTTCAGCCTCTACCAGGACAGGTAAAGTAATTTATATAGCAGAAGGATACTAGCTAGCGTGTGTAGGTTCGAGGCGCTCGTGCTAATCGGTTGAATTGCTTCGTTTCTATTTGCAGGTGCGACGTTAAGATCATTCTGCTGGAGATGGACAGGATCCTGAGGCCGGAAGGGACGGTGATAATCAGGGATACCGTGGACGTGCTGGTGAAGGTTCAGAGCGTTACGAGTAGGATGAGATGGAAGAGCCAGATTATGGACCACGAGAGCGGGCCGTTTAACCCGGAGAAGATCTTGGTTGCCGTCAAGACATATTGGACGGCGAAAGAGCAAGAGTTGCCGAAACAATGATAGTACTAGTAGTATCTGCATGCCCTTAACATATTTTTTTTATATATATAGCAAGAAATTTTTCTAAATTTTTTGGACCGGTTTCGGGAATGGAAAATTCTTCCTAATTTTGTGACTTACCAATTACATAGGAAGGCGTGGTGAAGAGCGGGCTTGAAGATAAAAGGAGGCGATGACATGACAGACTGTTGATTGGAGGCCACAAATGAAATATGTGTCGTTTTATGTGTTGTGTGGTGGCTGGTGGGTGAATTTCTGGTTCTAAGCTTGGTTGGGCCTAAATGAAGCAGAGCTGGGCCAGGCAGTCAGGAAAAGGAGCCCAGGCCGCGGGTGTTAAATACTTTTCGGGAAATACGAAGGGATCAGTATTCGTATTGAAATTCAATGCTTCCAGTCGGCATTTTTTTCCTTCCTTTCAACCGCCACTGGCGTTATTTCATTACTTTGAAGGAAATTCGTTGGCATTGAAGGTGCCGACTGTCCAACCATATGTCACAAAGAAAGGGAACCATCTTTTTTTTTTTTTTTGAGTAATCATCATGATATTAACCGTTCATAAGTTGTTGCTAGGGCTTGGCTTAGGCAAATTAAATTAAGTTAATCAATTTTCAATAATAAATAATATAATTATTGGATTTTGATAGTTGGATTTTGACAACTAGCATCCGGAGTTTGGTGATCGCAGGTTTGATTCTGGTGTTTGATGACTAACCGAATCATTTACTGAACTCTAGTTGTTGAAAGTTATATCGATCACTGGTGAAGAATTGCCACGTCTGGTAGTGGATTTCGAAGAATGCTGACATGTAATGGGGACTAGCTAATATCTAAAGTTCATTGGCTTGGCTAGTGATGAAAATTCCATTAGGGGAGTCGCCTCTTCCTTTGCGATGGACATCGGCCGATTCAATACAATATCCTATCTGATGCATATAGAATTGACAAAAAAAAAAAGGAAAATAAGAATCATCCTTTCATGACATCTTTATTAATAAAATTCCACATGAAAGAAGAGCAAGAAACAATAAGACATTTACAAAGAAGTCATAGAACTTCGAACATTTAACTATCAATACATTATATTACCATAATACAGCCAAACTACAAATCCCGAAGAATCCATTCGGTTGACAAATATCAAGTAAATTAGTCATGTATATTAATATAATATTTGAAATACTGAAATACATTATATTAGTAATGTATTTCAGTATCTCAAATAACATATTAACTAAACTAAATACAATCCCAAAAACGAAATCACCAATGCCAAACTCTTTGTTATTTTCTTTATGGAATGAACCTCAAAATCTAATTAATGAAGTGTTTTTGCTGAAAAATAATTTTATTGAATGATTGTCAATTATGATACTCCATTACTCCTTAATTCATTCGGAGCCTGAAAACAAAAGTTAAGAATATTCAACTTACAAAAAACAGGATAATAACATGCAAATTGGGAGCGAGCCAGAAAATAAGAAAACACAAGGTGGGGAAACTCGGGAACTGTATTTACCGCTGAGGCCTGCTGAGAGCAACCGAGAGAAAGGCGAACGCGAAGGGCACTCTGTCTCTCTCTCTCTCTCTCTTCCCGAACATCCTGCCTCCGCTGTCGCAGCGGGGCTCTGTGAATTTCCGCTGCTCCGTTTCGTTTACTCGCGCAGCCGATCGATTCAGATCCGACGCGCCACCCGTTCACCGAGAAAGGGAGACGGGGGGAGGAGTAAAATTTCCCAAACAGAAGACGACAGAGTGAAAAATGGACGGCGGCAATTCAGCGGCGGAGGAGTCCGCTAGCCAGGTGGAAGAAGAGGTCGGAAGAGTAGTGGAAGAGGCGAGGCAGCTGCAGGAATCGGCTGCCTCTCACATCGCCAGGAGCTTCAGCGAAGAGCAGTCACTCCGCCAGCGCGCTAATTCCATCGACTCTTCCGTCCGTCGCTGCCGTTCTCTCCTTCACTCCTGCCTCTCCCGGCGCCTCATCGACGCCAAGCTAGCTGACAAGGCAATTTTGATCAATTGAATTAATTCGCATTCACTCTCACTTCAGGATTTGATTATGGTGATGTGGTTTTTGATCCGAGTGATTGCTTGTGACAGTTGGAAGACGAGCTGCAAAGAGCCAAGTGTGTCGTTTCCGATGGGGATGCCGCTGCTTTTCTCCCTACCAAGTCCCAAGGTAATTTGTGCAACTGCAACTTGTTATTTCCCTTTTCCCCAAAATGTTTGGTTACCGTTGTGGATTTGCTTAACCAAATCAGTGCTTCCATGAATCCTGGTCCTTAAATTGATGTCTTTCACATAACTGCATGTTCTTAATACTGTACTACGCTTAAAGCAACTGCCCCGTTCATCCTTGCAGGTGGCTTTCTCAGGATGTTTCTGGGTCCAATTAACGTGCGTGCCTCTCGCAAAGATGTCCAGTTGAAGGTTAAAGAAGAGTATAACAGTTACAGGGTATGTCCTACTCGAATCTGGAATGTCATTAGTTGGTTTCTCGAGCCCTACCCTTTACTCATAATATGGTCTCTCTGTTTTGAGCAGGATAGAACCGCCCTTTTATTTCTTTTTTTCCCATCAGCTCTACTAATTCTAAGGTCTTGGCTGTGGAATGGGTGCTTGCCAGCGTTCCCTGTTCAACTATATCAGGTACTCCCATTTTACCTAGTTTTTTTAAGATTGGATCTTGCTTGACCAATCTTAACATATTTGTCTTTTGTTCCACCCGCTCTTCAGGCATGGTTATTGTTCCTCTACACCGGGTTGGCCTTGCGAGAAAACATTCTGAGGGTCAATGGAAGTGATATTCGTCGATGGTAATTGCACAGTACCTCTCCATTTCTTGAACCCTTTAGACCAATTCAGACTGTTTTTCGTTCTTTTGGGTCGTTAATCTATTATGTTACTTTCGCCGAATTCATGAAAACCATAATTAAGGAGTTCAACCATTATGTTACAGTAGAGCACTTTTCCCCTCTCTCGATCCATTGGTGGCAGTAAAACAAAATTCTTTGACATGAATAGAGTTATAGAATTTCTTTTGCCTATCTAAATTGTCTTCACGCCCATGGAGGAAAAGTGTGCCATGAATAATAAATGATAAAAATGGATGTGAAATTAACCATTATGATTTCAGTACTGTTTATTACCCATGTGCTGATGTAACTGCACAGATTAAGAGTTTCAGTTACTGCATGTGAGTCTAGGAGACCAAATAATAAGATTACTTCTGTCGGAGTATTGCTTCAGACACTATTATGTTTTTTTTTTTGTCACCTCTCATCTCACTTCCAGTTAAACTCCTCTGTGCTATGGTTTTTCTTATTACAAGTCTTCATGGCTTTTTGTTGAGTAGGGTTCTATCGCTACTCATTACTTTGTTTCCTTTACCCTTCACTACTCATTACTATTGTCCACAGAGAAGGGAAATGAAAACCTTCATACCATGATTTTAAGCTAGAAAACAGCAGAATGCTCCATTATGGGTAGCCTACTTCTTAACAGAGAGATATTAGTCCTACTAACTAGAGCTATTTTGATGTCACATTAGTTTACTAATGTTCTAGATCATCTATCTTTTGACACTACCTTAGGCATGGGTGAGATCCTGTTAAGAGTTGAGAGAGTCTGAAAGCAATATAGGGAGAAAATTAGTTCCATACACCAAGGGTTGGGAGCTCTTGCAAAATGAATATTACTCTATACTTTGGGACTTCATTCTATGGTCTTGACTCAGACTTGAAGAAAGTTGCAGCATTCACTTGTTTTAAGTTTTATTCAATATTTGAAACTTTGTCACAGAACTAAATTTAAGATTATATCACCCATATCTTAGGAAACCTATGAAGAGTTGTCTGCTATGGTTTCATATTTGGGCTGATAACATGCTGGAATCTGACCACTTCGTGCAATCACGTTATGTGTTATCCATGGTGTCAGACTGTAATTTTAGTCTTAGATTGTTCTTAACATTCCTTAGGCTTGCTTCACTGAGCCGTCTTGGCTAATTATTGGAGGCTGTTGACTGATATGTTATGGCCAGTATTTGTGGGTTCTCATTGGTCTTTAGAAGGTGATGATCAATAAGTGATGGTAGTTAAGATTTGCTTGTAACTTTTTAGTGAACTATCTTGATCAATCATTTTTATCATGAGAATATGTTAATAAGGATACAATTGACTAGTTCCTTGACTCGAAAGCTATATTTTTTTGCTACTGGGATTTTCTAGATCAAGTCTAGGAACTGTTATCTGTTTAAGAATAACATGTCACTTTCCCCTTCCTACTGATGGTGAAAGAGCATGGGTGCTAGCTCTTCCAGTTTGACAAGTTTTTCATTTTTGTTGAATTGTTTGAACTTCTGTCAATACTCGGTCGTGCTGTTAGGAATGCCTCCTGTACCGGTTTGTCGGACTATATAGAGGATGTAAAGGATATCAGCGGTTAAAGGTGGTCACATAACGTTAGTCCATTCACTATGTATATGCATCTGTCATTGACAATTTCCCTTCAAAAGTTACTTTTATGCTTCCTCTTGTAGATTATAAGCAAGTGTCATTATGAATCATGTAATTAAGAAGTGTAAAAGGTTGCACTTAAAAAAATTTGAGAAGTGATTAGTAGCTGCTTCACCTATTACATGAGAACATTACAAGTCCACTTATATTCTTTCTTCAGGTGGATATACCATCACTATTGTGCTATGCTTATGGCCCTAGTAAGTCTTACATGGGAGATCAAAGGACAGCCCAATTGCGCTGCAAAACAGGTTCCTACTTCTTCTGCACTGTGCTTATCACACTTAGTTATCCTAGTCATAATGGTAGTGTTTATTACAGAGAGGGGTTCAACTTTTCTTGCAATGGGCTATGATGCAAGGAGTGGCGATGCTTTTACAGAATAGATACCAGCGCCAGAGACTTTATACTCGAATTGCACTGGGGAAGGTATAGCAACAGAAGTATCTTATTTCATATTTGATTTACTCTTTCATATTGTTAGAAACCAATTTCGTTGAGAATAGAATACTATTTCTTATGAGGATCAGAATTCTTATAGCAATTCATTTCCAAACTGTGTTTTGGAATAATTCCCTGCCCTTTTGGTTGTGGACAGTGCGGTGTGGGTACACTCGTATCCAATTCATGTGCAAACATTTTCATACTATTGTTTATGAACATTCTTGTATTGGCTTTTTCAGGCCAAGAGAATGGATGTCGTCTGGGGTGAAACTGCAGGTGTAGATGGGCAATTGTGGTTGTTGTGCCCCATTCTCTTCATTTTGCAGGTGAGAGAGCGTTTATTAGTTACGTTTCGACTCTTGGTTAAAATTTGAGAATGAAGAAACTCCACTTTTACCATATCATAGGAACTCTTGGTCCTAACTAAAATTGCGCGGCAATACTTGGTTTTGCTTATAGGGTTTCGAGGCATATGTTGGGCTGCAGTTGCTGATGACTGCATTCGTGAGGGTCGTCACTGAGTGGCAGGTAATTTTCTGCCGAGAGAAACCAGCAAATTTTTTATGAGTTACCATTTCACCATTATGCAGGTTAAGTGATTGGTGAGAATGTGGTGATAGGTGATCTTCTGCGGATTCCTTCTGGTCCTGATGGCTGTGGGGAACTTCTTCAACACGGTACAGACACTGCTGACAAAGTCGAGGTTCAAAGCCAAAATGAAGAGGGTTAAGAGTAAGCCAGAGTTGGATTGAATGCAAAATCCAGTTAGTTTGGTAGGATTTATACTTTGTGCTGGCTAAAGCAAGCCATGAGATGTCATTCGCTACATTTCGACCCTCTGTTTAAGGTGGTTTCTGAAAACCTGTCGGAAATATCTTCTTATAAGGTTCTTGTTGTGAACATGCCGACCGGGATCGGATGTGCTTCTCTCATGTTTCCCTGGAGAGAAGTTTGGAAAAAGAAGGTAAAGAGATTTAGGTTGGGAAGTGATAGAATGATCGGATAAGTTGGTCCATCAGAGTGGCTGTTTATAGGTTGTACTTTTGCCTGATGGGGGTTAGCTCCTGATTTCCAGTTGGTTTTGGTTTTGGTTTTGTTTACAATTGAGGACTTGACGTTGCTGCCGGGTTGACGATTGAATAACAATGTGAATTATATTTAGGATTTAGGAAGTGTGTCCTATAGTGAAATGTGTGCTTAGGCTTCGGCAGATGAAAACAGTACTCGAAGCGTGGCTAAGCTACTAGGAAGCACGAGCATCGTCAGTTCTGCGTATGAAAAAGTTCGACATGAACTCGGAGCGAGCACACAGAAAAACCAAAACCAATTGTACTCGAAAGAGTGCCCCTTAGTGGAATGCAAATATCGTTGTAAAAGAGCAAGAGCTTGTGATTTATAACTCGCTTACATATTCAAAATCTTCTGCAACCTCTATAATTTCACAAACATAAACCTTACAAATTCCGATATCTAATCAATGTATTTGTTTTCCAACTGAATTGGCGCAATGAAGAAAATAGATTTGGATTAGGTAAATATTATTGAGTGAATAAATTTTAAGTGTTTTGGATTGTAATTTGCTACTTCTGTCCTCTTCACACGTGGATCTCATCCCACTGACAGCCCAGATTATAGATCCCAGCCTGGTAATGATAATTGATCTTGGGCTGCGTAGTTGCATTTGGATTCGACATTGGGCCATCTTACCTGTGGCCCATGTCTATCGAATTTGACGAAACGAGAATCGATCTCCCCTGACCACCAGGCTCCAACTGCAAACCGCGAGCAGGCGAAACGCGACAGCTCAGGTCTCAATCCCCGACTTGGCCGCCGGCTGGTTTTTCCGAGAGAGGACGGAGGAAGGAACTACAGAAGGAATATGAGGTGGGGGTTGACCGGCGGTGGAAGCGCCGGCGGTTTGATTAAGAATGCGTTGGTTAGGTACTTCTCGAAAGAACGCGCCGTCAACGTGAGGAAGATAAACCCTAAGGTCCCTTTCCCGGAAGCTTTTGCGATATCTGAGTCACTGTACAACATCATCAAGCAGAATGGCCCCCTCACCGTCCCCAACACATGGAACCTCGCTAAGGTGCATTCTCGCTTTTCAATTAGATTCATTTCGAGTGTGTGTGAGTGTGACCAAACTACTCATTTGGAAAGGGAAAGAAGTACTGTTTCATGGAGATAATGATCCAATTTCCTGAACAGTGCAATGACGTTGGATGGTTGCTTTAGCTCTTAGCTATTTTTGACTGAAAAAACCTTAGCATTCTTATACATTCCACATATTTTGCTGATTTTGATCGTTACCCAGTTCATTGCCATGTTCATACTGCTGTAAGTCTCTGGGGTTGGGTTACATTATATATAATTTTGTGTTTTGGGTTGTCATATAATCATCACATTGCATGCCCTTGCGTTCATTGGAGCCGTGATCTTGTCTGTATGCTTGTTTCGTTTATCATTCCGCGTTATTAACCTTCCCAGCTAATGAGCTATTCATGGTAAAGAAAGCTGCACAACAGTCTCAACGTTAAGTCTGCATATCTTGACCATTCAGTAACCACCCATGGTTCTCGTTGTTGCTTTACTTTCCCCCTGTATAATGGGTATGCATTAGTAATGTGAGAGGTGGTGACTGTTAGCTTATTTAGGTACAGAACATTGCAGGATTGATTGAAGGAACCATGCTAATTCGTACTCGCAACTTTCTTAACAGGAAGCTAATATCAGTGGATTGAACAGCAAAACACACATGAAGATCATGCTTAAGTGGATGAGGGGACGAAAGATGTTGAAGCTGCTGTGCACCCAGGTTGGATCCAACAAGAAGTTTATGCACTGCACTCTACCTGAAGACCCACAGAGTGCTCCCGCTCCCAATTCGCATGGTTTGAGCCTCAGCACCGAGAAGCCCATCATCAGGAAGAAGAAAAGGAACCGCATCTAGATTGCATTCGCAGCAGCTTGAGCAATAGCCATTTGTTCTCGTCGTTTGGATGCAGATGCTTTGCTCATTGTTGGTTTGAACTGCTGCTCCCCAAATTTGGCAGGGAATGGCCATGTCTACTCCTCCTTGGTGGTAAATTGGTTGCAAATTTCCCGCACTTACCAGTAGTTATAATGTAGGGCCGATCTGTATTGGGATATTTTGGTTATGGGAGCAGTGTTTTTAGTTGGGGTTGGCTTGCTAGGCGAATATGACTGATGTTTCATGTTTTGTATCCCGTCACCCTTTGGAGGAGGAGGGTTTTTACTTTTACTTAATTAGTTACTAGAAGGGCAAATGAAAATATTAGCCTAAAAAAGGAAGGGAAAATATGAGATGCTGTCTAGTTTATCAGCTAACTTTCCTTTTTCCTGGTCGCAAGACTTTACATCGTCGGATCATGCATTGAGTGTTCTACGACTGTCAGATAGATGCGGTGACATTTTATTCGTAAAATAACTGCTTCATTTATTGAACGATCATGAAATTACCAACGCTCTATAAGAACATTCTTATAAATAATGTTACTGTCTTACTCATTCTCGTCTTGCACTTCTTTGTGTGTTACCATTTTTCATTGCACCGATGCCCAGATTCCAGAGAAGTAATTTTAAGTAGATTTCGCAGCGACATCTGTCCGTCACTCAGGAATTATTTCCCCAGTTACATCACTCACTGCCACCGACAGTACACTCGTCGACGGTGTCGTGGCCTCTCCTCCGCCTCGTAGTTCTGCGGTGGCTGCTGCTGACTTTGCCTCTAGAGTCTTAACTCTTTCATTTTTTAGTCGCTGCTTGAGACTGGTGAGCCAACCTCCATTTCTCCTCTCTTATCTGTCAATCATAAATACAGACCATCTTTTCTGTAACGCCAGCAATAGCGACCACCGAGACCGCCAAATCAGTTTTGCCCTGCTGCTTCCCGATCCACAGTCAGGTAGATACATGGCTTTTGATTATTTTCGTCTCTTATCTTGTTGGGTCTGGGTTCTTGTTAGAAATTTCGTCAGGGATTCTCGTTTGATCATTCTGTTGCTTGTTCTGGGTCTCCAATTTCCAGGTGGAGTTACAGTTTCTAGCTTGGAATATACTCGACCAATATGAGTTCTGAGAATGTTAAAGAGGATTGCCTTGCATGGGCAGCCAGAGATCCTTCTGGAGTTCTATCCCCCTACAAGTTCAGCCGCAGGTACGCGCTGTTGAACACTTGATAGATACAGTAGTTTGTACAATTCTTGAAAACCCATATCATTCCCATTGTTATGATGTTATCTAACATTTTCTAGCATCAAAGGCTGAATATTCACATTGGCAGCAGCAAGTGCAACAGCCCCTTTAGTGATCATGCTCTGCCTCCATGTTCTGAATGATTCTCCATATGGGAGATAGTTAACAGCAACTCGCTTTGCTTATCTTTTAACTTCTCCAAGATGATGGGATTCCTATGATGTTATATCAATCAAGTCATGATCATATAATTTGAGAGTGTGGATTCCTCTATGCTTGAAACTAATAAAAATATTTAATGGGATGGGAACATATACAGGTCAATCAGGGAGGATGATGTTTCCCTCAGAATAACTCACTGTGGAGTATGCTATGCGGATGTCGTCTGGACCAGGAATAAACACCATGATTCTAAGTATCCATTGGTGCCTGGGTATGCTTCCTGCTCCTCGAAGCTAGCATTAGTTGTTGTCTAATTGCTTGAGCTAATATGACCAGCTTTCTTCCTGAACAGGCACGAAATCGTTGGAATTGTAGAAGAGGTTGGTCCCAATGTGAGCCAAGTTAAACCTGGTGACCATGTTGGAGTAGGCACTTTTGTTAACTCTTGCAGGGAGTGTGACTATTGCATTGACAGAGACGAAGTCAACTGTGTTAAAGGATCTGTATTCACCTTTAATGGTGTTGATTCTGATGGGACAATCACCAAAGGAGGGTATTCTAGCTACATTGTTGTGCACCAAAGGTAAGAAATCGTCATTTTGCATGGATATTCAATCCTTTCTAGCATGTGTCCTGTACTTTTTAAGTTTGAGAGCAGGCAGTGGTTTCTGTTTATATAGGGTTTGGCTTCACCTTTGTGAACACTGAACAGCGGTTCTTTTCCTGGTTATATTCAAACAATAGTTTGAGCTTTTTTTTTTTTTTTTTTGTCTGCAGATACTGCTACAGAATACCTGAAGGCTATCCTTTAGAATATGCTGCTCCTTTGCTTTGTGCTGGAATTACTGTTTACAATCCCATGATTCGTCATAAAATGAATCAGCCGGGTAAATCCTTGGGAGTTATTGGTCTTGGTGGTCTTGGGCACATGGCAGTAAAGTTTGGGAAGGCTTTTGGGCTGAATGTGACGATTTTCAGCACAAGCGAATCGAAGAAAGAGGAAGCTTTGAGCGTGCTTGGTGCGGACAAGTTTGTTGTCTCCTCGGATGGGGAGCAGATGAAGGTCAGTGCTATCCTCTACGAGCGAAGCTCGTAGATTAAAACTGAACCTAAATATTTCCTGCTGGCTAATGCTATTGCAGCGTTAACACGGAACTTTTTTCATGCAGGCATTGTATAAATCTCTGGATTTCATCATCGACACTGCATCTGGTGATCACCCATTTGATCCGTACATGTCTACTCTGAAGACTGGGGGTGTTCTTGTCCTTGTGGGCTTCCCAAGTGAAGTGAAATTTAGTCCAGCAAGCCTCCTACTCGGTAGTTCTCTTCTTCCCTCAACTCATTTAGAAGATATTAACTTCCAGTCAAGTAAACTTCTAGCTGATGTACAGACTAAGCTGACAATCCTTACTGACGATTTGTAAATCTTGCTCCTGTGGGTTGTAGGTTCAAGAACAGTTGCTGGTAGTGTAACTGGTGGAACAAGGGTGACACAGGAGATGCTGGAGTTCTGTGCTGCACATAAAATCTACCCCAAAACAGAGGTGATTCCAATCCAGTATGTCAACGAAGCGCTCGAGAGGCTGATAAACAGAGACGTGAAGTACCGGTTTGTGATCGATATCGAGAACTCGTTGAAGTGATGATCATGAAGTAGAGGAAAGATGAATAGAAATAAACAGAAGGAATAATAAGGGCCAGACCCAGATAGATTTTACTCTGTGCAGTGTGGTAAAGTCGAGTCTTTTATGGGAGAATAAGGCAAAATACACTTGTATAGCCATAACTTTTACGTTTGTGACAATAATAGCCAATTTTGAAGAAATACACAAAATAGCCAGAATTTTAAATGATTGATGACAAATCTAGCCACTTCCGTCAAAAACTTTAACGACGTTAGTAACTCCGTTAGTAACGTTAACTTGATGTTGATGTGGATGCCACCTCGACTCACACATCAGCTCCAACAAGACACATCATGCCACCTAGATGCCACATCATAATAAAAAAATATTTTTTGAGATTTTAGAATAATAATTTATTTTATTCTTATGATTCTTATATTCTCACACACATTTTCCTCCACCATAACAAGATTATTCCTGATAACCTCCGCCACCAGAACCTTCGACCACCACGCCGCCCTTTCCCTTTGATTCCCCACCGAACTCCTCTTCCCCATGGATCCAAAAAAAATTCCATTTTCTCTCCCAAATTTTTATCAGTCGCTGCAACGAAGGGAACTAACCATCTCCAATCTGTTCCCTTCACCGGAGACCATCTTTGCCCAGCATTCAAAGAAGCGGCGCACGAAGCAGCAGTGGTAGGGGGAGCCGGCGGGAGACTCAAACAATCGCTCCCCTGTTGGTGGAGCTTGAACAAGTCTCGCTGAGTCCCTTGAACTGAGCTCAGTGCGACGAAACTAAAACATGGTCGTATCCCTTACCCAACTCCACCGGCGGCTGTGAAGACCAAGATTGAGTAAGCACAAAACTGATAACTTGATCTCCAGACCAAATCGAGAATGCTCAGGGGATCACAGCCGCTTTACTCCAGGACGACACAGAAGAAATAGTGGTCGGAGGAAGAGAATTAGGCTCTCCTCTTTGATCAAAGCCTGTTGCGGGCGAGATAGATCTAATTTGGGAGAGAAAAAAGGGGGGAAATTGGATCTGACTCAGAACTCAACAAAACTCGTATTTTGGAGACAGGTACTTATAAGCTGAATATGTGGGAAGAAGATGGAAGGCGGAAAGGGTGGGAGGCGACGACGAAGATGGATCTGTGGGAAGTTAGGGATTTGGTGGGTTTTGACTAAGTTAGATTTTTGGTCGAAGAAGAAGGATATGGAGGATGGTTGAAGAAGAGGGTTTGACATTGTCGAGTCGGAGAAAGAAGATGAAATTGCATTTCTGTTGTAACTCATACGGGAGCGGTGGCTGGGGGAAGAAGGGTGACGAATGGCGGTGGCCTTGTTTTGACCGGTGGAGGGGTTCGCGAATCGCGAGAAGGGGAAAGAGAGGAGTGATAAAATAAAATAAAAAGGGTTTAATTTTTAATTTTATTTTTCGTGTTGAAATAATTCCAAGTCAGCAAAGTCGTCTATCCAGTCAGCTTTTTCGTTAGTCTAGTCAGACTGTTAAATGACACCGTTAAAGTATTGGACGGAAATGGCTATAAGTGGTATTTCTCCAAATTTGGCTATTATTGTCATAAACGCTAAAGTTATGGCTATACAAGTGTATTTTGCCAAAGAATAACTATCAGATCCAACCCCCCTGCACCCTCCTTGTTTCGGTACAGATTTATCTATCAGATCTGATGTATGAAGAGGAGGGCGAGGAGAAACACTCGCGCGCTGTTAACGATAGTCGCGAGCTCCACGTTACACTCCAGTTTCTACTTCCATGGGGAAGGATCTCTCGCGAAGAAAAGTGACTTTGAAGGCAAAGAAGCATATCCAGGTGTTCAGCGACAAGCGTGCAGGGTAGATCGTAGATAACAATGCCCTATTCGTGATCAGGAACACATAAGATTAATGAATTTGAAGACTCTATTTGATTTGGTGAACTACATTCTTTCTAGTAGCTAGCACACATGTTATTGCAGCTTCCATTACTCTTTACAGTCGATAGAACCCATCTAGTTGATTGATATTGTTTGTATCGTTCCAATTTTATCGGTAATCTCTTAAAAAGAGCAGTTAATTAACGGATATGGATTGATTATATCATGAATTAATTGCCCTACAAAATTCTAATAATAGAATTCCAAATTTTGTTACAATGGGGCAGGGTACCATTTGTTGGGCTCTGGTGGGAACAAGATAAAGGACAACTAATACATAAATTTACATGCATCGATGATTCTTTAGAAGGTTAGAGAGATTCAAGCAAGTTTGGAGTCGATGGCGGGAAATTTTATGAAAAAATAATGTATAATTAATGTTAAAAAATAGATTAAAAAGCCAAGATTGAACAAGTTGTTTTAGTAACTAAAGCCCAAGGGCAAGAAACTATGTAGAAAAAGTTAGAAATTATCGTATTGGAAAAGCTGCAAGCTAGCTTAATTAATTAGCTAGTGCGATTATTAGTTTATTAATATGATTACTCATTCAACATATAGATTCGGTTTTCCAAATGCATTCAGGAGATTTCACACCAGGACAAGAATAAATGCCAAGTTAAACAAGAGAATTATTAATTTTTTTTTAATGGTGGGACAGCATAGGTCAAAATGTGGCCATCTTATAAGAGTTAAAAAAAAATTAATTAAATTATACGACAGTTCTCTTTGATTAGTTAGTCACTCTTCTTTCTTTCTTTTTTGCCTGGTCGAAGCTACCACAAACATTGCATAGCAAAGCATATATGTCCCTGTCATTCGCCATTGTTGAAAGCAACAACAAAATATTTATACATCTTATGCGTAAATTAGCTAGCTATTGATGTCGAAGGTGGTAAGATTCGAACACGAAAAGTTAAATTTTAAAAAATTCAATACAGCGATGAAAAGTAATTCATCGTTCTAGTAACTTAGCGTTGTATACCGAAAGATAACAAGAAATAAACATTATACTATTTTTTTACATACACATATGTGATTAAACCGATATAAATATTGGGATGTATTTTCACCTAATTTGTTTTTATCATCCTCATTATAATCATATATCAGTTTAAAAGGGATATCTATATAAATATCTAATTTGACAATGGACATCGAATTGTCCAAATGTATTCCACTTTGTATTTCATGTTTTGGTTGTCTTTGTCGTGATTGGTCATCTCCGGGACATGAAGTCCTTTTTTTAATTACATTTCCCTTCTTTAGGGCTTTTACAATTAATTAGTACAAATTAAATAAGCTGGCTGCAGACTCTCGCAAATGCCTAGTTATAATTTTCGTAAAAACAAATTTAAATAAACAAGTGGGTTTCATCGAGGGAAACCCTCAAGCCTTTGAGTAATAAGATAACCTAACCTAGCTATTATTTAAACAATTCTTTCCCCATTGAGTAAATTCCTTGAGATAAACTGATTGAGCATATGATCAGAAACAGGGATTGAAATTGAATTATAATCTACCTACCTAATTTGCTTTTAAAAAAACCCCTACCTAAATAGGTAAATTGTCAAAGCTAAGCAATATATTTCTTTCTTATTCATAATAAGAAAGAAAGAGATTGTTTCATTATTGTATATTTCGTCACAACAGGGTTGAAAACTCATCTTGCAACTATGCAAACATTTGCCTGAACTGTCTTATCTTACGTAATATTTCATTTGACAAATTGTAAATTAAAAAGGAATGGTGAGTTATAAGTCTTTACACATAGTATTTTTTTTTTAATGTTTGTTTGAGCTATGACAAGTTGACAACTCGAACAAGAAGATGAAAACTAGGGAACTTGCCAAGTCATAAGAACAAGGAAGTGGCCAATAGTCCAAAACCATCATCTTTCACTCTTGTTTTCGTTTGGAACTTGCGTTAGCTCCAGCTACATGTGCCACTTCATCTTACATCAGTACGTAAAATGTATTGGCTGGAGAAAGTCGATCGATGACCCCGCCGGCGGTTTGTGTATATACACGCACGTACGTGTAACGTAGGAGACAACTATAGAGCTAATCATTTCGCCGGCCGGCGGACTCTTAGTTGGAGTACTCCAAAAACAAGAAACGAAAATGAAGAAGGAAAACAATATCGTATGGAAAAACGCCATTTGCCTCGATGTATAATTTTGGAGTGGTCAGAAAAAAATCAATATTACACACGAAGAATTAATTAAGAGAATTCAAAATCAATGCATAATTAGGAGTAGTACTGAATCAGCCTAGCACCGAGGACATGTAGAGGAGAGGATCCCAAGACGAACCGCCGGCGCCGGCAGGTGGCGGCGTCCAGCCGGTAGTATTATTATTGTTGTTGTTGTTGTTGTTGTTGAGATCGCAGTGCATAAACTGGTGCTCCGTCGACGACGAACGGAGATCGCAGTCCATAAACCTAACGCCGTGATTGTTTCCGTTTGCCACCATCGTCACATCCATCCCGGAACTCGAAAACGACGACGCACGGAATTGAGTAGATTGGTCATGAACCGACCACGACGAGCTCGTCGTCGCCGCCCCGCTACTACTGCTACCATCAAACAAATTAGCCACCGTGTTTTGGTTGTCCAGCTGTGGGGCCCACGCCATTTGGTGATGTCCACTATACCCGGCGGAAAATTCGGGATGATGGAGTTGACCGGACCACGCCCCGTTGGGACTCTGCTGCCACTGCGACGACATTGGAGCAGCGTTTGTTTTTTCCCAGTAACTCGAATTGTTCAGATCGATCGTTTCCGTCGTATCTTGACTGTAATTGTGGAGTCCTTGATGCTGATGATGCTCAGTCGTGACCATACCATGATCCGTGACATGACGATTATTATGATGATGACCAATATCCTCGATCCCGGTCGAACCACCAACAAAACCAGCCGGTTGGTTCGGTTTCGGAGGCTTGGGTGGCCTACTATTGCTACCACCAATCTGGGCCGCCGGGGGAGCTACGGCTACGGCTACTTGGCCGGTATGATTCATAAGGGTAGTATTGTCCTTTTCACCGCCACCGCCAGCTGGCGCGTTGTTGTTGCCAGCTGGAGTAATCCGTAGGCCTTTTCCGTCGAGCAGCTTGGTCTTGAGGGCGCCGAGGATCCCGTCCGTCTCGTTCCCGGTCCCGCACACCTCCTCGAACGAGAAGGGCTCGATGCTGTCGTGGCAGCCGCGGGACCCGCCGCGGGAGGAAGGGTTCGGGACCTCGAAGTTGGTGCGCGCGTTTTCCCCACGCAGGGCCCGGGCCGCGTCGTCGTAGGCGCGTGCGGCGTCGTCGGCGGTGTCGAAGGTGCCGAGCCAGAGGCGGACCTTCTGGAGGGAGTCCTTGATCTCGGCCACCCACCGACCGGAGGGGCGCTGCCGGACGCCGACGAAGCGGTGGTGGCCACGCCCCGCCGACTTCTTCCGCCCCCGCGTGGCTTCGCTCGGAGCCGGCGCCCCCATTTTTCTGGCGATTCGGTCACGCCGGCGGAGTTAATTGTTGGTGGAGGAAAGAGAGGATGGAAGGTGCGGAGGATTGGAAAATTTCTTGGGGAATGAATGAATGGATTTCGAAGATGCGGGATTATATTAAGGGCGGCAACGGAGGGGAGAGCGATTGCGGACAACGGAAGTGGCCAGTATCTACAGCAACGTTGTCAAACCGGTTTATGACAGTGTGCCGGTTTAGCAAGTGGAATGGTTTGACCGGCGGTACATATCGTTTATGTCGGTTCATGCCGGTCAATATTACAAATAAAATTATAAATACTCATTTTAAACATGACATTTAACGTCAATACCTAAACATTTATACTTGAATCCAACAAATAACATCAATATTTAACATTTATACTCATAAAATAAATAATAAAATAATTTGTAACAATTAAAGTCACTAAAATAAGGTTATTTTACTTAGAGATTCGTATATCGATAATGCCAGTCATACCGGTGGTGTCACACCGGTTTTATGACCGGTACAGGTTGAACCAGGTACAACCGGTGGCACGCCGGCCGGCATGACAACCCTGATCTACAGCTTTCACAAATCGGTATTTAATTTATCGTTCACGAATTGAATTTTACTGTTCTAGATCACGAATTAATCTGTATACGTTGCAATCACAATATATCATATATATATATATATATATATTGAATTTTACTGTTTAGATCACGAATTAATTTGAATTAACCTATGATATTTATTTATTTTAGGGGACATCCCCAACATTGCCTTGCGTTGCTGCAGGCCGTGTTGTTCATATCGACGACCAAAATCAAAATCGGGGGAAAAAATATGAAATACACGCTAAGGGATTATTAAGATGAAAATGGAGAAGGAACAAAGGATATTATTATTATGTTTAATTTTCTTGGGGAAGCCGAAAAAAAGAAAACGTTACAATCGGTCCTACTGGGAACCAAGGTGGAAAACGACAAAATGAAGTCCTGATTAGCTATTGGTCGTTTCACTGGATTTTTGTTTGCTTTGTTACGAGACATAAGGTTAAACGTACATGATAGTGTTCTTCCGTATTCTGGCGAATGTCAAGTTCGAGAGAATCGAATTCTGCTAAGGAGAACGAGTAGAATGGTGTACAGATGTGGAAAGTGGAATTTCATATCGTTATTCTTGTTATCAGAACCAGATTGGATCACTTGGTCCACCAATAAAATATGATAAGGAGCGATTCATTTATGGATGGTTAACAATGAAGCGGGCGGTTGATAAAAATTGAATGTTGAATCAACGGGATCAACAAATCTAAATGGTTTATTGGTTTAATATTATGACATAAGAAAGAAGAAATAAAAGAGCATAAAATCAACCAAAGCCTTTCATGTTGGGGATTGCTAATTGTCGCCCTAGTATTTACTAATCGCCCTAACATAAAAATTAAAATTACGGGGTCGTTTGCTTGTTGGATTTGAAAAATGAGGGTTTTGGCCAATAAAAACCTTGGGATTTATGTTGGATTTATTGGATTATGGATTTGAAGAGTCTAATGTTTGCATGATGGATTTGTGATGGATTTGTGATGGATTTGTTAAATAAATAACTAACCATCAAGGATTTGCAAATCCCAAATCAATATGTGGGATTTACAAGTCCGTGGGGTCCACGGATTTGGTTCCAAAATAAAGACCAAATCCGTGGACCCCACGGATTTAGCACCCTTAAACAAACAATGAACTTATATTAAATCCATCAAGCTTGGGATTTGGATACCAAATCCATGACCCAAATCCAACAAGCACACGACCCCACATCTTTATCCTTATGTTTTTTTTAAACGATCTTTAGTTAAAACAAACAAATAATTGACATCAATTATTCATTCACGTTCCTTGCTTCCTCAAGAACCTGCGTTCTGTTGATCAAACTCCCTACAGAGATTCTTGTTAAGCTCATGAATTATCCAATTGTAATTCTCATTAGGTTGGCTACAGTTGTTTTTGGGATTTGTGCAGCAAGCCAAGTAGCCAACAACCTGTTCTCCTTTATTTCTCTTTTCGTCATCGCAGATCTGGTTTCCGTCGTCGGAATCAAGCCCGAGAAACCCATAAACGAGTTACCAGAAGTTTCCTCAGGGTAAATCAAACAAATATGGTTTCCTATCTGTACCCTCCTCCAGCTCCTAATGGTAAATTAAACTTAGTCCCCATTGCCTTTTCACCCAATTCATCGTCCTTCTAATTTCTTAGCTTTCCTTAACCTCGTATGTTTTTTCCGATGGTAGGAGGTGTGCCATCGTATCCACCACCGCAGGTCTACCCCACCTCAGTAACGACGACGGAGTGCAGGGCAAGAAGGACGTCGGCGAAGGGGTTAAGGAGAGAAGGAAGTCAACGACGTTGAAAGAGGACTAGGAGTTCTAGGGGTTGAGAGGGGTTGGGATACGGTCACATCCCCTAAGAGGGATGTGAAATTTGGGTATGAAAAAAAAAAAGAATTTATTATTTATTTATTTTTGTATTAATTACAGATTGGGAATTAAAAATCCAGATTAAATACTTTTTTAATTCAAATCCTACAATTAATACGCTTATATATCTCTTTCTCTTTCTTTTCCAGCAACCTCTTCACTCCGACCACCAAAGTTTCTCTGGCCGACGAATTTTTCCGGTGAAATCCTCCAATCAGACTCGCTCCGGCCAACTGCAAAAAAACCACTCCGTCAGTGTGCTAGTGGTACTGATTTTCATCTAGTGGTACGCTACCAGTAGTTGTGGTACGTACTAGTGGTAGTGGTACGCTACAAATACCACTCGTACCGCTACCAGTGAGTAGTGGTACGCTACCAGTGAATAGTGGTACGATACCACTACCACTGATAGCGTACCACTAGAAAGAAATCAGTACCACTACTCACTGGTACCGCTACCACTGAGTACTGGTACGCTACCACTACCACTGGTAGCGTACCACTAGACAGAAATTAGTACCACTAGAGAATAACATAAAAAAACAAGATCTGGAATCTGGAAAATCCCAGATCTGGAAAAAAAATTAAGGAATGAGGAAAGGAGAAGGAAGGGGAGAGGTTGTTACCTAGCGGCGGCGGCTGAGGAGGACGGCGGGAGAGAGATGGCGATGACAGGAGTTGGAGGGAGGAGAGAGGGCTGCGATGGTGGGAGGCGGAGGACGCGACGGCTGCGGAGGGAGGGAGAGATGGTGGCGGTGGCGACGGGAGGGAAAGACGACGACGGTGGCGACGGGAGGGGGCAGCGGCAGCGGCGGCGACGACAACGGGAGGGAGAGACAGAGAGTAGTTAGGGTTCTCGGGAGAGGAAAGAGAGAGAGGAGAGAGAGGAAGAGTTTTTTTTTTTTTTGGAAATCAGATTATATAGAAAATGAGAAAGGATCCTGTGTGGTAAGTTTTTCTCTTCCAAAATATTCTTCATTTAATCTAAACCGTTAATTTGAAAAACCAAGAGAGAGGGTGGATCTAATGGCTGCGAAGGAGGAAGTGAAAATCACAACCTGTTTACACCTAAAATATTTTTTGCCTAAATTCAATGCCGTAATAATGAGTCTCGGCATTTAATTCGATATCGCATGGCCAAAACGATGTCGTTTGGAGTCAAGCAATACCGCGGAGAATTAAAGCGAGACCGCGAAGAGGCTCGGCGGTACCGCGGTACTTGAAACGACATTGGTTGCAGACCATGTGTGAGTCATGCGCAGGACATGTGTTGCTGTTGGACAAGGAATGTTTTTTATTCTATTTTTCCTTGTCGGAGGAGGAGAGTAACAGCACCGTTTGGAGTCAAGCAATGCTGCGAAGAGATAAAACGGTGCCGCGAACCTCAAAGCTCAACGGCACCGCGACAAGCGGCACCGCGAGACTGGGAAACGGTGTCGCTGTACTAGCAAACGACAGTGTTTAAAATAACAAACAATGTCGCGAAAGGAACAGCAAACGGGGCCGTTTTGGCGCTAATGATGTCGTTGGTCAACACGCGTATTTGATTTGTGATGGCCGAATTGATCAATTAATATTTTAATGACTGTTTGGGACGGTGTCGTTTAGTTGAAAACGATGCCACAAGAGAAAGAAACGACACCGCGGATTACAAAGCAGTGCCGCGAGTAGGCGAAACGATGCCGCAACAGTTAAAACGACAGTGTTTAAAATTAAAACAGTGTCGCGAAGCTCAAAAGTTCAACAACATCGCGGGACAAGGAAACGATGTTGTTTAACTAGGAACGACGCCGAGGGGTGAAAGTTTGACGGGCGAGTTGATTATTTTAGACGGCGTCGTTTAATGAAAAGCGATGCCGCGGAAAAGTAAAACGACATTGCGGTAGTGGTAAGAGTTCGGCCAAAGGTAGCCCGCCAAGCCCAACGACGGCGCAAGAGTATAGAACGACGTTGTTTGATGGACTGACAATGTCGTTGGTTAAACCGGGTCGGGGCAGTTGAGTTGGATTATAAAACAACATCGGTTGGTGAAAGGCAATGTCGTTTCGCCAAGTTTCTGCAAAGCAAGAGCGATTTTAAGGGCACTTGATTATCACGCAACAAGGAGGAAGTTACCTGCACGGTTGACAGGAATGAAGACGTGGGAGACAAAGGCGCGAAGGCAGTTACTACGACGGGGAGAAGCGCGAGGTATAAAGATTGGGAAGAGAGAGAAGCTCGAGAGGGCAAAATCAAATCACAAACTGCACCTACGCAGATTTATCTTTTTTCTCTCTAGTTTCGTAGAACCGCTCTGTCAAAGAACTCCTTTGCAGAGTCGTAGTAGTCGTAGTTGCGGAGCTCTCCAGAGGAACCTCCATAGGAGTAGAGGTAACGTAACTTAGAACACTCCCGGTTTGGTTTCTCGTTTCTCGTTGAACACCCTCGTTTGAACGTAGTTTGGAGAGGTGGTGAACCGAGTTACGGTTGTTTGATTAGAAGTCAAAGGTGTATTGATCGAATCAACATCGCCGACACCGACGGTGGATATTTGACAGTCATCTTGGTTTCTGTTTAATCGATCAAATCAACGGCACCGACATTCGGTGGCGGATATTTGACGATTTTTGCTGACTTTGGGTTTGTGCTTACTTGAAAACAGTGCGCATTGAACACGCGAGTTTCGCCGACGAAACACAACCCCATGAGGGTTGTGACGCTATCTAAACCCGGGTTTGTTACTTTGTTTGTTCGGTTGGATTTGGATTGATTAAATAAAGGACAATTTAGTATTATCAAGTTTTAAGTTAGGGCGATAATAGTAAAGTTAGGGCGACGTTTAGCCATCCAGTTCATGTGTGTGTCAGTGTGTGGGCTTTCTGTGCAGCTCGTGTTTGGAATCCAAGTGGGCTTTTGTTATTTCTTTTAAAAACCTTTTTACTTTTGTTCACGTGTGGGCTTGGTCTATAACTAAAGCCCAAATCGATGCTGTTCACGTCCTACTTATTATAGTATCGGCACCGGAATTACGAAACCACCCCGGGAACGAGCTTGAAACCAACGCGACTCGGCTCACTCGGCCGATCCTCTCTACATTAGAAAGGAAGCAGGAGAGTTTTCTCTGGTCTGTGGCTCTGTGCGCGCGCGGGGTTGGAACTTGGGAGTCTCTCTGGTTGGAGGAGTCTGTGCTCGTTGCGAGGGCGAAATATTAGAGACATAAGCGCCCCTTTTCTGCGTTATCTGATCTCTCTCTCTCTCCGAAGTTCCATTGTTGCCTTCCCGTCTCCCCCGCGCCATTTCGCCGAGTTTCTCTGCTGCCGCTTGATCCACTCACCCGCCTTCTCCGCCACTCAACTCTCTTTCTCTCTCTCCGGTAACTGTCAGAAAACCCTAGGACGAACTCTCTTGAATTCGATTCGCTCCTAGCTTGCGATTTCTGTGCATACGAGTTACGTTCCTTTTCCCTTCATTTCTCCCTCGCGGTTTATTCTGACTGCTTCGGTGTCTGATTTTCGTTCTTCTCAGGCATAGCGCTTCTTGATCGTCGTCTCCAAGCTGTGTAGCGTCTAATTCAATTACGATGTTCGGCTCTCCAAATCGTAAGTGCTCTCTCTCTCTTTTTTTTTTTTTTGGTAATCTCTTTGCTTTCTTGGTGTTGCTTCGTGACTAGCGTCTAGCGTGGCTTGAATTGGTCGTCTTCTCTTCTATGCTTTGCACATTTTGATGTGATTTTCTGCTGGTTCCAAAATTTCACTCTCAAACATGCGTGAGGAATTAGTAACTGCTTCGAGCCTGGTCCTTATCAGTTGATGATCAATCTCGGTTGTTGGAATGCATTTCCTTATGAATCATAGTTTTTCATCCTTGGACTTTTATTGGCTGTTCTATGTATCATTCCAACTTCCGTGATGGCTTAGTGTGTTTTGAATTTTTGGAGTAGAAAGATCCGTGTTGAAATTCGAGATTGGTGCATGACTTTTTTCTTTTCGTAGACGAAGGAAGAAGTGAAATTGCTGCATTACATATTAAACATGTGTTTTGAGGTTGGCTGTGTCTGGAGGATTGATGATTGATTTTCATGTGAGGATTGATTGTTATTGAAACAATGCCTCGGCAGCGGTATGTGTGACCTGAATTTGATACCTTGAAGATTTCTTATTGCATACCCCCCCACAGCAGCACACAGAACCCCACAAGTAAATTGCATATGTGCTGACTGCTGAGTTCAGTTGCAGTTGGAATTGTTTTCTATATTCAACTAGTTTTATATCAATGACACATTTTAATGATCTCTGTAATTTGCCAGCTTTTGGGCAGACATCAAGTAGCCCTTTTGGGTCATCGGGCTTTGGCCAGACAAGTGCTCCTACAAATAATCCTTTTGCACCCAAACCCTTCGGCAGTCCAGCCCCTTTTGGTTCTCAGACTGGTACTTCGATGTTTGGGGGAACTTCAACGGGTATGTTCGGCACACCTCAAACTTCATCCCCTTTCCCATCTACGACAACATTTGGGGCCTCGTCATCTCCTGCATTCGGGAGCTCAATGCCTGCGTTTGGAGCATCTAGCACTCCTGCTTTCAATAGTTCTTCGTCAACATTTGGTGGTAAGTATAGTTTCGTATTGTAAGTCCATCCCATTTGTGTCTTTATCTGACATAAGATAATGGTATTATATGTGCATGTGCACCTAGATACCTATGGTATACTGATGATTCAATGTTCTCAGCTACTGTTCAGTTTGATCTTATGATTTATTGTGTTACCTTGTTTGCCAATGATTCTCTGCTTCCCTCTGGGTTTCACTTTCTCATCTCTAATTTATTGCAGCTGTGTCGATCCTTGTTGAAGATGTATAACATAGCAATCTAGGCTCTAGTGTACATCTGCGCGCCTTTCCCACTTATCTGTTGATTTTTCTAATTTTCTCTGTGCTTTTCATTTCATCATCGAGTCGTTACATGAGGATCAATTTGGTCACCAGCAGTCCTCCATTGATTCCATATTTCAATATTCGTTTGGGTAGTTATCCTAGGTTTTCTCAATTGCTTAATCATTCGTTGATAAGTGATCTCAACCTTTTGTGCGCAACCTATGAGCAGCTGCACTGGTGTTTATCCAATTTTATTTTGTATTGTTGTTTTATCACTCTGTCCCTGTTGCATTGGTCTGCAATTGGATATTTGATGTGTTTTACGTGGTCTGATTTTTATAATGTCAATCTATTGTCCTTAATGCAGGGTCGTCTGGTTTTGGTCAAAAGCCTGCCTTTGGAGGATTTGGGTCTAATACAACTTCTAGCCCATTTGGAGGCACTAACCAGCAATCACAACCTGCGTTTGGGAGTAGTTTGTTTGGTTCCACAACACCTTTTGGGGCAGGCTCTCAGCCTGGATTTGGTGGGACCAGCACCCCTGCCTTCGGCTCAACAAGCACTCCTGCCTTCGGTTCAACAACCACCCCAGCTTTTGGTGCTCCAAGCACTCCCGCGTTTGGTGCGACAAGTACTCCAGCTTTTGGATCAACAGCAAGCCCCGCTTTTGGCAGCACAGGAGCAGCCTTTGGTGTGTCTAGTACCCCAGGTTTTGGATCTTCCGTTTTTGGCTCGTCAAGCACTCCAGCTTTTGGTGCTTCATCTTCTCCGGTTTTTGGGGCTGCAAGCAGTCCAGCATTTGGGGCTTCAAGTGGTCAAACTTTTGGTGCATCTAGTACTCCATCATTTACCTTTGCATCCAATTCAGCTTTCGGTCAGTCAACTTCTGCGTTTGGAAGCAGCCCCTTTGGAGCACAGAGTTCTGGATTTGGTGGGTCTATGAAACCTGATTTATGGTTAATTTGCCGAGTATCCGAAGTTCTTTTATTTAGTTCTGTGTATGGAATTATAATAGCTTAAAAATAATGTTTTATTTGTCTTGTGTGGTATGATCAGGGTCCCAGGCCACAACACCAACATTTGCAAGCTCAGGCTTTGGGCAGGCACCATTTGGTACGCAGCGAGGTGGAAGTAGGGCGGCACCCTATACAGCAACTCCTGACACAGAAACCACTGGTACAGGTGGGCAGGCTGGGAAGTTAGAGTCAATATCAGCCATGCCTGTCTACAAAGAGAAAAGCCACGAGGAGTTACGATGGGAGGATTATCAATCAGGAGACAAAGGTGATTTACCAAAAGTGCAAAAGAAATTTCGTATTTTTATGTTTGTTATGTTTGAGTTAGTTCCTGATCTTACTTTTATAATTTGTATTGCAGGCGGGCCTACTTCCTCTGGCCAGCAACCTGGCGCTGTCAGTTTTAATGCACCGGCAGCACAGTCTAACCCGTTTGCTCCTTCATCCGCATTCGCTCAAACTTCTGCTAATCCTTTTTCTGCGACTACGTCGTCTAATCCATTTGCTCCCAAGGCTTTTGCTCCATCAGCTACCTCAGCTTTCAGTTCTTCACCTTTTAGTGCTCCAACCGCAGCTAACCCTTTTCAGTCAACATCATTTCCGTCCTCATCGAGTAGTCCATTTGCCTCGACATCTCCATCTCTCTTTGGCCCATCAAGCACAACGAGTTTCGCTTCCACGCCATCCCTGTTTACTTCTAGTGCCCAGGGAACAACCTCAACATTTAACCCTACCACGGCTTTTCCCAATAGTTCTTCTACATTGTTCCAATCGACCGCACCTTCGCTTTCACAACCAGGTTCTGGATTTGGACCAGCTACTTCTTCCTTTGGACCTAGTTCCACCTCTCCATTTGGTCCTTCAAACGCTTTCAGCACCCCAGGAACCTCACTTCAAGGAAGCCTTTTCTCAAGTACTCCGTCTTTATTTCCTTCAACTAACCCTGTGAGTAACTCTAATAAAATTTTCCCTTGTTAGGTTTAATACTTTTTTCTTTTCGTATTGAAGTACCTCTATTCTGCCCAAAAAGAAGTATTACTCCTAGATATGAGCAGATAGGGTTTGAATTTTTTTGTGTTGGTATATGCTGCTAGTGCTAAGTACTCATATTGACAGGTCTCTAATGCGACACCTTTTCAACTGCCTCAATCTAGCTTTAGTAACTTCAGCCAGTCTCAAGGTATGGAAATTGTATGTTTATGCATTCTGGTATTCACCCACCTCCATTTCTAACCTAGCTATTGAGGGGGTTTTAGTTGTTGGTGCTGAAATTGTATTTCTATGCATTCTGGTATTCCCTTGTTTATGCTTGACTCTCTTGTTGCAGGTGGCACAAGTTTGTTTTCAAATACACATGGTCAGAACAATTATGCACAACAGTATGTCTCTTGCCTTTTGTGTTTAATTTATCTATAAGCTTAATTTCACAAACTTAGTTATGCAACTATAGCAATTGATTCTGTTTCTTATTTTCACTACGTGAATTTAAGCTGGTCAGTGTTTGTCTTTTGCAGGTCTATCGGACAGAGCACTGCTGCTGTACTTCCAGCACCTGTGACAAATCCTTTTGGCACTCTCCCAGCAATGCCTCAGATATCTATTAGTAGAGCTGGAACTACACCTTCTGTGCAGTATGGGATCTCTAGCTTGCCTGTATGTGCTACTGGGATTAGATTTCTTGCATACCTGATTAGCTATTTTTGATTCGCTGTTTCTATTGTGTCTTGTACATTAGAGTTATAGTGTTAATATTGTTGTTTGACACCTGCCACTTTATTATTTGTTGTTTTTGTACCAAACGTAATTCTTTCTGGCTTCAGGTTGTTGACAAACCTGCACCTGTCAGAGTATCATCCTTATTGACCTCTCGACACCTGTTGCAAAGGCGGATCAAGATGCCTGCAAGGAAATATAATCCGAAACATGATGGTCCAAAGGTATGGTCTTCTAGAATAAAAAATGGCTCTTAGGCATTAGGAGGCTCTGTGATTATTAACTTGTCCTTGGGTTGTCAAAATATTCAATCGCTGAAGTCCTCGGGTTTAATTATGCTGCTTTCAGGTTCCATTTTTCAGTAACGAGGATGAATCTTCCAGCACACCCAAGGCAGATGCCCTTTTTGTTCCTAGGGAAAATCCAAGAGCTTTGGTAATTCGCCCAGTAGATCAATGGCCCTCAAGAGTTAGTGCGGACAAAGTCTCTCCGGCTAGGGATCTGCATAAAAATGGCAAGTCTCTCTCTCTCTCTCTCTCTCTCTCTCTCTCTCTCTCTCTCTCTCTCTCTCCATGAAGTGTTTTCTTTATGCTGTTTCTTAATATAGTAATATACTCTTCTTCAATTAGTCTCTCTTCGGACTTCGATTTTTCTCTTTTCAGTTTAGACTTATGATTGTGTATCTCTAGGGAAAGTTCCAGAAGCAGCAATGGATGGAGATGATGTTTCTTCCTTGAATGGTACCAACAAGGCCAGTGACAAAGATAGTGAGTACATCCATTCCCTTCCTCATAACTATTTTTGTTGAAAATTATTGCATCTCTTCACCAGTCCTGAGCCTCGTAGTTTTATCTTATGAAATATTTGAACAAGGGACTGTCATAAAGTGGGATGAAATGAAATGCTTTGATACGAATGCAAATAAAATTCTGGTAGTATTGGACTCTGGTCTCATCTTTGCTTGATAGTTGGCTGCAGACTGCAGAGCAGAACAAAAGTCAGCTACATGTTTCTACACCTCTACTATTGTTGTGTTCTTGTGAGGTAATGAGAATAGTTTTTCCCCCATGTATGACAGAGAACGCGGGTGAAAATGGCGTTGGCAACAAGGAGCATGTGGAACTGAATCAGAAACTCAATGGACGAGTCCATCACGAAGATCATTCTAGCCAGAAACTCAATGGTCACAGAGCTGGAGAATCGGCAATAGTGTACGAGCACGGAGCAGACATCGAGGCACAAATGCCAAAACTCCGTCGCCCCGACTACTACACAGAGCCGCGGATCCAGGAACTGGCGGCTAAAGAGAGGGCCGAACCAGGTTATTGCCGCCGTGTTAGGGACTTTGTGGTCGGACGTCAAGGCTTTGGGAGCATCAGGTTTCTGGGTGAGACGGACGTGCGGAGGCTTGATCTGGATGCTATCGTCCAGTTCAACACTAAGGAGGTGATAGTGTACGAGGACGACGAGAAGAAGCCACCTGTAGGACAAGGTCTGAATAAGGCTGCTGTAGTCACGCTTCTCAACATAAGGTGCGTCGACAAAGCCACCAAGAAAGTGTTCACAGAAGGACCAATGGCGGTGAGATACACCGAGCAGCTGAAGAGGAAGACTAAGGAACAAGATGCTGAATTCGTGTCGTACGATGCTGCAAAGGGCGAATGGAAGTTCAAGGTTGAGCATTTCAGCGCGTACAAGCTCGTGGAGGAAGAAGAAGAAGAAGAAAATGTTTGTGAGAATCGTGTTGACTAGTAATGGTGCTGGAGGATTCGTTATATAAAGATTCAATGGCTTCGAAGGTTGTATAGTATACTACTGCTATGTTCCAGAGAATAGCGTGCTTGTTTCTAGTTCCTGCTCGCCTGTTGTTGGTTGTCCATTCTTCCAGGTCGTGTTTGTTTTTGAATCGGGGTCCTTATGCCTCGTTTGCCTTCATTTTTCGACCTTGTGCAGATAGCTGGTTTAAAATAATAATATGGGTGGATTTATGGGGGTTGATTCGTTGACACCATTGTATCAAAATAGATATAGAATATTTGAAGGAAAAGAACAGTATTGGCAAGTGATAACGTGAGGAATACTTGTAACATTTTGAGTTCGAATCTTAGGGCAAACAATCAACGAAAGAAGGGATAATTATAATGTATTATATGGCACCAAAATCAAGCAAATACAGTAGAAGAATTATGCATGCAGATCCATCATGATATTGGTCAGAACTAAGAATGCTGCTGCTTTTTTGGAGCCTCTAGCTTTACCTGTACATTTGCATATTTGGAACACATTGGGCCGAGAGGGAGGGCGTGGCTGGACGGGAAGATATGAAATGGTGGGCCGAGCCCAAAATAAAGAGTGAGGAAAGGAAATGGACCGGGCTAAAGTGACTTCTTTGGGGTTTCATATTAGCTTCTTCGGCTTCGGTGGGTGGACCGACCGCCAATCACTACCAAACAACAAAAGGAACACACAAGAAACCTAGACGTCTATTGAATGTGGTCCAGAAAACAATCACAAAGCGACACGAAACGAGATTAGGAAAGGGAAATGTAATACGAATTTGTTCCTGTTATGTGTTGTTTGATGAAACTAACACTAATAAAATATCTATAAAAAAAAAAAATTTAGTAAACTCTCTTTGTGACTGTATTAATTTAATATTATTAAAATGTTAATATCCACATCCATCCATCCAACATCAACTACTACTACTACTGAGCAACAAAACAACAACTGCCGCCTGCAACTCTACTGCCAAAAATTCCGCACCCGCACAACACGAAGTCTCTTCCTCCGCCGAAACCTACTTTCTCCCAGGTTAGCAGCTTCCTCTGCTCTTTTTCTGTACTTGGGTTTCCAGTTTTAGCCCTTCTCCTGCTGCCATGGGGGGGCGATGGCCTTGTTCATAAGAAGGAAAACGCAAAACCTTGGTTGCTTTGCTTCTTTCAATTGCCTTCTTGCTAGCTCTAATAATTTCCCATTGCCGTTCGATTCTCTTCCTGTTGCTTCTTCCGATTCTGCATTCGCTGTAATCTAAATGCACAACCGAGATTTGCCAGAACAGAAAAAACATCCACCAAACCCCCCTGTCAATTCCGCCGCATGTCATTTCTCCGTTGAATTGCCGAGTTTGGGTTACCTCCCGCCAGGCGTTATTCTGCTGTCTTGGTCTTGGGGAGCTGTCCAGCTACCAATTACCGTCCTCTGTCCCTCAGTTCTCTAGGGTTTCTCAGTTTGCTTCATTTCTGTGCTGAATTCTTCTGCTATTGTTGTTGTTGTGGTTTATTTACATCTTTGTGATGGATCAGATGCAGAAGGATTACCCTAGCAAGATTGAGGATGAGCAACTTTCTGCTAATTCTCCGCCTCGACCTGCCGCAGACCTTCGTCTGGATGTGCAGGACGTTGATCTCCCTTCCAACCCCACTGTAGAAGCAAAAGAAGAAGAAAAGGCGCCATTTTGCTCCGCCGCCTCTGTTGCCACTTCTCAACCTAGCTGTGTGGTGGTGGTAGTTAATGATGATGAATCGCCTTTGCCCTATGCTCCGGATCCTCCCATGAAGCCCTCTATCTCTAGGTCTTCGAGTTCTCATGAACAGTGCAGGTATGTATATATATGTAATGTAGCTTTTTCCTCATTTCCAAACCCCTTTTTATCCATTTCAACTCCTATTTTGTATCATAACTGCAATATGTCTAGTTTGATGAGAGCAAAGTGATTGCACTGACTGTAGGCTGACTGAAATGCTTTTGCAAATTCCTTTACCTCTCAGAGTGTGTCAGCAAGACAAGGAAGAGGTTCTCATTGATTTGGGGTGCAAATGTAAAGGGGGGCTTGCTAAATCCCACCGTTCGTGTATCGATGCTTGGTTCCTGACCAGGGGATCAAATAAGTGCGAGATATGCCAGTAAGTCAATATGATGTCAATCTATTTCTTGATTGAAGTCAACAAACAACTTTCTATGCACCGGTGTCACTCATGATTTTCTCCTTTTTATTTTATGTTACAGAGATGTTGCGGTCAATGTGCCCCCTCCAGAATCTCAACCAAGTGTAGGTATTCGATGCCCCCTGGCTTGATAAAGCATATTATTTGGATTGCTCTTGGTATAGAGTCGCATTGATGCTGGGCTGAAATGTCCCATTGGCCGGCTTTGGATTTGTTTCGTTGTTTACTGATTGTTTGTAGCTTAGTTACTTTTGCCAACATACCTCGATGGACTTACAATTGCCAACAGTAGACTTAAGTTAGTAGTTCATAAAAATTGTTGCACTGCCAGTTGTTGTTTTAGCGCTCTGTCTGCTATTGCCACAGTAGCCATAAGATTTCGTGTGGTCTAAAACATTCTGTTTGAAAGAAACTGAGTTTGTGTGTTTAACAGCAGACAAACTACTGGGTGTGGAGGCTTGATCCAACCTACAGACCTCGAGACAGGGAAAGGGTACGTGGTGGGGGGTTGGTCTCCTTTTTCTTTCTTTCTGCATTCGGTGCTCATTCATTCTTTCAGTATGAAATTGCAGTGATTTTCGTTTTGGGAACAGGGTTGTTTTAGTCCTCTCTGGGTGGCATTTTCTATTCTCATCGGTGGCCTCTTGTTGGATGTGCTGATCTCCATCACCCTCGGAGTTTCTGCTCTACCCGTCAACATAATAATTGGTTAGTAGAACAGTTTGGTGTGATTGATATGAACCAACCGGATAAACTATGGAATTTTCACTTCATAAGTTACGGTTATAATGTATGCAGGCGTGATCGTTGTGCTTGGACTTGGAACAGCCCTTCGGTTGGCTCTGGAATTCTGCCACGAATGGAGTTTCAGGAGAGCAGTTCACAGGGTCGATGCAAATGTGAACCTCGGGTATCATCCCACATTATAGGGCAAATAGGTGGCTGTACAGAGAAGAATCACACTACCGGATGGACCCGCTGTTACATCCTTTCCAGTGTATGTATAGTTAAGTGGTAAACTGTCATGCATACTATCTGTCGTTTTTGCTTTGAGCACCATCGCTTCTCATCCCAAATTGAGCACGGCTGCTGTGGTGAAAGCCGATGGTGTTGAACTGGGGAACAAGCCCCGTGAATATGAGATAGCCAAGATGGCGAAAGCCGGTCTTCGTTTCGCTAGAATATCGATTATTACTTTCAATAAACGGTCAGTTATTAATTGTTATTCTTTGCTCTATATGTTCTTCATAGAACTATGTTTCCATCGATCATTGTAGTGATGGAAAGAGGAATGCAGGAGTGTTGCTCGGTTGTTCGTCGTTCTTTTTCCTATGAATGTAGGTAGATGGGTTGGAGTTAGCTCAAGTTAGTAGAATGTTTGGTTATGTGCATGTTTAAGAACAGTTATGTCTGTGTGCTTCTTTAGAATTCCGGGTCTGAAGTTCTGTAATGTCACTGGATATAGGTGTCATGGAGGAAAAGGAAAAGTCCAGAAGACTATTTTTAGTATGAATGAGAGAGGTTTGTACTTTTGTGTTGATTGACAGTTGTTAGAAGGACGAGGAAGGTACTATGGTGGCTTAAGAGTTTAAGATCATCTCCATCTCCTTACATGTGCAAAGAAGAAATCAAGTTGATATGGATTATGCAAGACATTTTCTATCTTATAATTCGTTTTATTCGAAGAAAAATTGAGAGTTTGTGCAAGAATAAGGTGCTCTAAGTTGAATAACTAATTAGTAAGTGTTTTTTAAGCATAGATTTTCTCTTCATAAACACTCAAAATACCTGACACTACTTAGAATGCTACCTCATTTAGGGCATGTTAGCTATGCAAATTCAAACAGGACAAAAGGAACATGGAAACCTTCCATGGTTGTGTTCCTTAACAAGGACCTGGTAAATAACAACATTCTTGTCGCGAGGGGAATGAATGATGAACATTCGTTTTCGTGTAGGATGTAGAACATCAGTTAAACACCGAGTAATGTCATCGACATAAGCTAGAACATGACCGTGTTCTCGACGATGTTCTTCTCGTAAGTAACTAAGGAAATCTGCTCGTATTAGTGCGTAGTGGTTTGCCTCGGTCGAGTATTCAAAGGACACTCTGCAATCTGTTTTTCTTCTCTTTTTAGAACATTCATAATCGGTTTGTCATTTCTTGTAACAATCGCATTCAGATGTTATTTATTCTCTTCTCAAATTAAAAAGGAAAACCAGAACGGTGGGTTTAGCAAAAAGACGCGGTTGGAGGAAACAACCAAGAAGGAGCAGGTCTGCGGCTAAACCGGAAGGCGGAGGCCGCAATAAGATACGGAGACTGACCGTCAGCCAGGCACCACGGAGACTGACACACACGTGTGCTCTACGCGACGCTCACGCGCCGTTACCTTTCCCTTTTCTCCCGCAATTATTTTTCACCTCTCTTTAACTTAACCAATAAGACTCGTGGGAACTAGAGTTTGACAGCCATTCCTCCCTTCACCAGTTCCCCTCTTCACTTTCCCTCTTCCGCGGCTCCGATTTCCCGATTTCCGTTCTAATTTCCACCACAAATCCGACTCGATTCGGCTCTCGTCCTGCAGTTTCAGTTCGAATTCTGCCTTCTCTGATAGAGATCCAGTGCTGCGGGAATTTTGGTCTTGCGACTTTTCCGCGTAGCGATTTTAGGGCTTGGGACCGGAGGGAGAAGAAATGAAAATGGAGGTGTCGATGCAGTCGCTGCCCCTGGGGTTTCGATTCCGGCCTACGGATGAAGAACTCGTCAATCACTATCTTAGGAAGAAGATCAACGGCCGTAATATGGAGGTCCAGGTTATCCCTGAGATAGATGTTTGCAAATGGGAGCCCTGGGATCTTCCTGGTTCGTTCTCTCTTTTCCCCTTTATTTTTGGGTGTTTATATATTTTGATTGATGCGAGTAGAGAAAATCGAATGATTCCCGCTCTTTATCCGGTTTGTGAGTGGGGGTGGGGAATAAATTTCGCTATAGATAGCTCAGCAGATTCTTCGTTCTCTTGGATTCCCTTGGCACTATTTACCCTCCCGTTTTAGCGTTGGTTGCCAAGTGCTCAATTTTCCTTCTCTCTCTGTGTCTCGATCATGTTCTTCTTGTAGGTCTGTCCGTGATCAAGACGGATGATCCAGAGTGGTTTTTCTTCTGCCCCCGCGACCGTAAGTACCCAAATGGGCAGCGTTCAAACAGGGCTACTGAAGCTGGATACTGGAAAGCTACAGGGAAGGATCGTACTATCAAGTCCAGAAAGACCGGCTGTAACCCAATCCCAATCGGCATGAAGAAGACGTTGGTCTTTTACAGGGGCCGTGCCCCCAAGGGTGAGCGCACTCACTGGATTATGCACGAGTATCGTCCTACTCTGAAAGATCTCGATGGCACCGGACCCGGCCAGGTGTTCCTTCTTAGCCCCCTCTTCTTTGGTGGTTATGTTCATTTTATAGGTTGATTATGTGGGCTGCTGTTCACTTGTAGCTGTTTCTCTGAAGTTCCTTTTTTTTTCGTACTACTGTCAGACTGCGTATGTCCTTTGTCGCTTGTTCCGAAAGGAAGAGTTGATCAATGTTGGGAAATATGGTGATGTGGAGCAAACTGGCTACTCTCCTACCACCACCAAGTCTTCCCCAGATGATGATGATGCATCGTGCGACAACATGACCCCTACTGCTTTGATACCTCCTACTGATAGCAGCTGCAACAATAGTCATATGAATTCAGATGTGGAAGATCATGGAGCTGACCCAAATGCCGGGGAGGTGAAGTTTGTATATGTTCTCCCTCCCTCCTTTTTTTTTTTCTTCTTTCCCACTTCTGTTCTTATGCTTTCAACACAAGTAATTTACTCTATTTGGAATGTGTTTGTTGTAGGGCAATGCACTGGCGGTGGACGGAAGTTCTCATCCCGATGAGCTCACATCTGGCAGGGTCGATTGCAAAGTCTTCTCCCCAATGCAGCCCAATCCTTATGGGGACTTGGGACTTGGTTTTGAGCCACAGTATGCCAATGACTTTGGTGATGACCTTAATGGACTCCTTTTTCAAGATGGCACAAGTGAACAAGATCTATCCCTCACCGAGTTGTTGGATGAGGTCTTCAATGGTCACGATGATTGGTCTTGTGAAGTAGCCTCCAGTGAGAAGAAACCAGTCCTACAGCTAGATAACTTCCATGTAATTGATGGTAATCATCCCTACACGGATATGGATACAAAAATGACTAAAGAACAGGTGAGCACACAAGGCCTTTGGATGAGAGAGACTTCATGTTCTCTTCTAACTGTTGAATTCTACTTATTGATTGACATCTTACTTTCCCTCTTGGTTACTTACATACACTTATGCTTGCTCTTCACCCGTATATCTATATTGGCATCTTATGATTGACATCTTACTTTCCCTCTTGGTTACTTACATACACTTATGCTTGCTCTTCACCCGTATATCTATATTGGCTGGTTTGAAATACTGTAGGAACTTCTGAGCTTAAGTTTCTCTGTGATTGCGGTTAAATTTTGCAGATGGATTCTTCTTTTGGATCTTTTGGCGCACAAAAACCGTTCTTTGACGGGCAAATTGGAAGCAGAAATGTTGGTGACCTCAGAGATGGTTTTGCAAGCCAAGTTGCTGCACGTGGTACTGATTCCACAACAAGCACGTCCTTTGAAATGTTCCAAGCAGTGGATAACTCTGTAAGCTTTAGCAACGATATTGGTGGGAGTACAGGAGTCGAGATTAGAACACGGCAGGCCCAAGCTCAATCATATTCGGACAACTTCCTCCCTCAGGGTACTGCTCCAAGGAGACTACGGCTGCAGGCAAAATTCTCTACTGGGCACAGTGGAACTGGCCAAGTGAGAGACACCAGCTGCTTGGAGGATGAAGATGAAGTGCAATCATCACTGACCGAGGTATAATTCCTACACAACTGTAAATACATCCGTATGATTGTGAACTATAATTAGTTTAGTCGTTATGATTGTCGCTTAGAGCATTAACATTCCATTTCAGAACCAAGATGAGACTGCTGATGAGCAACTAAAAGAAGACGGCCATTTTGACAAGAGCAGCAGCGCGGGGAACACGACCTTGAGACAGCGGGTGAAAGGGGATCGTGACGGGTTTGCTGAGAAGGGTTCCCTTGGTGTCACAAGTGCAGGTTCAGATTCTGTGACTTGTGTGAAGGGTGGGTTTAGAACGGCTTGGGTGATCGGTATATCTGGAGCCCTGTTTCTGGCGGTTGGTTTGGTTGGGATATGCGGATTTCTATGGTCGTGATGGCAGATTCCTGGTGCGGGGGAAAGCAATTCTAGTGAGGCTCATAGTCAACCAACTTAGTGGTTTTGATTTTTCGTTCTGCTTTGTTGTGATTTGTTAATAGTGGTTTTTAGTCTTTAAGAGGTGGGTCTGATGCAGGACATAGAGTATAGTATGGAATTTAGTACAAAAAACAGAGAATGATGTGGTTAGGACCCGACTAGTTTTCCCCCGTGGTTTTGTTGTTCTCTCTATTATTCTGACTAGACAATCTAATCATCTTATATTAGAACTTTATGGTTGTAGGCCGACTCATCAGCTTCATAATAAATGTGTGTAAATCAAGGTGATTTACCCAGGGCCGAAACAGATTGGTCGAACCGGATTCAATAGCAGATGACTTCACCAGACCAGGGTCCATGAAATCGTACTGGAGATCGTATCGGAAAAGTCAGTGGTAAGATATTTTATGATAAAAATTTGTGGTTTAATCGTAATTCAATCGTTAGTACAGTTAAATATCGCCTACCGGTTTAGCCTCTAATACTGGTATTTCGTTGTTGAATCTCCGACAAACTCGTTTTGTGTTGGTAATACACTTCCCCAAGCAGGATGGAAGTAACTACTCGATGGCTTCAAGATCAAGAGCATAAATTTTACTGGAAATATCTGAACTGGGCCTAGGACACACAAAAAAATCGCATAAGTGGATTGAATCGTCTTTGATTCAATGAACTGGATTAGTATTGGCATCTCTGTGGGCTATTCTGGGGCCCGTTTCGTTAGGTTGATTCTAGCCTCCTCCGGAGCAGGCCCACTGGTTGGTCTTGACTCTTGACTCTTCCGATTTTCCATTCACACAAGAATAATAATGCAATTATTTATATTAGTTAATGAATCAGGTAACGACGAATCATAAAACAGGTGGCGGCCGTGGGAAGTGATTAGGGTCTTCTCTCGAAACTACCAAAATCCAAAACCCCTTTCTTCCATTAAAGCCCGAGAGAGAGAGAGAGGAATCGGAGAGGCAGTGTTAAGTGCATTTGGCCGATACAGTTATCACTCTCCAGATCCACTCATATTTTGGGGTATTGGATCGGTTTTGTTGATCGGAATTTTATAGATATGATACTGGTGGCAGTGGTGGCGGAGCTGCTGGAGGAGTACACGGCGGTGGTGGCGAGGGTGCTTGAGCACCTGCTTCACGACGCTCCTTTCCCTCGCCGGGTTCGTTTCCTCATTCTTCGCCGACTTCCGTTCGTCTCTCCGTCTTCTTCTCCTCCTCGTCTCTTTTAACTAATTCGCCATTCTATTAGTTAATTAATTTCCTTCCTTCCTACCTCCCTCCTGTTCCTGTACAAATTAATTCAATTTTAATTTCCTTTCGAGTTTGTGTCTCTCCCCCTTTCCCATTTTCCGTTGTATTCATTCCCTTCTTCGTCGTGTTCTGGTGGTCGCCGGCCGGCCGGGTTCATGAACCGACTGCGTCGTTTTAATGAGGATGTTGTGATTGACTTCATTGGAAGAGATTGATCAATACGACGTCGTTGCTAGTGTTGCCTTTTGTCATTATTTTTTTTAATGAATATCAGATGGTAGTGCAAATAATAATGCCAGCTTGATTGTTTTAGTATTATCATTTTCGATGACATTCTATCCTTATCGAGGTGTGTGATGTCCCGTAGACCGTAGCCAATCGCCACCCCACAACAGATAATTATAGGAATAAAATAATTATTCAACTGAATAACGAATAAATTAAGGATAACGTCCTACCAAAAAAAAAAAAAAATTTAAGGATAACGACGTGAGCGAAAGACCGTGTTTGCCAAAAATATCCTCCAAACTACGAACAAGGCGTCAATTATCAATACTACACCTCGATTTTTTTTTTTTTTTGCCAAATCGCTATCAAGGTCATCTATACTTTGACATGACAATTATGACACAAATTTCAGCCACGTAGATTAATTTTCGTTAGTATTTTTTTTATTTGAAAACTCAGTAACATCAGCAACCTACATGTCCAATGAGTGACAAGGGTCTACTAAATCTTGGGTATATGCATACTAACCATCAAGAACTTTGTCCCGGCGTTGTGCTACCGTTATCGGAGAGACTTCTTCTCCTGTAGCAAGGGTGCCTCCGGGAACACAAAAAAAAAATGGTACTGGGTGTCGAACCTGGGACCTTGTCACATCCGAAATTCAAAAATCCAACTCTTTTACCAACTAGACTGTTTTACCATCGGCTCAAACATCATTCTCATAATTCGAACCATTGTCTTTCCAAAGAATCCAGTTGGATAATGTGTCATTTGACATGGCCCAAAAAAATATTTCCGATAAACTACATATACACGAACGAGAAGGCAAAAGGAAGAGTAGTATTTTTCTCTTTTTCGTATGAACAGCTACTTCAAGGACACCGCCGCCAACTTCAAGGAGAGCTACAACTACTGACCGCCACGGCAGTGTCCCCGATCACCGTGTGGGCTGCTCATTCCGTTATTCCTTTCCGGGGATGAACAAATATTTATGGGCTACTCATTGGGCTACTGGGCCATATGTTTGGGCCTATCTTGAGGAAGAAAACAGACTATCAGGTGCTTTCCCTGACTTGTTAGGGTTCTAATTGCATCCAAATTGGCATCCCTGACTTAGCGGTGGTGACGACGCTGGTATCTACACATAATATAATACACCGAAGGGAAAAACGGGAGCCCCATTTCAAATTTCCTGCAACGAGAGTGAAAGTAGGAAGGATATTTTGGTCTTCACAATTACTTTTTTTTATTCATTAAAAGGTATGTATTGGGATTCGAACAATGACCATTTTAAAGAAAGGCAAGGATCATAACCAATCACACTAAGTACATTTGTTGTATCCTTTTAAATTAAAAACATATAATAGCAGGGTGGAAAAAACTCTTCCCCCATTTCAAATTCCCTGTTCCATGAGCGTTTGTAGGAAGGGTAAAATAGGGAGTGTCAATTTTTTCTCTTTCCTCTATGGAACGGGCCAACTTACCGTACACATGCGGATTTAAACGAGTCAAGGAGTGTCAATTTTTTTCTTTATACCCTTTTATTTATCCGTGGTGATAAAATATATATGAAAAGGCAAAAATAATACTCCTTTTTATTGTTAAAAATAAAAAATTTAACAATAGACTAATGCATGGTATCTAATGGGCTAACCGCTAACCATAAAATAAAAGAGTTGAATGGGCCTGACCTACATGGAATTTGGTCATCAAGTAAAACAAATGAACATCATGGGTTTGCCATTCTAAAACAAGCTATTTTCTCTGGCATAATATATATTATGCTATTATTTTATATCTTAGTGGCTAAAATATAATGTATTTTAAAGTTATTCAATGGTTCAACCTCGACCAACCCAATTAGTCCAATTTTTATCATTTCAAATATATATTTTATAATTATTTGACATCATAATGATCAAATTATAGTGTATTTTATAGGGAATCGTTTGGTATTTGTTAGTAAAAAACTAAACATAAAAATCTATTTGGTTATTTTAAACATTAAAACGATCCTCAACATTTTCAGTTCCTTTTGAATTTATATGGTTTTATTCCCGAATAAGTGATGTGCAAATGGTGAATTGTAGTCGTCTTTTTTCTTTCACTATTTTTTTATTTTCAAATAGAAAGTTTAAAAGTAAAGAATAATTAGAATTTGGCATGGGTCGGTCAAACAGGTTGAATTTCAGGTTTTGGCCCATTTGTTTTATGCATTGCAAATTTATTAGCATGTTGATGGAAATGGCTTGGAAAAAAGACATATAAGTTGTATCTTTGCAGAAATGTCCTCAAATGTTTGAATGCTTTGTGAATCAGGTTCTGTGACTTTTGTGATGGTGTATGTGCTTGACGATTGCTCGATGTTGTAACTACTTAATTTAAGAGTAAATCTTTTGACTTTCCCTATGAGTTGTGATACCAATTCTGGTGGTTGCAGCATGTTGTCGTTGTTGGCCTGTAAAAGTTGTTCCGCCGTGATGCTAAATACCTTTCTTTCTTTTTTATAAAGAATAATTAGAATTTGGCATGGGTCGGTCAAACAGGTTGAATTTCAAGTTTTGGCCCATTTGTTTTATGCATTGCAAATTTATTAGCATGTTGATGGAAATGGCTTGGAAAAAAGACATATAAGTTGTATCTTTGCAGAAATGTCCTCAAATGTTTGAATGATTTGTGAATCAGGTTCTGTGACTTTTGTGATGGTGTATGTGCTTGACGATTTCTCGATGTTGTAACTACTTAATTTAAGAGTAAATCTTTTGACTTTCCCTATGAGTTGTGATACCAATTCTGGTGGTTGCAGCATGTTGTCGTTGTTGGCCTGTAAAAGTTGTTCCGCCGTGATGCTAAATACCTTTCTTTCTTTTTTAACAAATTGTGTAGTAGTGCTATGAAACAGACCACCCATGAACGCTACGCTTATTATGTTCTGTTCTTACTTCCGGTGGTGAGAAATTGTGAATTGAGAATCATATTCGCCTACCGCACTGTGTCTGGTTGGTGGCTGCTTACTGTGCTCTCTAGAGTTATGAAACAGACTACCCATGAACTTTACCCTTAAGAGTCCACAACTTTGCGAAAAACCAAATATAGGCAATCAAAGGTGGTGGATGTGTGATGATTTTTTATGGCTTAATTGTTTGTGAATTAGATATATGATCTTTGTATGATTAGAGGGGATGTTTGCTTAATAGAATAATCCATTTTAATTCATGTTTATTTTTAACATGAACTTTAGTAACTCAAAACCTTTGAGACACATATCACCTACTGCATTGTATCATTTTGCCTGGGTGCTTGCTGTGTTGTCAAACTTCTTTGCTGCTGATGCATTTACACTAACAGGGGAGTTAAGAACTCATGAATGTTTCCGTTTGACACAAACAAGAGGACTTACTTCTAAATCATGCACTAAAGATGATTGGAGGAAACATCTCTGTTGCAGTTGATACACTGGAGACCATAACAAAAGCAACGTATAACATCAAAACCAACCATCTGAACTATTACCATTGTTGCTTTACTCTTTTTTCGTGGTTGAGTCTCCTTCAAAAAATTTAGTTTGATTTTAGAAAATTTTGCTTTTGCAATCCTGTCTTGCCACCAACGCGTTCAGTAGATGGAGATGGCAGAGGCGAAGGCTATTTTGTGTTGTTGTTGCTGGTTTAGGGATCGGTTTGTGAAGAAGAGGGAGAAGAGAGGGGGAAAGGGAAATGCATGAGAGGGGGATAACTCTTTTCTCCGACAAAAATGGAGTGAAGAAAGGAATTATGATCAGTAAGGATATGGTTATCTTACATAACTGTGTCTATTCTGTTTGAATTGAGCTTGGGAGGTAGTGATAAGGACGAGCTGCAACCAATTCATAGTGATAAGAGTGCTATGAACTGTGATCATGTCTTATTTCAAGTTAGAAGGTAGTTTCAGTATAAGGATTATTTAATTTGACAAGTTGTTTCGTCCATGATTCTTGGTAGTTTCAGTGCCATTCTAGCCATTGTTTAGTCTGTAATTTTTGAGAATTGATGTGCGAGTAATGACTTTCACTTAGCTTCAACTATTATGTGTGTATTTATTGGCATGTGATAGAATTCTCTTTTCCTTTTCTTTGAATTCAGTTTCATACTCTAATTGTATCATTTGTACATAGACAAATCATGCTCGAGATGACAACTCGCTGATATGGCTGGTGCAAGGAATGAAGCCATCATTAAAATTCAGACCGACAACGGGGAGGGATGCCTAGGACTAATTCAATGATGATTGATGATGGTATGATAAAAACTGCAGTCTGCATCAGCACCAATTTCTAGGCCTAAGTAAAGTTATTCAACCCAGAACTCTGCTTAGCGCTAAAAATTGCCCTCACCCAACCTTTATCCTGTTTGACCCACTTCTGAAGAGTCAAGATATATTACTAATTCTCTCCGTTCGTATTTTCTTATTGGCTCTTTCTGACTCTTTAGGTTGGGGCGGGTCGGGAAGAATCGGATTAGTGGGCCGGTCCTAATCAAGTGGAATCCCAATCCCTTCACTCTCACTTGCTTTCTCTCCCATTCCACAAGTGGGTAACATACAGTAATCCGGCCAACGGGCCGGGTAATAAGCTAGTTGCTTTTCAGAGGCGGAAGAGACGACGCTGGTATTGCTTTGCTATTTGCATTCAAGATGGATTTCTCATCGATGGCAAGCCAGGCAGGAGGATCAAACCCCAAAATGCCGACGGAGAAATTTATGTATCACTTTAAGTCTCAAATGGAGCAGGCGTATGCCCAGAAGTTCATCGAGGTCCCGCTCTCTGTTCTATTTTCTCCTACTACTATCTCTTCCTTCTCCGTTCGCGCCGCGTTCCCTGTTGTTATCTATGTTTATGCTTCTTTCCAATCGTATGAAGCTTCGATTTGCCTCAGCCTCATGAACCCACTACCAGATTCTTTGCTCTCGAAGCAAAAGTTTCCTACTTGCATGTCGCTGGGGCGGGCAGGGAGTTCGTTCCCCTTCGTCTCAGAGTTGGACTGTTTATACTTTATCACTCTAAATGCTGATGGAAGAGCTTCTCTGCGTCTCTGTGATTCCCTCTGATTGATTCGTTCGTCGCGCCGGATTTTTAGTGCGTCTCCCTCGTTTCAACTGTAACTAAGCAATCATTCGATCAAGCTATCGAACACGCATTGATTTGGGGATTCTTCCATGCTAGGTCTTTGTGTTTGGGAATCTCCGGCGCCTTGGTTTCGTAGCTCTGGATTGAACATAATTGATTGAGTATGGTTGATTTGGGTTTGGTTTTCCTAAAATTGGGTGACCTGATTTGTGGTTGTGGCTTCGATTTCAGACTCTGGGAAGGAAGTGCTTCGACAAGTGCGTAACGAAGCCTGGATCAAGCCTTGGTGGGAGTGAAAGCAGCTGCGTCTCAAGGTGTGTGGACCGCTACATTGAAGCCACCGGCATCGTCGGCAGAGCTCTCTTCAAAGCTAACCAATGAAGAAAGCTTTTGTTTACAGAACTCACAAACTCAAAACCACTTCCCTCCAAATTGTTCCCTTTTGTTGGATGATACCTCACAATATGTGGTCTTCGGAGAATCGAGTAGTTTGATGTGAACCTCAGAACCTTTGGCGCCCGTTTTCTCTTCACATTTTAATACTCTTGTCTGATCTCTGTCCTGCTTTGTGCACGCATGAGTTAAAATGCAGACAATTCGCATTTGCTACCTTGTTTATCGTAGAGGGGGAACCATGTCACTGTTTGCATATTGAATTTGGTAGAGAGAATCTTAACATGGGCTGTTACTATGGCAGAAAAAAGAAAAAAACAAACGATGGTATCTGAAAAAATTGACTACACCACACGTTCGAGGAACAACTCTCTCGTTATAAACAGAGCCGACCTCAACTGAGCAAATTTAGACCAAGCCCTTTCCATAATTTCCCTACTTTCACACAGTTGTAAGCCTCAAACGGATGATTTCTGAATACAAACATGGTAAAACAAATACAAGTCCCCAAGTGGGGCACAGAGAGAACTAGTACACTAGTTCCTTCTTTTTGGGTTCTAGAACAGGGGGATCAATGTCAATGCCCATATTAGCTGCTGTTCCCGCTATGATTTTCATTGCAGACTCGATGTTGGTGCAGTTCAAATCTGGCAGCTTTTCTGTAGCAATTGTCCGCAGTTGATCAATGGTTATCATACCCACTTTCTCATTCTTCGGGTCCTTGGAACCTTTCTCCGCTCCTAAACCAGAAACATCAAGACGAGTTAGTTTACAGCTCCCATGATAATCAGAGAACGGAGTGCCTACATGGCTACATCCATGTCGTAACTCGTAACATTGCCCTATTATGACAGTCAGTCTTATTAGGGAGCTTAGCAGCACAATCAAGAAGCAATCCACTCCCTAAGCATTTACAGGAGTAACCAGTACACCTCGGATGAGTTTAGGCTATAGTACAATGCAGAAAAGGAGAATGATTCTTAGATGGAGAATGCAATGGTACTAACCAACTGCAACTTAGGTAGTCTGATGCACAAGATTAAAAACATTCAAAGAGATATGTGAGGCATGCATTGTATTGAAAGATCATATTTATAGACCTGAACCGTAATCAAACAGCAGCAGCCCAAATGAAAGGGAACACAAAGCAAAGCTACACTGACCCATCTGAAAAGCACATCATACGAACAAATGCAGGCAAGCAGATTCAATTGACAAGTAAAGTAAAACGGTTATGATGAACGATTGATCAATTGCGGACAATCGCTGCAGAAAATTGTCTATTAAGGGGGTTCAAATTTCAAAGACCAGGGAGCAAACCTGCGGCCTTGAGCAACAGAACTGAAGCAGGGGGTGTCTTCAAAATGAAAGTGAAGCTCTTGTCCTGCAAATTGGGGAAAATTCTGGCTAAGGAGTACAAAGGACCCAATACTGATCTGGGGTGGAACTTTAAGGTGATAATCAGAATTCAGAGAGGGTGAGAATTGGAGGGGAAACTAACATCGAAGACGGTAATCTCAACAGGAATGACATAACCAGCTTTATCAGCAGTTCGGGCATTGTAATCCTTGCAAAAGGCCATAATGTTGACACCTTTGGAACCCAATGCCGGGCCGACTGGAGGCGCCGGAGTAGCCTTTCCAGCCTCCAGAGCCAACTTAATGAGCCCAACCACTGCCGCGCAGCAAACAAGATGAAACCATTTAGTCCCATTACCAAAATCCAAACACCAAAAATCAAGTAGAGAAGAAATGGGCGGCGAAGGGGGAGAGTTAATTACCTTTCTTAGCCTTGCCGCCGGCGGGTTTTGGTGGAGCCATCGCCCGCAGAGAGAGTGGTCTGGGGGAGAGGCGGGAGGGCGAGATTTGGAAGAATTGAAGAGACCCGCGGGGGTGAGAAGACAAGCTACTGATGCCGGCGCCAAACAGAGACGAAGATAGCTTATCACCGTGAAAGCCGGCGCTGACGGAAGAAGAAGAAGGGTTGCTGAATGTTGAGATAGAAGACGCCATGGTTGGAGACTGGAGTTTCTGGGGATTGTGCTGCTTCTCTAGCTACTGGATGGATTGGATAAATCCCTAAAAGAAAGAGGAAAAGAAAAAAATAACAAATGTCCTCCTTCCGCCCTCACTGATCGGCGGGGACGGTTTTGGCTGCCGGTCTATCCTATCCTATCCCGAAGCTCCAACTGGGCCGCCTTCTTTCGGGAAGGAAGTTTCGGGCTTTAGATTGGGCCATTTTTAAGCTTAAGGCCCAACGACTTGCTTAGTTTTGCTGTTTACGTGATAATGCTGAAATTTGTCTTTAATGAAGTTTGTGGTGACTAGGATCCTTACGTATAGCTAAAATTAGTGAGAGTATGAAGTCCTAAATTTGAAGAATCGGCTAAAACCTATGTATCTAATGGATTTTGTCTAATTTTTCTGCCAAGTGAAGTACGAGACCTGCTACTACGGTAGAAATTGGTACAGGTGTTGCCACCTTACATTTTGTGATTAACACGAAATATTTTATGATAATGCTAATTATAAAATCTATCATGTTGGTTGACGGTTAACCACTATATATAGTAAGGCATGGTGCAATTTAATTGTGGTTACCTGTAAAAAAATTAGCTTTCAGAGTGTGGAGATTTAACTGTAATCAACAAATATGATATTTTCCATTTGGAAAGTAGAATGTATATGAATTTGGATGTTCTGTAAATGGAAAGTTTAGGTGAAACAGTTCAATGAAAAATCTTGAAGAAAAATGGTTTACATACATGAATAAATAGTTTAATTACGTATGCACGTCATAACCCTAGCTTACTTGCTTGAGCGTCATAAATCAATTGTTTGAGGGGAAATCATTTATGTCTTCATTTGTCCTAAAAGATCAATGATTCGTCTCTTTGAAGTATTACTATCAATCAATGCATTTTACATAAGGACGTATTTCCTGATAATGTCTCCAAAGGCGAAAGAGGGTGTCCAAACTAGAAGTGGGAAAGCACACGGACCATACATCCATGGAATGGCTCCCAAACCAACTGTAGGACACACCTCCATACCAGTAAACACCATAACATGACTCAAAACCTAAACACGAAAATCAACCAACCCCATATCTCCAAGGGCTGCTAGGAAAACCCTTGTCGATCTAGTGCTCACAAGCAACATAATTCTACGACATCTCAATGCCTTGGTCGTGAACAAGAAAAAAAAAAGCTCCCATCACTTGATGCACACTAGACTAAGGTAGCTACTATAGGGACTTGCTAACCAAACCCATTGTTTTAAAAGATGAGTCATACAAAACTCGCGGTTTCTTCATCGCATGAATACTCATGGACAAAGAACAAATTAAAGATGACAAATAAGTTTTTATTGAAACCCATAACTGCAGACAAGTCTTTCATGTACCATGTAATCCTTTTTCCCCTGTGGGAAGACATGGAAAAAGTTCAAGAAGCCACGTATTTCCAACTTACAAGGGTTTTTATTGAAACCCATAACTGCAGACAAGTCTTTCATGTACCATGTAATCCTTTTTCCCCTGTGGGAAGACATGGAAAAAGTTCAAGAAGCCACGTATTTCCAACTTACAAGGGTGTGATTTTAGAAATATAAACTAAACCGAGCAATAGAAGGAACATGTCAATGCTCAGGCCCGTGATAGTGTAGGTAGCCAAGCCCATTGCTGAGAGGAGTCTTACTCCTACATAACTCACGGGTTACTCATCACGTACATGAAAACTCATGGACAAAGAACAGACTCAAGATGATGAGCAAGCTTCCAGTGAAACCTTTAGCTGCAACCAAGTCTTCCAGGTACCATGTGATTCTCTTTCTCCTATGGCTAGACACGTAAAGTTTTCAAGAAGCCACGTCTTTCCAACTCTCAACGATGTGATTTCAGCAATGTAAATTGGGCCAAGTACAAGGCCCGTGCCGATGCTCAGGCCCGTGAGAGTGTTTCCAACATGGAAGTGATGTAGTGTTGCATTGGTGAATAAATTTAATCAAATAACATTTGGCTTAGATAACCATATAACATAGTATCACAATTAATCCGATTATTTTGAATTAGAAACTTGTTCACATAATGATGATTATATGAGTTATATATAACAAGTTTATGTTATATAACCGGTAACCATATATATAATAATCTAACCCATTGTGTAACACAATCAAAATATGCTCCTACTAGAAGAAAGACCATCATTTGGTTCTTTAAGGAAGGTCTAATCCCCTGCATGTGCTCTATTACATTTACAGGCCTACTGGTCGCAAGGTGTAACATCCAAACGAAAAAAGTCCAATAGCGAGAAGCCGAGAACGACCATGTGTATTAGAACTTTGACTAACTTTTGCTTTATTTAGCTTTGGATTCTCGATTAGGACTTGGATGTGGCTTTCGCGTTGGGCCGTGGCCCATGGGCCGAACAGAAAAGCGGAAATGATTCGTGATTTGGGCGGAAACTCGATCCAACACAAGGCAACAATTTAGTCGGACGGGATTCAGCGCATGCCTGGCCGCCCGCCGCTATAAATGATGGCCGGAAAGTCATTGGTTTGACTGGAAACTGAAAACTGAAAAGGGCAATATTGCAGCTTACTCTGTAAACTAGAAAATCTTAAAGTGGGAGGAAAATTAGGCAGAGATTGATATCGTGACGCCACTTTTTTTTCCACTGGTGGGTGGCGCGGCCGGCGACGAGAGAGCAGCCGCCGAGAACTGAATTTTGCATGTGGAAAGCATGCGTGCATGCACGTATTGTTTATAGTTCGTACTACTAGCAAGTTTACGTACGTATTATCAGTATGGCCGGTGAATTAACTTGAAGTTACTGTAGCAAAGGAAGTGGAAGAAGAAGTCAAACTAATCATTGGCTTCTCTCCCTCCTTAATGGCTTTCTTTCAATTCAACGGAGCTTGCTTTTTTCATGGTGGTCGGTTGACTAGCGGACGGACCACCGCCGGCATTCGCTAATAACCCTTCGATGCCGTTCTACCTATTCATACATCGAAAGCTTAGCGATGTGAAATAAATAAGAGCTTATGACGACAGTTTTAAGTTTGACCAACTTCCCAATCCGATCACAACCTAACGTTTTTTTCCAGCTGATACCTTTTGATTTATGTTGTTATTAAATAATGATGTACGTTTACGTCCATTCAATTCGATTAGTTAGCCCCGAAATTGAACTCCGCACCCTACATGATGATTAACGAAGAATCGATGCAAGAAAAATTGCTGACTTGCCTTTGTGTATACGTTCGTAGTTATAATATATAGTAGTTAATTGTGCTTGTTTTGGGGGAAGAATGTGATTAATAATAGTTTTAGTCTAACTCGGAGATGATCAGCAATAGTGGGTGGAGATAATCAAATGTTGGTGAGGGAAAGAGACGGGGAATGCTGACTTTCTTAATGCATGACATTGGAGGATTCATAAGCAAAGAGAGTTACTCACTATTGATCCGCTGTTGGAAGAGATTTCTCGATTTTTGTCTCTACTTACACACCAGCTCGTTGTTGAATTCATTGAACGTTCTCTCCAGTCAGCCTAGTTATTCTGCTAACTAGAAGATTCGTTAGTATATACTAACTAATATCCAAAATGTATGAACTAATATTCAAGTCTGCTGAGTATCTAGATAGCACAGACTAGTATTCAAAACATCACAAACTAATATCCAAATAGCATATACCAACTAATATCCACAAACAACCAACTTGTATTCAATATGGATACTCTTATATGTTATCTGGATATTAATTATGTGCTATATGGATACTATTATGTGTTGTCTAAATATTAGTTTGTGAATTTGGGATAATAGTTGATTCATGGTGGATATCAGTTAGCAAACTTTAAATACTAGTATGTGCTCTCTAGATATTTTAGTACTTGGATACTAGTTCATGTATTTTGGATATCAGTTAGTATCTGCTAACGAATCTTCAAGTTAGCATATTAACTTTTCCCCTCTGCAGTCTGCAGTGGCTGATTTAGTGGGTGGTCACCTCGAGTCAAGGCGTAGTGCTTCTTTGAATTTGGAACTAGTGTAGCTCTTATAAATTTTTTCAATTTTAGACATTCGTTCCCGTGTTATTTTATAATAAGATTTGTGTGTAATTAGAAAAACGCCTCAGATGAACATATTCAAATCACTACTCTAAATTTAGCCTAGAAATTCTGGCTCCAAAGGTTTTTGTCTAAAAAAATAATAATAAAACCTAAAATTCTAAAAACTCTAAAGCGTAAAGGACTTAAAGAAACATGAGATTTGTTTCCTTGAAAAAAAAAACTAGAGCAGTTGGTGGATATAGGGATGACACACAATGCAAATCGACTAATCGGTTGATTTGTCTAGTACTGATGCTGCCCGTTTCAACGGCTACTACGAAGAGAAGCTTTCCATCAATGAAACATATGAAAACTGATTTGGGTAAAAAAATGAGCTATGAATTTGCGCAACAAACATTTGAAAACTATGATCATATTATATACGATATCTAATTTTCCAATGAAATGTGGCTCAGTGCTCTATTGTGTTCTGGATCCGCCACTGCTCAATTAATAGTAAGAAAAAAATCATTTCTTCCTATCTTATTCTAATGGAATTGGATTTTAGTTTGTGGCTTTTGTATCTCTTTTTTTTTTCTCTCTCGATGGTACATGAGCTTTTGGTGTGTGTGGGGGAGGTGTGACATTTTAGTTTTGAGAAAGAATAATATTGCGATTTCTTTGTTCATCAAAAATTCAGGTGACATTTATAAATTTATATGTTATTAGTTATTTCCACATTGCTCAAGTCAACGCGACGTCCGAGTAGAAAAACATGGAAGGGAGGAAGCAGGTGGGGAAGGAAGATGAACTCGTGATAAACGAGAGTGATGAAAAGGGAGAAGCACGCGGTGGCCGGTCATACATTTGATCGCCACTCGCCAACGGAGTAGACTGACGGATCCTTTTTTCCACTGTTTTCCCCTCCAACCTACTTTATTATTATTATTATTATTATTATTATTGTGCCTTTTATGCTTTAACTCCGTTAAAATAATACAATCGCATGTCACTTGATTGGTTTGTTAGCTACTACTTCGGTCTTAGAACAACTATTATGCTCCTAAACTAAATAAATAAATCTGTGAAACTGTGATCAAACTCTATAACCATCAAATATCAAAATGAATATAATTTCGCATACGGCATATCCAGTGGCGGACCCAGGAAATTTACATAGGGGTGTCCTCTTTCAAAAAATAAAGTAAAATAAAAATTAAATAATTAATAAAAATTATATTATTATTTAGTAAGAAAATACCCAACTCGTACAAGTTAAAAAAAAGTCAATGATGTATTTTCATATTCTAAACAAATTATAAAAAATACTTGGTGTATACACTGCTCAACAAATTTGTCTCGGTATATCCTACTAGACGATCATTCACGAGCTTACGCATATTTGAATTCTTAATTTGTTCATGATGTAACTCAAAGCTGAAAAAACACTTTCAACACGTGTCGTACAACCATAAGATCAATACAAATTAAGGGTAACTTGTAATTAGATTAATTGTTAGGTTTTGAAAATAATGAAAGATAGAGAATAGAGTTTTGCTATTACACAGTGTTTAGAATATAGCAACAAAAAAGTTGTAGTCTAATGGAAATTATATTTATTAGTAATAGTAGTGTCCCGGGTTTGAATTACCCAAACTACCACTTATATTCTCATACGCAAACTACAAACGAAAGTAGTATAATCGTTTTCAAATTTTAGGGTGTCCCAGACTATTAGTTATAATTTTTTTTGTCTATACGTAAATTAACACCGAGGGTTGGATAATCGATCTTCCAAAATTTAGGGGTGTCCAGGGACACCCCTAAATGCCCCTGGGTCCGCCCCTGGACATATCATAATGATCAAATTACGTAGTTCACTCTCATCCATCTCATCACCATTTATTTATTCAAGCGTTAAACTTTGATGTAGTGAATTGCTGACATTATTTATTTGGAATACTTGCTCTAGTCTTAATTAACCAAATAGGGGACTATGTATATTAAGAAAAATTATTATTGAACTAGTTGACTAGGATCCAAAAAATGGATATGTGAGTATGTGACTAGTTTCACTTGTCCCTCCTTTTAAAATTTACCGCAACCTTATATTTGAGAAGACGAAAAATAAATTGGTTAATATCTTCTTCCTTTATAGATATAAGATATCTGAAATATTTTGAAATATTTATTTAAGTTGAGAAAACTACATAAATCACTATTGTAATTTCTTTTTCGTCTAAATCACTTCGTAACCACTATTTTAATTTTTAAGTTATTAAAACCTTGTTTTTGTATATCCTCCCTTGGAACATATGTATAGTCTTTTATCTCTAGGAGTGCAACAGAATCAAATATAACCATTTCATTCATCACATATTCCAATTTCCATTCCAAGGCATAAATCCAAGCTACCCTAATTTAATACATTTTGTAAAGGAAATATTTGTGGTCTTCAAATAAATCGAATATAGAAATGTATTAGATTTTATATGACTATATATGAAACTAAAACAAATAAAATGTAAGGACAAAATATTAAAAAAATAATATGAAAAATTAAAAAGGGGGCCCTACGGCAATCTTTAAAACCACCCTTCCTACCAGCTGATTTCTCAGTCCCTTATCCGTATCAAACCAATTCCCAGCCAAGCCATAGCTTCCTTCACCCTCTCTTCTTCCACCATTTGTCTTTTTTCCTTTCTCTCTCCCTCCTCTCTGCTGCCAGCTTACTCCCCTCATCCTCATCCCCGCATTCCTTCCTCCTCTCCTTTTTAACTTTGGGGAGATTCTTCACTTCTTCCTCTCGGAACCCTCGACTGGTCGCTGCTCTCTAAACCCTTTTCCCCCACATCTCTCCTGATTCAATCGAGGGTTCCCTTTCCAAGAAGTTAGAGCTACTTCGTTGTATGCTCTAATGGCTTTGTGGTCTATACTGCTCGACATTCTCCAGAGGCCCAACCCTTTTGCTGTCATGGCCGAGCTCTCCATGCTGGTAGCTCCTCTCTGGATTGCGGTTCTTGTTGGCGTTCTCGTTGGATGGTCATGGCGGCCCAAGTGGGCAGTTTTGGCTAATCAATCCGATACTGCTCCAGTGTCCTCGAGCTTCAAGCTTCAGCTGCCCAGCTGTATCTCCTGGATTTCCAGTGACGATTCTTCCAGTCAACCTCCCCCACCTACTACCCTCGCTTCCGATTCAAGGTTTGTTTGCAGTCGCGCTCCAATTCCTTGAATTGGGTTTTTTTGTTGACGGGTTTTGTTTCAATTTCGGCTGTTTTATTGTCGACCCAATTGTAATTCAAGTCTTCTGGGTGATTACAGCTCCTCGCAGCTGGGAAAGGGGAAAACGAGTATTGTGTCAACGGATGATTTGCAGTACTTGTGTAAGCTTGTTGAAGTCAAAGATGGCGGCCCTGCTTGGATTCAGATGATGGACCGTTCTACGCCTACCATGAGCTACCAAGCTTGGAGGAGAGATCCTGAGGTAAAGCTTTCCTCCCCCTTTTTTTTTGTTTCTTACTGTTGTCAATCGTTGGTCTTTTGACAAGTTTTAGGGGAGGAAACAATCTGATTTGTGATTGAATTGTGGCTTTGCTAGAGTGGCCCTCCCCAATACCGTAGCAGAACTGTTTACGAGGATGCTACTCCTGAAATGTTGAGGGATTTCTTTTGGGATGATGAATTCAGAAAGAAGTGGGATGACATGCTCATACATTCTGAGACTCTGGAGGAGTGCCCAACTACTGGAACCATGATGGTCCAGTGGGTTCGGAAGGTATTTACAGAAACTTACATTTTGCTCTTTTTGTGTGCTGCTGTCCATTTTCACACCGGCGATTGGATTCTTATCTCAGCTGCCTCATTTCTCTCTTGCAGTTTCCTTTCTTCTGTAGCGACAGAGAGTATATCATTGGTCGCCGGATTTGGGAATCGGGCAGAACGTACTACTGTGTTACTAAGGTATTAGCAAGTTTCAGATTTTCCAATTGTTTCTGAAGTTATGGCTTTTACAGTGTTTTGATGAGGGAGCTATTGATCTACTTTCCTGTCTTGCATGTTCAACCCTCCAATTATCTGCCTATTTCGCACCTCATAGAATTAATGAAGAGCTAGCCATCAACATCTCACTAGAGTCGCACCTGTCTGGTTTATTTGTGATTAAAGGAAACGCAAGATTTCAAAGGGGCAAATGATTTCGTGTCATTCTCAAAGAGAAAGTTTTAAGCTTTCCCTTTCGAGTATCATTTATAAGTCTGTGGCGGTGAAATTGTTCTGTTTTGTGATGCAAGTATCATCTTTTGGAGTTAGTTTACCATCTTGATGATGTAGTATCTTAACTAGCCTGCATTGTGTTCTTCCCCAGGGAGTTAGCAATTCTGTTCCAAGGCGCAACAAACCACGCCGTGTTGATTTGTACTATTCTAGCTGGTGCATCCGTGCAGGTAACTGACTACCTGGTTTCCTTCTGTGGTTCAGTTAACAACTTGATCATTCATGCATGTTTTCTACGTTACCAATGTGGAATGACAAAGTTAAGCCTGTCCCACCTCTGTGTGTTTTCAGCGGCATCAAAGAGAGACGGACAGCTAACTGCATGTGAGGTGCTACTGTTCCACTACGAGGACATGGGAATCCCGTGGGAGATTGCAAAGCTTGGAGTGAGACAAGGTATGTGGGGAGCTGTGAAGAAGATTGAGCCCGGTTTAAGATTGTATCAGAAAGAGCGAGGATCTGGGGCTCCACTCTCGCGTCAGGGTTACATGGCTCAGATCAACTCCAAAGTCAGTATAGACTACCTGAGAACATTGGAAAACAGCAGCAGCAGCATTGGTACTTCATCCGAATCCGAGATTGAAACCTCCAAAGGTTCTTCCGAGAAGGCGCAAGGAAGAGGGAGCATACCCAAGGTTCTTGTAGTAGGTGGAGCTATTGCTGTAGCATGTTCACTCGACAGAGGGCTCCTCACAAAGGCACTCATATTTGGAGTAGCAAGAAGGTTTGCTAATATCGGGAAGAGATTATGATATGGAGAAAATTTCTTTCATTTTGCTTCATTCAGTCATGAGCTGTGGTGAAATGAAGGGGGGAAAGGTGCAATCCGGGACGGGAATTTTGTCCTTGGACTGCCCACCCTATTTGAAGAAGGGGAGATGATGAAGATTTTATTGTATTCTTTTCCTTTTCATTTTTGGTTCTGTCATGCGTTCTGGGTTTGGAGCTGTTGCAGCTTTTCAGGAAGGAGTGGATGATGATACATAATACGTAGTGGATAGCTGTATACAGTAGAGAAACAACAAAGGTCTTAACAAGTTGTGATGAAGCAAATGAAGAAAACCCTAGAGCTGCATGCACAAAATAACAAGAGAACAATGACCAGTTCTTTTTTTCTTGGTGGATTGCCGCTTCACTGATCACTATTGTTATTGTTAACCTCTTTGATGGGTTTGATGTAACGGGAGGTGGACTGTCTACTTCAGATTTCAGGCATGCGTGCATTCTTTCCAATTGTGATACAGCAGGAGCAGCAGATAGCGATCAAAGTTGTGGGATTTGCCGGTGGTTGGAGGTGGAAATTGGGAATATGTTTGGAGGGGTGGGAAAGGAGAGGTTTCTGTCTCTGTAATTTTGGGTCACCTAATATAATAATGCAGGCCATTCATTGCTGTCTCTGATTCTCTGTTTGCCTTGTCCTTTGAGTTTTGGTAGGCGTGGTTTGGCTCTTGTTCTGCGTTGACAATAGGAGTGGCTATACGGTCCGGTTCGGTTAAATTGACTTGAATTGATCTGGTTTTTGTCCGGTCTTTTCGTGAATATAAGAACCAAAAATTGGATTGGATACAGTCTGGTCTGATCCGGGCCGGTCTCAATTTGCTCTTGATTTTAGATTGAGCTAGTAGGGATTTGAGCGGTCTGTGGTCTGAAGGGTGAAAAGGTTGAATTTTGGTTGTTGGGTTCTCTTATCCGGTTTTTATCCGATTTCCGCCAATCTTGAATGATTTTTTTACATCGAATCTAAGTCCAAAAGTGGGATTGGATTGTTTGCTATACGGTCCCGGTTCAATTTCGAGTAAAACCAAAAAGCCCGAACCAAATAACCACCCTAATTACCAAGAGAGAGTGGATGAGAATCTATTGGGATGAACGGCTGATGATACCATGTAATTCATGGCTACTAATGCAAAATATAATAATGGAGAGCTGCAAATTAGCGCAGAGACTACACGTTTTGCTGTGTCACTCACAAGTCACAACACAAGACCGTGTGTAAACAGGCAGGATTAGAATTAGAAGCACGTTTCATTGTTTAGTGGCGGGCACATTCATATTCACGTGTCATGTTAACAACGAGTTACTTGTTTTTCTGTAGTTATTTGGTTTCCTCCGCTCACAAAGTGGAGGTTTGCCCGAAATTTGGCGGATATGTGTTATTTTGACAACCCAACTGAAAAAAAGCATTAACTAATCTAGATGAACAAAACATGCTTATAGAGAAGTCTTGGGCTTGAGTCCAGATGGACCAAACTCAATCCCAACAAATCGTTTTACTCTAGGGATTCTACTTGGCTTTCCATACACGTAGGGCTGCAAATGAGTCAAATTATTCACGAGTGGCTCAACGTTCGATTCGAAAAAATCTTGTTTCGAGACTCGGCTTGTTTATTAATGAGCCGAGCTCAAACTAGGCCTTGTTAAGCTTGTAAGGCTGGCGAGCCAGCTCGACTCGGTGACATGTTGAGCCAGCCAACTTGTGAGTTAGCTCGATAGTATAGTTAGCGAGCATCCTCATTTAGCAACTTAAGGGCGAATTGATTAATAACTCACCAGTCCGCTTGTTGATAATTCATAGTTTTGTTTAATTACATATATTAGCATATATAATGTTTTAAGACTACGAAGACATGATCCAAATATGTCTCATTTATATTTTTAAAATAATATTATGCATCATAAATTATTTAAATACTAATTGTTATCAAATAAGATCATATGAAAAATTAAAGTTTATGAACTAAATGATTTATACCCAAACTAGAGCTTACCTCGCGAGCTGATTGATGAGCCAAACTCGAGTAGAGCTCGTGAGCTCATTAACAAGTCAAACTTGAGTCAAGCTCGAGTAAAACACTAACTCTAGTAAACAAGTGAGCTCGACTCATTTATTAACGAGCTGAAATTTTCTTTTTTCCGTCGTTGCTTTTGGTTGTATTTTTCTGACCTTTTCGATTTTACCGCCTGACTAACTGTTCACACGGGGACTCACTGATCGAGGCGCGCACAGTGCCGAGGCTTAGCGTTAACTAGCGGCGCGGCATCGAGTCCAAGCAAATCCTTTCACTCGCCACGTGTCGTACGGCAATTCGTGCTCTCTAGGCAACCAATCTCATCTCATCATCACCAAAACCCTTTTCTTCTTCCTTGTTGATCGCCTGCCGTCCGGAGGTCACGGGGCGGATCTAAAACAAAATTCCAATCCTCCTCATTCCGTTCCACCACCAACGGCCTCCCAAATTCAATTTTATCCTATATATGCAGGAAAGATAAGAACTTTTATCCTTCTTTCGCATTTTTATTACATGCCTGCGAAATCCGATTTCAATTGCTCCGGTGGTTGAGATCCGACGAGCTAAGTTTCGTCGGGTTTCGTCCATTCCAGTCAAGCCAGATCCTGCACCAAACAAGAAAAAAAAGGAAGAAGATGAAGGGGTCCTGCACTCTCGTGGCTTCAATGATCGCTGCCTCCACCGTGGCCCTCTCCTCTTCCTCGGCCGCGCCGCCGAACTCTGCCGGCGACCGTGAGGTCGTGGCTGTACATCCCACCGTCAACCAGGTATTAATTAATTAATTGCCGCTGTTTTTCCTTCTACCCCCTTTTTTTTTTTGGAATTTGTTGGGATTTTGTTTGTAATCTATGGATCATGTAAATGAGAAAAGCTATCAGATCTGTTTATTATTTCTCAGCCCACGACGAGACAAATTTCAGATTTTGTTTGAAATGTGTGTGTGTTATTAGGTTGGTCGAAGTCCAAAGATTTTAACGTTGGTACTGCTGTTATATTAGGGATCGAGGTTATCTTCGGCGCGGGAACAAGAACAAGAGGAGAAGCAGGGGAAATTCGTTCCTCGATTTGACGGGTTGAGGTTTATAGAGACATTGGTCACCGCTCACAGATGAAACTCTCTGCAGCAACAATGAGTGCTTAGGGAATTAGTTTTAGTTTACTAGGTTTGAATCTCCTGCAATCCTCCATTACGGATCTCTTTCTCTCTGTTATTGGTCCTGATTCCTGAATTCTATTGGTTTTTGTTTGCTTCACGATTTATAGGTTTGGTTCTGGTTTCTCTCTGTTTTTTTGCCATGAGATCAGTCTAGACCATATGTGTGTAATGTGGGGAAGCCAGCTTCTCCACACCACAATCTTCAGATAATGAGATTGCATCATCGATTTTTCTTTACAAATATATTGTCTGCTGTGTTATGTGGAGGACGAAAAGCGCAGCTCTTGAAGCTTTGTCAGGGGATTAAATGGTGAAGGAATTATTGGAATTGGGTGCGTTTGGGTTTGTTTGGTTCTGGTTTCACAATTCTGAAGAACTTGGTTAGGAGGTCATCTTTCCTTCTTTGATATCCTTCCTTCAAAGGACCTTTCCCTGGATAAGATTGACAGAGTTCACTTCTCTTTTGCCAGAATATGCTAACTTCAACAGAACGCAAGTGCAACTAACTTTATGTAAATCTAAATTTAGATTACACAATTTCGAACTAACAGCTGATGAACACTGAACAGACAGGTGAAGGTCGCTTGATCAGAGATTCAGAGCCAGTTTCCGGTTTCTGATGCTGGCTGGAAATGAGTGGGCCTTGGTTGGCAGGCAAAGTTAAGCAGTTTGGGCTTTGGTCCTCATCTTCCCAGTCTCGGCCCACTTGTCAAATTGTGGCCTCCAATAAAGGACGCCTTCTCCTCTCCTCTCCTCTCCTCTCCTCTCGGGTACCCATCTCCCTGGCAGCAAGCTCGACTGAGATTGAGAATGTCGCTGTGGGACGGACGTTTAAGCAGTCTTGAGCCACCAATCCCCAAAACACTTGCCACCATTCTAATTAACACAACTCCAACTTTGATTTCTTTATATCCAGTGGAAGGCTATTGGCGATTAAGCATGTCTTTCTCGTTGCTGATCCGGCCCACTCGGTGGAGCCCAGATAGGCCTCAGCGGGCCCAGCTTTCTATGAACCGTGATCTCTCGATTCCCCAAAGCCCCACAAATACAATTAGCAAAAGGCGGCCTGAGGCGGTGAGTGAACCAACCGTTGCAGTCACGCCACGTGTCATACAGCACGTACTCTCCTTCGTACCATCCCCTACAAATTTCCCACTGAATTGCTTCTTCCCCTTCCCATTTCCGTGGCAGCCAGCAACCTCTCTCAGCCCTTCACTCCACTCTTACTGATTCCTACTCTTCCACCGGACAGGCAGTAAAAAGTTTCCCTCACTCTGATTTCTCCTTCCTGTTTTGCCGATTCCACCCGCTACGGCCCTTTGTTTCCATCCGATTCACTGTTTTCTCTCCCAATCAAAAGGGGGATTTGTTGCAGTTGTTACATTATCATAATTCATCAATGGCGACCATCACCGCTGCGCATTTCGTGTCGAGAACTTCCCGTGTCAGCTCGGAGGCCAAGACGGTTCCCGTGGGACTCCAGGCACAGAGCCTCAGCCACCACGGTCTCAGGGCGGTGGACAAGCTGCAAATCCGAACCACGGCGAAAGCGATGGGGAGAAGAGCTGTGAGGAATTCTCAGGCGGCCACTGAATCGCCTTCGTCCGCCAAAATTGTGTGCGGAGCAGGGATGAATTTGGTGTTCGTCTCTTCCGAGTGTGGGCCGTGGAGCAAAACCGGCGGTCTAGGTGACGTCCTCGGTGGACTCCCTCCTGCAATGGCCGTCAGTTTCTATTCACGGCTGTTTCCTTTTAAACCTCAGTTTTAATGGCGATCTGAGAATACTTGTGCTGGCGACTATTTATTTACAGGCCAGAGGACATCGGGTAATGACGGTCTGCCCTCGTTATGACCAATACAAAGATGCTTGGGACACCTGCGTCTTCGTCGCGGTAAATTAACACCGGCCCCAATTTTGCTTTTCAATTATTCTTCTCTGAGGTTGCAGTCAGGCGAGATTTAACAATGTTCTAGGGTTTTTAGATTCAAGTTGGGGATAAAGTTGAGACAGTTCGCTTCTTCCACTGCCACAAAAGGGGAGTAGACCGGGTCTTCGTTGATCACCCTTTGTTCCTTGAGAAGGTTCCTAATCCCCACGCCTCTCACTGTTTGGCAATTATTTGTCTGGAATCTTTGGTACGAAAACTATAGTTAGTCTCATGTAAACTAAACTACCTTTGCAATTGTGTAAAAAGGTATGGGGCAAAACTGCATCCAAGATCTATGGCCCTACTACAGGAATTGACTACAGGGACAACCAGTTGCGTTTCAGCTTGCTGTGCCAAGTGAGTGCAACTTTTCTCGTTTTCTAGTTTCATTTTCTGAATCTTTACTCGGCAAGGAAAGACAGTCTTTCGATACTGACAGCCAGCCTTTTTTCTAATTTATCAGGCTGCTTTGGAAGCACCAAGGGTTCTGAACTTAAACAGCAGCAAGAATTTCTCCGGGCCGTATGGTGTGTTTTTTTCTATATGATTCTCACAGTGTCTCCTCCAAGCTTCATAGTTTGATTGCCAAGAAATGAGATTTGACCTGCTGCTCAACTCTCTTATTGGGATGCAGGGGAAGATGTTCTCTTCATTGCTAATGACTGGCACACGGCTCTGCTCCCTTGTTACTTGAAAACCATGTATCAGCCAAGGGGCTTCTACACAAATGCTAAGGTATGGTGAACGTTCCAAGTTTATCAATGAATTCAGATAGGGGACTGTTCAGTTGTTGACTGGCTTTGTGTGCTGTGTGGATGTTGATGAATGACAGGTTGCCTTCTGCATCCACAACATTGCTTATCAAGGACGATTTGCCTTTGCAGACTTTTCTCTCCTCAATTTGCCAGATTCATTCAAGAGCTCCTTCGACTTCATGGATGGGTATGGATGCTTTCACTCAGCCATGTTTACTCCACTTATGTGTTTGCCATACTGATAAGGGTTTCCACTGATATGCAGATACGATAAGCCAGTGAAAGGAAGGAAGATCAACTGGATGAAAGCTGGGATATTGGAATCCGACAGGGTAATAACTGTGAGCCCATACTACGCCCAGGAGCTGGTCTCTGGAGAGGATAAAGGTGTCGAATTGGACAACGTCCTTCGCACCAAAACCGTCTCGGGTATTGCAAACGGCATGGATGTTCAAGAGTGGGATCCTGCTACCGACAAGTACATTGATGTTAAATACGATGCAACCACGGTACGTGTGATTTGATTTCACCAAGTATATAATTGCATCCCTGTACCACTACAACAATGGTGGTGATGTTGATTGTTGACGATCATATTGTGGGGTTTCACTTTTCAGGTTACGGATGCAAAGCCACTGTTGAAAGAAGCACTCCAAGCAGAGTGCGGATTGCCCGTGGACAGGAGCATTCCCGTGTTTGGATTCATTGGCAGACTGGAAGAACAGAAAGGTTCAGACATTCTATGTGAGGCTATCCCTCAGTTGATCGACGAGGATGTGCAGATAATAATCCTCGTAAGCATCTCTTAATTCTCATATTCAAACTGCTGGATTCTGCAACCCATGTGAAGCTTCTGCTTCAAATTGATTTGTGACGATGACTTCTGCGTGCAGGGTACGGGGAAGAAGTACATGGAGGAGCAGATTCAGCAGCTGGAGAAACTGTACCCTGATAAAGTCAGGGGAGTGGCGAAATTCAACGTCCCCTTGGCCCATATGATCACAGCTGGGGCTGACTTCATGTTGGTCCCCAGTAGATTCGAGCCATGCGGTCTCATCCAGCTGCACGCCATGCGATATGGCACGGTAATTCGCCACTCATTACAGTTCTTCTTTACATCTTCTGCTGGATCATTTCACTAATCAACTGATAATATGGTCCCAACAGGTCCCTTGCGTAGCTTCCACCGGTGGGCTGGTGGACACGGTGAAAGAAGGTTACACCGGATTCCAGATGGGGGAATTCAGCGTGGAATGCGATGCAGTGGATCCAGCCGACGTGCAGAAAATAGTGACTGCTGTTAAAAGGGTGATTTCCACATTTGGGACACCGGCATTGGAAGAGATGATACAGAACGGGATGGCTCAGGATCTGTCGTGGAAAGGGCCGGCGAGGCTGTGGGAGAAGATGCTGTTGGGTTTGGGAGCCGCCGGGAGTGAGGCCGGCGTTGAAGGTGACGAGATTGCACCCCTTGCCAAGGAAAACGTCGCCACTCCTTGAATGTCGGCTCCCTCATAATAAGTTGGAAGTCGTCGGAGAAGGAGGTGATCGCCGGCGGTTAGTGACAAAAGAGGAGAATGTTCTGTTTAAAGAATTAGTTGAAGTAGGGTAGCAGGGCTAAGCAAGACTTAACTAACTTTTCTCTAAATAACCATCACTGTGATATCCGGCCCAATCTGAAGTGAAATGGCTGGGCCGCCTCATTTCACTGGGCCCAAACAAATTATATCAGCGCCGACCTCGCGCCCCCACCCGGCAGATTGGCTCTCACTCAATAATAGTAAACTATTGTCTATTATAAATATCCCTCCGTAACGAATACCACCAAAAGATAAATAATAAAATAATAATATCCCTCAACTGATTTCTCTTTTTTACTTTCCTTTTCTCCACTTCTTCTTCTTCTTCTTCATCTCCTTCCCCAACTTTACCTTCCCATACCCTAATCAGAGTTCAGACCACTCACTCCCTCACTTCACTTCCCCTTCTCCGATCTCCACTTTCTTCTTCGCCAAAACCCACATTCACCCACCAGAGAGAGAGAGCAAGCAATCGAGCTCACTTCAAGACGAAGATGAAGCTCGATACATTCCTCTCCCACTCTGCTGCTCTGCTTCTTCTGCTATTCTCAGTATCAGGTAAGCTACCACCCGCCATTCCTCTGCTGTTTCTCATCTCTTGTGCTGCTTGCTAAATTTTAACTCAAATGTCGTTTCCCAAACTGTAGCCACCCTGGTAGATTCGATGGGGATCAACTACGGCCAAATCGGCAACAACCTCCCAAAACCAGAGGACGCCGTCCCGCTAATCAAAGCCCTCGGAGCCACGAAAGTCAAGCTCTACGACGCCAGCGCTCCGGTCCTCCGCGCTTTCGCCCACACCGGCGTCGAATTCGTCGTCGGCCTGGGCAACGAGTATCTCGCCAAGATGCGAGATCCAGACAACGCCCGGACCTGGGTCAAATCCAACGTCCAGACCTACCTCCCGGCCACCAACATCACCTGCATCACCGTCGGCAACGAGGTCCTCACAATGACCGACGAATCCTACATCCCGCACCTCGTCCCAGCCCTCTATTCCATCCACGCCGCCGTCGTCTCCCTCAACCTCCAGAACCAGGTCACCGTCACGACCCCTCACTCCCTCGCCGTCCTCCAATCCTCCTACCCGCCTTCCTCCGGCGTGTTCCGCCGAGATCTGACCGGCTGCATCACCCAGATCCTCAATTTCCACGCCAACACATCTTCCCCTTTTCTAATCAACGCTTACCCTTACTTCGCCTACAAGGACAGCCCCAAGCAGGTCTCGCTCGATTTCGTCCTGTTCCAGCCGAACCAGGGCGTGGTCGACCCCGGGTCGAACCTACACTACGACAACATGCTGTTCGCCCAAATCGACGCCGTCCATTACGCCGTTGCTGCCCTAGGGTTCAAGAACATGCCGGTTCACATCTCGGAGACCGGGTGGCCGTCGAAAGGCGACGCCGACGAGGCCGGCGCGACCCCCGAGAACGCCAAGAAGTACAACGGCAATCTCATCAAGACCGTCTGCAATAGGAAGGGGACTCCAATGAAGCCCGATATGGGCCTGAACATTTACGTGTTCGCGCTGTTTAACGAGAACATGAAGCCCGGCCCAACTTCTGAGCGGAATTACGGCCTGTTTAAGCCCGATAGGACGCCCGTTTACAACATCGGGATTGACCTGTCGTCGATTGGCAGCGGCGGTGGAGGCGGCGGGAACAAGACCAGTCCCGCTGCCGCCGGAGGAGGAAGCAGCAGCTCCGGGAGTCCACCGTCGGCGCCGGATAATGGTCCGAGTGGGTACTTGGCGATTTCGAGCGGGACGACGAAGGTGAGAAGCAGCCTGTCGTCTTTGTCGTTCACATTGGTGGGAGGAATATTGTTGCTTGCTGCTCGCCTTTTGTCCGCTTGAGGCGGCTTGATTGTTGATTTGTCGTTCCCATCACCACCATTTTCTTTTTTGCTGGGGAGGACCGAATTTGCGACCTGTTTTTGCTCATGTGGGCATGTGCGGCAATGTCGCAGGACCAAGATCCGTCCAGCCGATCTGCAGAGAGAAGACGAGAGAGATACTGTTGTTGGATTATGGTTGGAGTAGTGTAGTTGCACTTCTTGCATTGATGTCATCAGATCATTATTATTATTTTTTTGGGATGAATTTATAATGGATGCCATCATATTGTTTTTAGATCCATTCACGCACGCTGGTTTCAGTTCTTCTGTCTTTTGATGTTTCGTTTAACGGCTATAATTGGCTGTGGAAGAAAAGGTGGAGATCTTCATTATGAACAAAGGAGGTGAGGGATTGTTTTGGGCTAACGAATCTAGCTCTAAACAAGAGAGAAAGGAGAGGAGAAAGCTGATGAAAGGTTCACTTTTGCCTTTGCTCGTACGCTGCAAACTGCTAAAGAATCTAAATCTATACAGAGAGACAGGAAAGCATCCTTCTTTGGTGGCTTTATCCTCAATTGGGGAATTCTTCCCCCACTTCACTTCTCAGAAACAACTGTTAGAGCATCCAATTCTGTGGAATATTAAAGGCACGTTTGTTGTAGTCTGTACTGGTGCTCCATCCAGCTACTCTAAGCTATGCCTGCCTAACAAACGTACTCGTTACATCCATCAATCCATTAGAACCGATCGAAACAAGCCCGTGGGTCGACAATTCAAGCACACACATTTCTGCTTTATGTATACCATGCTAGCCTGACTGAAGATTTCAGTCAAGCCGATATGGTACCATTAACACTGATAAGAACGATTAAGTCTGATAAGAACAATCAAGTAGTGAACATAATTTGAGGAGGAAAGGCAAAATGAATCCGTGATATAAATCTAGGTAATAATAACAATAAACTTCGTTGAAAAATTGGTGGGACAATGTGTTGTCACTACACCTCTCCCCAACACAGAAACAGCAATTTGTTCATTGCCGCAGGCAGAAAGAAATAAACCTCCTATCTTACCTTACTATTTCCGTAGCTACAGCTAATTTTACCTGCCTGCCTCAGTGCCTCTGTCAGTCCACAACATAAGCACTTGGCTACAACATAGCTAACCGAACCCCTCCTCCTTCCTTTATATCCATCTTTGTTGCTTTCTTCCCACCATCATTCGGCCGCTGGGAATCTTATACTGTGGCGGCTCTGCTTTATATCATCCAATCAGAACACCCTCCCCACAGAAAATGGAAAGGCCATCCTTTTACTCAGGACCAAACTCTCAGTCTCTTGCCCACCAAATTAAACTTTGACCGATAATAAAATCGTTTTAAGGAATGCCTTCTGGGATTTCTATTCGATGGATAGACGAGAAAAGGTTCAAGCTGTTATGGTATAGATCCTGACCTTTGAGAAAACTGCAACAACCGTTATGATGTCTTCTCCCCCTTATCTTGAGGTTTCACTCTTCTATAGAATAATACATATGCCGCCGAAGTCTTGATCTCCTCCTCGTTAACTGGAGATACCCTGCTATCGTCGAAGCTATACCATCTGTCCTCGTCAATTAGCTGAGAAATGAAACCAAAAAGAAAAACATCAGCTTACCAGAAGCCAGAAGCATCACCTTAAACAACAGACATTCGCAATAACAAGCAAAGAATAGAAAGGGTGGGGAAACCTCCATTATATGGACTGCAGCTTTTAACTGAAGACATGCATATATATGGGTGTGTTTGCGTATATGCGAGTCATTCAATGTTTTTCTCCAACAACCAACCAAACAAAAAAGTTCATTTCTCTTCACTCCTACACAAGCTGATTAAAAGCATTTATCTTTTTCAGCAAAAGCTTCAACAAACACGCTTTACATTAGATTATAACAATTAGAGACTACTTATTTTACCTTGGCATATGCTGTGTAATGTCCGCCACCTAGGCCACCATAATGATTACTGATGGCATAAAGCTCGTATGTACATGAATTCCCATCCTTCTTCTTCACATAGTTGCTCAAATCAAGATCATGAATCGGGAAATCCACAAAAGTATCCAGCTTGTTCTTAAACCATCTACTATACGAGAACCGTTTCATGTGAACAACAAGAATCTCCGGCAACATCCATAAATCCAGTTTCTTGGTAGCTTGACGATGCTCTTTACAGTTGGGACAATACCTGCATAAACCCAAAGAACAAACTCAGGTTTATTATTACTATAAGCAACACTTTGAAAGATTTTGTACAGAACCAAAAACCGAACCATTTATGTTTTTCACTCACCACATGTCATCAGGCCCTAGAGGTTCCTCCCTTAAGAATGCCTCCAAGCACGAAAACAAAGAGATGGCTTCCTGCCGGGTCTTCTTTGCACTGAATCCAGTCTTGTGATACACATCAGGAAGATCCTTAAGGTAACTAGAATCATATAACTTGTGTTCTTCTTTACTCCAGTCTAGGCAAATCTTTGTGTGGTTTCCAGTTTTGATGACAGTGTCCCTAAAGATAGGCTTGCCACTTGAGCCCCGATCTTCAAATAAGAAGAGCTGGTTTGACAGTTGTTGGCTGGGACCATCTTGCTCATCAACAACATCATCCATTGGCTGATCCTTTGTTTCGCACTCAACTGAGCATCCACTAGACATTTCACCATTACTGTGCGCAATCATAGAAGAACTGGTTCTTCTTAAGGGTGAGAGTAATCTTGATACAACAACATCAATATCAGCTCCAGTTGGTGGCTCCCCTTCCAAATAAGTAACCAGAGGTGCTCCAAAATACTTTCTAATGCCAGCTGAAGAACTACAAAATTAAATTAAGTTACAGTGACAGTGAGCGAATTTGAGCTTGAGCAATTCTAGGAAAGTTAAAAAAATGGCAGATCCATGGCCAATTCCAAGCACAAAAAAAAATTCTGTAAACCTATGTTATTTTGCCAAGAAATCACAAGCAAACATGGGAAACACTGTTTTCAGAAGCCATCAGTATGACCACAGCCTAGATACTATTAGCATACCTGAACACCTATAAACTGACTATACATAACCACCTATAAGAAAAGTATCATCCATCAATATTAACAACAATCTTAGAGCTTTGCATGTCTGCACACGAACAATTAACAATAAAATGTCAGAACTGGGCTTACCTTTCTCGATGAAGAATCTCTAGTTTCTTTTTCCCAGTCGCCTTTTCAGGAAAACGGTAAGCCACAATATGTTCTCCATCTTTTATAGAAGTCAACAGCAGAGAAGGATTTTCAAAGAAACGAGAAATCTCATTTTTATAGACCTGGCAAAGGAGTATACGATAAATTAGTCTTTGTCATGAAGATCCCAAAATTCAAATGACACAAAAAACAACCAGAGACAGATAACACTTACTTCTGCCAACAGAAGGCTTTCATCAGTTCTCAAACAACATGCGACAGCCAGTGACTGGATAAGATCCTTGCACTGGCCATGTTTGGACACTGACACCGTGTATGGCATTGGGAGACCCCTTCCATCCCCATAAAATATTGTCACAGTCATAGTCCGAGTGACTGTAGAAGGTAATGGTAATGACAAGTACATGAGTGGATCAAAAGTAACAGAGACTTTGCTGCAATCTGGGCAGACCAAAGTTGACTTGTATTGACCCTGAATAGATATTCAAAGTTAGTAAATTGAGGCACAAATGTTGAGATAGGACAAGTTTCAAAACTACGATGGTATTCACATCCCCGTGAGAGTAATCCAATGGCATATTCTTACTTGGCAGACATCGACAATCACAGAATCATTCCGGGCCTTGTGATACTGCCAACTCTCGTCGGCAACTTCCTCATCCGGATGACCACTCCTGTCCTTCATTTCAAGGTAAGGCTTCCGTTTCACACGATTCAAATCTTCATGTAGGCCATCCAGTAAAAAAGCAAGGAGCTCCTAGAAATATCCAATAACTTATGTTGTCAGTCTGTGCCACAACCTTTGTTTAGAGTTATCGTGCCACCGTTGAAATTTTTATATTTGCAATATATCAAATTCAATTGCATCCACTAACATGTAGTTCTCAACCTTTTCCAGAAAAATAACTTAAAATGGTATACAATAATAGCTTAGCATGAAGGATATTTATAAGTACTCACTTGGGAATCATGCTGATTATATCCACTAAACTGTGGAGCGAATAGTGCTAGTTTCCCTTTAAAAGCACGAGGTGCAATTGAGGTCCGCCCTGACGACCACAATTTCCTCAACAACTCTCCAAATGCAAGTGCAAGCTCACCCTACACAACTAAAACACAAGTTAGAAACAAAAGTTTAAGAGATCACTGGAAAACCATTATCTTGTGGCGACAAAAAAGGGAACCACTTACATGCATTCCTAATGGATTTTCTTTATTGATCTCTGCAGCATAATCCTTAAGGAAGTAATCAACAAGAGGTGGGGTGTGGACCAAGCACTGTAACGCACTATTCATAAAACACGTATTCCCCAAATTCTGCAATCCTGCCAAACCTCCCTTCTCTCCCTTCCCCGAAGAGCTCTGACCACCAAGACCCTCATCCGCATCCTTAAAGATAGAGTCCACATTTCCTGGCTTGATGTCGAGGCTATATGAGGTTGAGTGGCCATTTGACACACTTGAGCCCCCAGCAATTGACTGGTGGGACCTCTGAGGCTCCATGGGTACCACAGCTAATTCATTACCAGTTGAATCTCTTCCATGTTGGGAAGCGTATGATCGATCTACTGGTAGCTCGAGAAGAATCTGTCACAGGAGAATGCATCAGCCAAACAAAATGGAATTTTAAGCTGCTTATACAAAGTTAAGGTTCTGGATAAGACAAACACCATAAGAATCATTTGACTTTTCCTACGCAGTGAAATGCCAAACGTGGGCTCAACTTATTGGTTAAATATGAAAAAAAAAAAAAAATTCTATGATGTGTACATTGCAAGACAAACAACCTCTTGGTCCATCTGCAAGTTCAATTCCTCAAGGGTATGACTGGAATAAAGCAGTCGTGAATGTCTTCGTTTGTTGAAGTAGTCCCAAATCAAGCACTGGAAACAGATACAGAAACCAAATGAAGGGAGTAAGAGAGGTCCGGACAGCACGAAAATACTTTAAAAATGATAACAGAAATGTCAAAGCATACCTTTTCACGCTCTACTCCTCTAAGTGCACAAACCTTCTCATACAGCTCATGTGAAGAAGCCTGAAAAGATAAATGCAAAAAAAGAAAAAAGTATTAAAGTCCTGCGAATATACTAAATTCATCCATGATGTTCAGCTTTTCAAATCTGAATAGATTCATAAGATATGTAGTAACGTATCCAATGCATCAAGCCCACATTCTACAGTTTCGGCAACTTCAGCACCCAAACCTGCAAATTATGAGAACTAACTAAAACAGAAACTCCAAAGTCCATTCACTGAATCGCCAGTTATCAAACCCTTGAGATGTCACATCATTATCCATATTTAAACCACCAAAGATGGTTATCACTGAACCTAGTTAAATGGCAGGACTGACTAGATTCAGAAAAAAACTTAGTGTCCTATAATGCATAAGTAACTGATATGCCACACGTACACAAAAAAGAGCAGCATGGAAATTTCTTGGAACAGTAGCAAGTAGTAAAATCATCTTCCACAAACAATTGAATATATCAAAGCAAAACTCCATGCATATCTAAAAAATATAATGTGACATGTAAAGCAGCATTGAAGTTGTTAAAGCTATCAGCTAGATGTAGAAATCAATACAGTAAGGTCAAAATATCACAAGAAATACTTAACAGGAGAAACATGGCAAAATTGGCCTACCTTTTTGCTTAACCTGATTATGTGCGTGCTCTCGTCTCTAGAATCAATCAACTTCAGACGAAGTGGATAAACCTCAACATTGAGTTGCTTTTTATTGGAAACACCTTGCGAAATCACCTTCCTCGGCAGTGCTGGACCTCCCTTGTACCTGAAGACATACCAAGAAGGTTGAGAGGCAGAAAAAAAATAGTATCTTTAGAACCCAAGCAAGCCAGTGTGAAATTCTACTTTTCCAAGTTTCTCCATGTTAGATTCTGACGGTGACTGAGACAGTCATCATCTTACATGTTGCTAGAATCACAGATGGGATTTTTTCCTGATCATAACACTTAAGAGCATGGAGAAGTCATTACCACTGCATAAGCTTTTCCCAAACTTGCTGCGGCACTAAAACATAGTCCTTGCCTTCAAGCAAGGTTCTGACCAGATCGAAATCGCCACCCTCAGATTGACTATCATTCTCAATTAGCTCGGAGTTATCGATTGGACCAGGTCTATCTACAGGCTTGGAAGTGGATTCATCGGAATCAGATGACGGCGAGTCAGATAAGCAGTCAGTGGCACTTCGACCCACATACCTCTCCCAGCCCGAGAACCACCTGAGCAAGCAAACCATAGAGTAGTCAAAGAAGGAGATGCAAAGAGCAAGAGAGAGAAGGAGAAGCAAACGGCAGACGCCATAAGTAACAAGGTCAACTGTTTGCGAACAGAAATGCCAGTGAAGGAGAACCATTTGGCTGGCTGGATTCCAACCATTCAACATCAGGCATTGATATTTGTAAGGGAAGTGGGGCACCAAGGAACCAATAGGAACAGTCCAGGACTTCTGATGGAGATTCAAAACAAATCGCAATTGTAGAACAGGGACAAAAATCCAATTGATGGGTTCAGAACAATGGGGAAGACGATGAAGCAGAACGAAGCGCATGCGAAGTATACACGAATCTTCCGTTACCTTGCGGAGACGACAAAGAACAAAGTGCCTTCCTTCAAAGAGGCTTCAGCTTCGCGTGTCAATTGCTTTACGATCTGCTTCTCCTGGTCGGGGCTGCAGGCGGAGCAGCTGGTAGCAGCTTGATTGTCCATCTGATCCCTGCGCGCCGCACAGACATTGGAAACCAGAAGAGAGAGGATTAAATCAATCAAAATGAAGAGCAAATAGAATCATCATGTCGAGATACCAAAGCTCCAATTGAGGGGGAGTTCTCTTACCACTTGCGCGGAGAATGGAGAATCGAACTGGCCGTATGCTGCTACCCTGCGTATTTGGGAAGGAGGAAATACTGAAATAGAGAACGAGAGAAGATTCAGGAACCCTAGATTGGAGAAAGTGAGCGTGAAATACAAATGTTCAACAAGCCAAGAAGGGAGGAAAGGGAGAAAGTTACAAGCTTCAACTTCTTCTTATTCTCGATAATCAATCGGCAGGGCCGAAAGAATCCACAACTCCCTCCGCAAGCAAGCACCACACGTATTTACAGGTTAACCCTTTCTTCCTATTCTATTCCTGTGGAAACTCGGAAAGCATATTGGGGTTTCCTGTCTCTCAAGTCAGCTTCATTCAACTACCCCAGTGAAAAGTTGCAACTTCGCCACCGAACACAAATTGGCTATTAGCTCTATTTCAAGGAGCTTTTACCTTTTCTCGTCCGACTTAATATAATTCAAGTTTATCTAAACGAGCATTATTCGACTATTTATCATTCGACTTTTCTCGTCCGACTTAATATAATTCAAGTTTATCTAAACAAGCATTATTCGACTATTTATCATTCGACTATGATGAGACATGAATCTTACTTTCGTCGATTCTCACCTTATCCCGCCACATCCGACCCATGTTTCAAAGCTTCCCAATACTTGATACATATTTTCTAGTAATGTTGCTATGATTTGATGCAGAATCTCTCTTCCTCGAATGATAAGTCATATCATTCTCTTCGTCGTTGATCTAAGAGACGATAGGCAATTGGTCTCGAGAGATTCCAATGTCTGCTCAAATCTATAAAGAATCATCATCCTCAACCACTTGTTCAACCACTTTCTCTTACTGTTATTAGCATACTACACTCGGCACAAATTAGTTTGAGAGAATGGACAAAAGTAGCGACAAGCCACCAAATCAACCACTTTCCCCAAAACGGCCAAAACCCTACATTACATTGTGCAATGCCAAGGCAGCTGCACCAGATAAACACCTACAGGCTACACATTAGCTTCCAAAATTTAAAGTTTAAACATCACTAGGATTCTTCTGTTCTGCTGCTGTTACTACTATACACTAGCTAATCACCAACTCACATACTTCAGCCGGCTACTTCTGACTCCCAAACTCCCAAAAGCTAAACACAACACCATCACTACCCTTCATAATTCATACTGTTCACTTCTCGTCAGAGCTATTATCGGAGTCATCACTTCTGAAAGGGCCAGCTGCTGCATTGCCCTCGATCTCCTCCTCGTCGCTGAACGAGCTCTCCTCACTTGAATTAGAGAACGGGGCACTGTCCTCCTCGTCGCTCGACGAATCGGTCTTTTGTCTCTTCCGGACATCCTTGATTCCCCTTCCTTGCAGAGCAAGTCGCCTCCTTTTCCTGGCATTCCGCTTCCCCTTTGGAAATTCCTGATCTCTCTGTGACTCCACGCTCTTCCCTCCTCTCTCCTTCCTACTTCTCCCCTGCCCGCTCTCATTATTGTCTTCTGATTCATCTGCATCAAGCTTCCGCCTTTTCCTACTCGTACTTGTCTGCATCACAGAATGAATTGCTCAAGAAAAAAGCTACTAAAAAAGGAATTGAATACAGCTAAAACATAAACACACTTATTCTATATCACTTATTTCGAATATTATTCACCCTAAACCACCACACAAATTATATTTTGTATAAAACCCACTTCAGTAACAAAAAAAGTCAGATCCAACTTTGCACGACTCTGTCAAAGTTCACACATAATAGCCATTTCCCAGAATCCACTCATTTCTCAATTATTAAGCATACTATGTACAGTTTCATTAACTATTCTCTCATTCCTAAACAATCTCTTACCACACATTAGCTCTACTTTTTCTAAAACCTCTGACTGAACACACTTTTCCCTTTTCACTAAAGCTTACAGACAAGTCCTTTTTTAAGCACGCCGCTAAAACAAACAGGAAAGTCTAATTGAGGAGCAGCAAATCTAAAATGAAGCAGGGAAAACATCAAACAGAACCTCACTTATCTCGAAATTAGAGCAGCAAATCTAAAATTAAGCAGGGAAAACATCAAACAGAACCTCACTTATCTCGAATAGGAGAAAAGAACATCAAACAGAAGCACACCGCTGAAACAAACAGGAACTTCTAATTGAGGGCAGCAAATATAAAATGAAGCAGGGAAAACATCAAACAGAACCTCACTTATCTCGAATAGGAGAAAAGAACATAATAAGAAGCAGACAGTTGACCATATAGTTACCTCCTGTGTCAACTTTTGACGACAAGGAAATGGAGCACAAATACACCCTAACCAGCAGCAACAGGAAGGACGCTTGCATAATGGTATCAAGGGGGCTACATCCCTATTGGTACATGAGAGCAGTGCTGACTCCACAAGTATGATAGACTTTTTTTTTTTTTACCTTTTTTAAAAAAGTTAAAAACCATGTTTTCATTCTAGTGACTATAGCCTATACCATCATAACCCATCCCTTGTTTGCACGCAATGATTCAGGAATACAAGAGGCAGACAGTTTTGCAAATAGTTTCAACAATCACACACCCGCAATTACAGCATCACGGTGATGGACTATAACTTTCCAGACAAGTGTATTTCCTACCTTGGGACCCCTATCCACCAACCGAGCCCATTCATGTCTATTCCTGAGACAATCAAGAACAGCCTGGGAATGGCTAGAATATGCATATCGTTCACCATTGTGCTTCCTCAAGTTGCTCCAGTGCTGCAAAAGCTCACCAATACTTCGTTAAGAGATAGTTTGCTCCAATTATCGGCAAAAGGTGATAAAGAGATCTGGTGCAAGTAAACATACCGGCAAAACAGCATTACAGAGTTCCTCATATGTCATGCGCTTGCCTTTGCTCATGATCTCATTGATTAGGCCTACGCAAAATAAGGAGAGAGACGAAGGATGATTACATGAGTTAATTTACTACCTTATGCCAACAATTAATTTTATACGTGTATATATGGCAGTGTTTTTTCATCTAAAGCTTCGGTGGGGAAAAGCCCTAACAAAGATACTTTTTCCATCTAATCTATTTTTACAAGTCAACTCAGTAATGACCTTAATCTTCGACTTTGTCCCTTTTGACTTAGAATCTATTCTTAGATTTATATGCATAGTAGTTATTCCTTAGAGCCAAGTCATCTCTTCATTATTAAACAAACGATCTATCATTCTATTAATACCTAATATATTACAGAAAAATATTTTTATCCAATGAATGCTAAAAATAAATAAACATCTCTTTCAATCAACTATTCCATTTCCAAAACCTTACCAAGCACACATTTTCCACCCCATTTACTAGATTTGTTCACGAAGTTACTCATCTTTTAGCGAAGCTGAAACAAACACACCAATACATAAATAAGAAGCTAACTGAACCTGGTAAGGTGCGACGTACAGAACCGCTAGTAGGTCCTGTTTCCTCGTCGGATATATTCCTGGGAGAATTTCTCAGGGATGACTCATTATTGTGATCATTAACCTCAGCAGATGAAGAACGACCACTGTTGGCTGTTGAGGTGGAGACTGCAGCGGTGTTCTTCTTCTTAAGAGTCTGAGTTTTGGTGGAAGATCCCCCACTATCTCTCTTTGACAGCAAATCTGCAGTACGTGCAGTATCTTGTCTCCTTGGGTCAGGTGGCGAGAGGAGTCTATCTTTTCTTCTAGGTTCATCATCAAGCTGATGAGCACGATGATGGCCATCTTTGGAAGTATCTTTACCTTTCCTCCTAGAAAACTGAAATGTTGTAGGGAACATGGTATAAGGAAATAGAGCAAGGCAAAGAAAAAAAAGGAAAGGAGAAACTTTGTGATGGGAGTCCAGTCTGAACAAAGAGTCTCTTACCGAACTGAACTCCTTCCCTCCAGAGCCCGATGTGCTACGCTTCATAAGCAAGCTCGTTGCAGTTGGAGAAGTCAACTGGGTAGCTTGGCGAACACGAGGAACACGAGGTACTCTAGGAGAACTATTGAGTTCTTGATGCAAAAGCAAAGCCAGCTGGATAAACAGAAAGACAAATTTGATCGGAAAAAGAAAGAATCAGGTGCTGCATAGGAAAATCATATGATGAAAATCTAGAACAGAAAGCAGTCTGTTTACTGCACCTCTTCATCACTGAGTGTTGAAATCAAAGAGGGTGGGACAGCAGGATTCATGGATGGTGAGTGACTTGATTTAGGTGCACACTGACTGCTAGAAGATTGATGTAGTTTTTCACCCCGCAAAGGTAGACCTGATGTCTTGCTTTGAGAGTTTGAACCACGGTCACTTTGCCGCGACCCAGTTGTCTTACAAGAATCCTGAGCAAGAGACACTTTAGAAGACAAGTGCTTTGTGGAATCTTTTGAATCAGACGCCGGTCTCCTAGAAGCGGATGCATGCAAGAGCTTGGTTGTGGATGCTTTTGAACTAGAGTTTAGAGACGATTTTGGACGATCCCTTGACCTGCTTCTTGATGGACTATGCCCATCCCTCTCATTAACAATGTCATTTGTTGTTCGGTCCTTCTTATCCGAGGAATCAGAAGACACGGGTTGCTTAACATCGGCAATCTCATTCAGAGCATCAGTAGATGTAGAGCAATCATAAGTAGCTGTCTTTGGGATCATGTCAGTGGATGAGTTGGATGACGACTTGCCCCCAGTCGGAATCATTTTGCATTGACTATGTAATGTAGGTTGGGTTGTGATTGTTTTGCTGGATGTGGACTGTTCTCCAACTGAGCTTAAATCCTGCTTAAGTTCTCCTCTACTAAGCTCACCAGGACCTCCAGCTAACTTTTTGACTTCTTCTGCTTGACAGTTATTCTCTACTAGCTTTTCCGCACCATATTTATTTACTGCCTCTTTTGCATCTGAAGTCCTCTCAAGTTTTTGAGCATTCATACCCCTCGTCAAAGATGTGGATGGTGTCGCGTCATCAAGTTTAATGTTTTCAGGCACACTGTTGGAAGATATTCCCTTATCTTTTGCTCCAGAATAAGCAAGAGGGGAATCCATCCCCGTAAAACTGTCAGCAGGAACTTCTACTCTAACAGGAACTGGGATGGAATGTGGCCAAGCACCATTCATTTGATTGACATTAGCCTCTAGTTTAACCTTCTCAACCTGTCCATCTCTATGCTTCATCCCACTCCCAGCAGAGGAAGGAACCATCTCGTCACCAGAGCGCTCATTTAGATCTTTGTCATCCTGCAGTCACATCACAGTTAGTGTTTCCTATTCAACAAGAGTATCTCTCAGAACTAAGGCCTAGGCATTACTTGCCCAACAATAGTTGAAATCAAGTGCTAGAACCAAGAACTTTACCAAGAAATCAGGCAGTAAAAATACATAATCAGATCCAACATGAGACCATAGCTATCACAGAATTCAATGTTTTGCTGAAAGATAGTCAAGTATCCAATGATGCTTCTGCGCTATAGGCACTAGTATAATACTTTTCAGATTCTGCGGTACATGATGCTATTGCTAGCATATGATGACAGAAGACTAACCTGTCATTTCATAAGCACCAGGTTCAAGCTCTTTCCAAGTTTTATAGATCCATCTTTCCCGTTGCAAATTTAACTTTATCCTTAAGCCCTAATATTAAGTACAATGATATGCACAAAGATGAAGCGGCACATAAATAGACAGAGAACTAAGGTGATCCAGTAGTCATAGATATTCTCTCCAGCTTGAGATCAAAACGGAAAGGAAGCTACTGGACAGCAAGGTAATTTCGTTTCACCATCTTAGGTAATAAAAATGGACTATCGGAAGGGAAGATTAAATAATAATGCATCTAACTTGTAGCAATATTCAATAGTTTTTGGCTGATAGATTTAGCAGGTATACGTGAATGAAAAGGCAACAAATTTTGCGCTATCCTTTACCCTCCTGAAAGAATTCACACCGAAAAAAGATTTTATAACTTACTTTCCTTCCAACAAAAGCCTATATTGCACCCTGTATTTTTCTCTCTTCTTTTTGGTTAAAAAAAGATACTGAAAATGGAGAATCCTACAAAGAAAAGCAGAGCGGAAGCTGAAGAGCTAGCAGGTCCTGCTAGTAACTCAAGGGTAAGTTTGCCACGACTTTTGATAAAAGGAAAAGGACCTGCTGCACTCACAAATCTTTTTGAACATTTTTTTTCTGGGTCATTACTCATTAGCAGATTGAACCTGTCCAATGTGCACATGCCTAGCACCTAGCCATCTTAAGTATTAGCATCCTACGGAAGATCTTGAAACCACCTCAGTTTTCACTCATACACACGGAGGTGAGGGAAAACAAGTAAAATCGACCAAATATACTATAATAGGAAATCTGGAAGCACCAAGACATACCTCTTGTTCGGATTGCACTGGATTTCTCACAACACCACCACATTCCCCGGCTACCACATCCATTTTATCAATTTTTAGAGAACTACAAGGATATGATGGAACTCCGAGAATAGTTTTTCTTTCCTTGAGTCTTGGTTCACTTGGTGTTTTCATGGAGCGAGCGGTCATAAACGCATTGGCCTTGGAATCATCCACACTATTGGACGCTGAAATATGATCACCAGATTCATGTTTTTCAGATTCTTGTTGCTTCACAATCCCATTGTTAGTGTCCGGGCCATCATCCCCATGACATTGTAGATCTCTACCAACATTCGTTCCCAAGGTTTTGGCATCACTGCTGGTGGATGGAAATGCCACTAATAAGAATAAAAAGAAAAAAGCAAAGAGTTGGAGTCAACAAGTGCATGTCTACCACTATGAGATATCACCAGGCTATCATGTCCATACCATTTGGAGGATTTTTGGGGGTTAAATTTTATTCAGCTAACAAAAGATACAAGCATAAAGAAAGAAGATGGATTCAGCATCACAGAGAAACACGAAAGCATGTACCTGTTCTTGAAGTTTGCAGACCTCTCTTCTTTGAGTCGACCTCTTTGTCTAAAACCCTAGCTTTCTTCTTCCCACTCCGGTCTTTGCAAATAGCCACATCTTCTTTCTTCCTCTTGCCTGAATGAATCAGAACTGGCTGAAGTAAACTTCTCTCTTTCTTATGCCCAACTTGGGAGTTCCTAAGTTCTCCGGAACTATGATCACGCTTCTTCGACTCTTTGCGGAGCACACTCTTCTCGCAGTCCTCTCTTTGTCTCAACCCACCTATTGCAGCCATCGGAGCAGCAAACACACTCTTCTTTGATAACGAGAACAACACACCAGCACCCTTATCAACATTATTCTCAGTATCTTCCTGATTCTTATCATCACAATCCTTTTCCCAACAGGGGAACTCCCTGTACTGGAAATTGAACTTCTTTGGGACATAGCCAGTACACTTCCATAACTCGGGTGTGAAAACTGAAGAAAGACCACGGAACAAGGCTGGGTTACCACCAGGAATGCCCTGCACATGGACTTTCTCCTCCAGCGGCATTTCAGTCCACAGCCTCAATGGATGGCGAGGTGGTGCACCATTAGCAATACCACTCTCCATCCGGATAGTTTTTGTGGGCAATTCAACCAGCAGCTGAGCAACCTCGGTCTCTTCGGCATCACTGTATCGATTTTTCTTGGCTTTACACTTATCACAAGCGAACAAGTCATCTCCCTTGACATACCGAGAGCAGCGGGTATGGACCCAAACGCCACACTCATCGCAATTGACCATCTCTTCGCCATCATCAAAATTGACACCGCAGATGCAGTCAACCGTCCAGGAGCCATCCAACCAGTCCTCGTGCTGGTCATGGCTCTGCAGACGGTGAGACCGCCCCTTCATCTCCTTTTCCACCGTCCCCACAACCCTAACCAGCTACAAAATCCCGAATATTAGCGAGAGAAGGGGGAAATCTAAGCCCTAGAAAGTCCTAATTGTTTTCAATGATGGTAGTAGAGAATGCTAACACAAAAAGCGATTGACCGCGTTGCATTCACACCGGCTAAAGCAACGTTGAATAATTCTCGTGATTGTTGGGGATATGAGCAGAGTTTGAAGGAGAGAATAGTGGGCGGAGCAGCGAGAGGAGTACCTGATATAGGCAAACGATGAAGCTTTCCCTTTCGCTACCGGCGATTAATTGAAAGATGAAGCGCGGCCGAGAGACTTCTCTTCCGGGAGTTGGGTTTTTTTCTCTCTTTTGTTTTGGGAACCCAGTAGCAATCTATCATCTATCTAGTATCTACTGCATCCACCATGGCCGCGGGAGCAGAAAAGAAAATGGGTTCACAGTTGGGTTTTCTTCTGCTTCTGTTACATACATACCAACGACGAGTGCCGACGTGCGGAACTCAAAGAGGGACAAAACTCGGAAGTGCAGAGGGTAGGAAGGAGTTAAGGGTTGATTTGGCGTCCGAATCCTGCTCACTCTGGCTTTGCGGCTCGGCTCCTCATTATGTAGGTTATTTTATTTTTAAAAATAAAAATAAGGGTAAATGCACAACTATTAAAAAACGAGAAATTATAGTTACAATTATCGAAATACAAACTATTAGTCAAAACTATTGTAGCAAATTATGGAATGGCTAACGGTCTGTTACTGTTATAAATTTTATAACGGAGACTGCCACGTCAACGTTCATATTAGCGTCCATGTCAGAAAATATTAGAATAATATTACTGTTTTATTTAAGTAATCACTATTATTAAAATAAATTAGAAAACATACAACCCTACCTCCCTCTCGTCTTTCTTCTATCCTACTTTCCCAAACCATGTCCCTCAACTATCTAATGGTGAGTTCACAGTAAGCTCGGCGTTCCATGCTTTTCATGATAGTGTTAGACTTGGAAGCTCAGGGAGTTCTGGAATTTCACAAGCTAAGAAGGATAAGTGGAAATGGTTTTGGAGTTTGTCTCTCCCTCCGAAAGTCACTTTCTTCATTTGGAAAGCTTCAAGAGGTGCCTTTGCATTTAAGGAGAATCTCTTCGCCAGACACTGCTCTGACTCTAAGGCCTGCCCATTGTGTGATCATGGGGAGGAGTCCATATCCCATGTTCTGTTTGAGTGCCCCCGCGCAAAGGAGACTTGGAGTAGATTCACCCCCACCCTTTCTCTCCCACCTCCCACCGTTAAGGTAAACTTTTGGCTATGGGAAGTTGGAGAAGTGTGCCCATTGGAAGGTCCTCAGATGGCTATCTTTATTCTATGGAATATTTGGAAAGCACGGAATGAGATGATCTTCAGAAGTCTCCCTCTGTGGCCCCCTTGGACCATTTTCCAGGCTATGAATGAGTTTCAGCTCTGGAAAAATTGCCCTATGAAAAAAGAGAGGGGTCTCTCCAGATTAATCGACCTATTCCACCTTCTTCTCATCCCTCACCACTGCCAAGCAATCTCTTTGGAGAGATTCACTGTGATGGATCGTTTTTTAACGATTCCCAAGAGGCGGCATATGGGATTGTTGTCACTAATTCCCATGGCGAGATTTGGGAAGGAAAGACCGATTCCCTCCTCTGTGATTCAGCTTTGGAAGCAGTAGTAATACATGAAGGATACTTGTTTGTGTTGCCATCCCTCTCCCTTTGTGGTTAAATCTGACTGTAAGGTGATGGTTGATGCAATTTGTGGGCCTCGACACAGATGGCCATGGATTGTTGTCGCGCGAATAGACACTATTAGAGCTATCCTGGTTCGTCTGCAGGATGTTCATGTGACTTTTGTGCGTAGAGATCAGAATGCTTTGGCGAACTGGGTAGCGCGATCGCGCGTAAAGAACCAGCTTCGACTGGATTTCTGTCCTTAATGTATTGTTACCACTTTTATAACCTTGGTTTGAATTTTTGGGTTTAATGCAGAGTCTATTGTCAAAAACAAATCTCATGTACCTCTCCGTCACAGTTCACCTCTCATTCACCAGACGACTTCTCCTTCTTCATTCTTCTCAAACCAGCCATGTCCCCACTTTCTCCAATCAAGCGAACCTCTTCCTCCCTCCCTCGGCCTCACAGGAGCGGAAAGAGAAGAATCAACGACAAATGGCATCTGACAGCAGCAACGATGGAGAAGAGATGGGGAGCTGTAGATGTCATCTCAAACGGCGACGGATGAACGAGAATGGTGATGGGGAGCTGGAAACTCTCTTGCATCGGACCTAGGCGGTGGGATTACACTTTGAAAATCCCTCTCGCCTCACACATTTGTGACTGAGAAGCTTCGCATCTCTCTCCATCAAGAGGTTTAGAGAAGGCAGATATGGAATTAGGGCGGAGGTTAGGCCGACTGCGAATGACCAATTTGCAGAGAAGAACAAAGGTGAATCTTTGATTTTGGGTTTTCCATAATTGTAATTTTTGTGGGTTTTCCAATCGATGGAGACGGGAGGGAAAGAAGAAAAGGTAAAATCGTGACCGCCGTCTCTAATTTCCAATTGTAGTCGAGGATGCTGGCCATTTGTGATGACGTCGTGGTTTGGACGGAATTTGCGAGATCGTCGAGATCTGCAGATTCCATATCTGTTGGGTTTTTAAGGTGTGGTTTCATAAGAAAGGGAGGGGGGAGACCACGAGCAGCGCAGTTTCTTCTCTCTTTTGAGCGTGGAGGAGACATCGGCTTGAACTGCTCCTATTCGGGTAGGGGTTGGAGCTAAGCATCGGCGACAGAGTTTGTCATAGAGATAGAGAGGATAAGCGAAGTTGGTGAGATGGAGGGATGGCGGCGGAGGCGATGACAGAGGCAGAGAGAAGGCGACGACGACGGTGAGATGGAGGACAGAAGAAGAATTTTTTTTCTTTCATTTTCTTAATTATTTAATAATTTATTTTTTAAAATTAAAATATGATATACTGACTGCCACGTGAGAGCAAGCTCAGTATCGTAAATGTTTAGTCGACATTACTAACAGAATTGCTAACAAAGACTTAACGTTTGGCTAATAATTGTATTTCGATAATTGTGGCTAAAATTTCCCGCTTCTTAATAGTTGTGACTAATATATTGTATTTACCCTAAAAATAAATAGGTAAGCCGTACAGTTTGGTCCTTAAACTTTGTCAGTCAGGCACTGAGTTAATTCCTATTCTGGCGCATGTACTATCAAATGTTTACAAACAAGTTCTACCCATATGGGTACTATTGCCCAACTTGTTTTTTAACAAAATAAATTAAAAATATTGTCCAAGTTGCTGCTAATTTAGACAAACATAAACACCCTTGTTATTATTATCTTACATTATAGGACTAATCCCACTAGGAAGTCCAAACTATCGCAAAAATGTCGTTAGTGACCTAAACTATTTAATATGACAAATTTGGCACGAACTATATGTGTTTCATGACATTTGTGTCCTAAACTATTCAATATGACAAATCTGGCGCAAACCACATAGATGCTGACTAGATTTTCTCATAAATACTAATGGTCAACGCCGGTCAACATTAACACAAAGTAGTTCGTGCCACATTTGTCATGTTAATAGTTTGGGACACAAATGACACTTTTTGAATAGTTTGGGCTTTCTAGTGGAATTAACTCTACCTTTTAATAGGATTTTTTTACTATCTTATATATATATTCTAAAGTGCATCCATTTTAGTTATTTTTAATGAGTCGTTTGGATGAGTGAGAATCAACTAATAGGAGTCTAGTGTGAATTGCCTTGATCGGTCGTCTTAGTTGGGGATAGTGTCCTCCTAAGCAACCAACTCAAAAGAGCTTTGATTGCTTTAATCGATATTTAAACTTGTCAAAGACTATCCACACACTATGAGTCTATGAGCAAAGAGTTCAAGAAGTTTGAGAATCATGAACCATCAATCCGACTATTGGTTTGGGGGAACCATCACTTGAGTAACCCTTCTACCTTGTTTATTTAGTTTAATCTTTTTGTTGTTTGTTATAATAGTTTTAGTTGTTTATAGTAAAAATTTGTGGAGTCTAATTTGGTTAGATAATAAATTGAAGTTGAGTAACACTAAATTCAAGGGCTAATTCTACCAGGAAGTTCAAACTATCCAAAATGTGTCATTTGTATCCTAAACTATTCAATATGACAAATCTGGCCCAAATTATATGCGTTTCGTGACATTTGTGCCCTAAACTATTGAATATGACGAATATGGCACAAACCACATAAATGCTTACTAGATTTTCTGTTAAATGCTAACGGTTAACGCCGGTCAACATTAACGAAAAAATAGTTTGTTTTAGATTTGTCATATTAAATAGTTTAGAACACAAATGACACTTTTCAATAGTTTGGACTTCCTAATGGAATTAGCCCTAAATTCAAAGACCCGTAAATTCGATATTTATTTTTTGTCGGCATACTGCAACCCTTCATTGATTTCACTTGGCATGTGTTATGAATGAATTCTGTAGCGATCAACAACCATCAAAACTGCCTACTTCATCAAAAAATGAGGTTCACGTATGAATAAGAGGTGGCACCAATTTCGCTCCTAGTTTAAGATGTGGTGGTTACTAAGAAGTAATGATATCATGCATCGTTAAATAATGATATAGTGTCTTGTTACTAATAATTTTGACAGTAGTAATATGCACACCGAATAAGTGATTATGAGTTCATCATTTTTCTTAACTTTGGGAGTTCATTATTGGTGATTGATTAAGTTATGTTCACGTGGATTTGAAATAATTGTTGTTTACTTTTTGGATTTGACGGATAATTTTGTCGAACTAGATTCACAAGTTTCAAAAACAAATTTACTTTATGATCACTGAAAATTGAAATAAAAAAGGAATTGGTATTTTGTGAAAATCCCAGTTCAAAAGGTGGATTTTCCAAATCTAAAGGATCATCAACTTGGCCAAGTCACATTTTTTCAACAAACAGAGCCATGAATATTGATAAATTCTTCGTGAGTGAGATTTTGGTACCAAAATCCCATTAAAGACCCCTAAACCTCGAGTCGGAAGTTGTATTAATTCCACATGAGAATGTCAATCCAGCCTTATCCGGTTTCTAAACTAATGGCCCGATCGACTTCGTTCCTATCCTATTCACTAAAAACGGAGACACAAGAAGTAGTGGCAAAAGACGGTAAGAAAAACTAACCATGGTGGAAGCACAAAAGAGGCTTTTTTTTTACAATGGGTAAAAAACATAGGAAGTGATATGTCCATTTACGGGCTGCCACTTGGCAGTTCTCCCCCGATTTGGATTTGTTGTTGTTGGAGGGAAGAAAGAGAGCAAGAGAGGAGGAGAAGGGAGGGGGATATAATCAGTTTAAAGTTGGAAAAAATCAAACCCAAAAATCCACGAGGAGGCTTTTTTCTCCCCGCTATTCTCTCGCGCCATTTTTAGCAAGTATGCAATCTTTCTCGACCCATTAATTAGATTATATACCAAATCTAAGAATCCTCAATATTCCTTTCTCCACTCCCATATTTCCCTCAAGTTTCCCTGCTCCAACCGGAAACAGATCACATCCACAAACACACAATTAACAGCCGCCGCCATCGCCTACCTTCTCTCTTTGCAAATCTACCTCGCCGTCGTCACAGGTATGATTAGGGGGAGGAGGAAATGATATAAAAGTAACAAAGTAATAAACTTTATTCAATTATTGTTATGCTGGAAGTAAAGTAAAACATCAGGTGGTTGTTGGTTGGTTTTTTTTTTTTGAATTCGATGGATAGCGTGGATTCGTTGCCAATTTCATCATGCTCACTTTTTGATCATCTGATGTTTGAAAACTTGCTTTCACTCATAGAAATATGGGGGGTTTCATTCCTCTCAAACATTGCGATCTTCTTTTACAAATAAATAATGAAATGTACTTGTTATTAAAAAAACATGGATACAATGTTCTTAACTATGCACCTTGGTTTTTCTTCTGTTTCTTTTCTCTCTCCACCATTATTTTTCATTGGATTTATGTGTTCTTTATACTATGTTTCGTAATTAAATCTTGATATCTAATTATTAATTTACTAAATTAGTGTTGTACGTTTTTTCCCCCTCCTTGTACAAATGCTGATCCACTATAGACTCACCGGAGCCGGAGGCTGAGACAAAAATTACCAAAGCGACGCGATGGTTGTTGTTGACACCGCCAAAGAGGTCGAAATTAGTGTCGGTTTAAGCACTTCGCCACCGTCATTCACCTCTTCCATTCAAGACTCATCTTCCTCCTCGAATGCATCATCGGCCTCCTCTATCGCCAATGATCATGACCAACCTACCGACCATCGCCAATCCAATTCCACTGGTGCTGATGCCGACGCTGAGGAGGCACGTGACTACGAGAGGAACATGAGGGAATTGCAAGAATTGTTCTCCAAGCTCAATCCCATGGCCAAGGAATTCGTTCCCCCTTCCCTGTCTAATAACCATTACGACCCAACCACCAAAGCAAACGCCAACAACAATCACTTGCTCACTGCGGCCCTTGCCACACTCCAAGCTTTCGGCCCTACTATTTACCCCGACAATGCCGACAACGACAACAACAATCCCGTCCTGGCATTCGATGTCTCTAAGAATGGTCATCTCAATGGAAAGGTACAACTCTCGAAGTGGTGGAAAATCATAACTTCGAGTTATTGGAAGTAATTCGTTTTCCACTCTTGGGAGAACTAACTAGCCTGTGTGGTTTCATGCATTGATTCATGGTGTTTGTGTTGTCCTCTTAGAAGAAAAACTTTGGTCAAGTAAAGCGTAGAATGAACACTAGAACAAGCATGGCTCAGAGGGAGGAGATAATTCGTCGGACTGTCTATGTGTCTGACATTGATCAACAGGTATACAAACTTCATGTACTTGCATTCTATCTTCTGACTTGTCGGTTAGTGTGTTTTGGGCAATGTAATTTTGCAATGTGTTTACGTGTTTTTTTTTTTTTGCATAACTAGGTCACTGAGGAGCAGCTTGCAGCTCTATTTGTTGGTTGTGGACAGGTCGTATATCTAGTTGTGTTGGGTCAGTTGAGTAACTGGATTTTCCCATCGAGCACTTCTAAGTTACCTACTTATTTTCTTTTGAAGGTTGTTGATTGTCGCATCTGTGGTGATCCCAAATCCATACTGCGTTTTGCCTTTATCGAGTTCACTGATGAGGGTAAAAAAAATCATTTCTTTGTATACGTTTTTCATTTTGCAAGTTTTTCCTTTTTTTACCATTCATGTGCCTTACTCCTGCGGTAATTACATTTGGTTGTGCTCAAGCAGATGGTGCACGGACTGCACTAAATCTGTCTGGAACAATGCTGGGATACTACCCGGTGAGGGTGCTTCCTTCCAAGACTGCCATAGCACCAGTTAACCCAACCTTTCTGCCTAGGGTGAGAAAGTTGTGTTACGGGGTCTCATAATCAAACATTGCAAAATGAGTAGGGTTGATTAAGTGAATAATTCTCAATTGCATGTTCTTACATTTGGTACTCTGGGATTTCAGAATGATGATGAACGGGAGATGTGCTCAAGAACTATTTACTGCACAAATATCGATAAGAAGGTGACAATATTCATGCGGAAGTATCTAACTCTTCCCAAGTATGTTAGCATCCTTTGTTGCATATCAACTTTACAATTTCTACCGAGTTTTCTGCAGGTGACTCAAGCCGATGTTAAGCTCTTTTTTGAATCTTTATGTGGAGAGGTTTGTGTTCTTTTCGTGTTATGAGCGCCCAGAAGCATTTTTTTTTTGTTGCTCTGAAGATACATAAATACTCTGAAGGATCTTATTTATTCGGGGCATGTGGTCTGGTACAGGTTTATCGCCTGAGGCTTCTTGGGGACTATCACCACTCTACTCGCATTGCTTTTGTGGAGTTTGTGCAGGTATTTACTTATTTATGTTCCATGGACTTGTAAAGAGGACAATTGTGCAATCTAGAATCTTGACTAGTTTCTAAAAAGGTTTCTTAGTTGTAATCTCATGGAAAACATGTGAATAGTATGTTATCTATGCATTTTTTGATTTGTTTCTATACCCTTTATTTCCTGGCAAAAAATGATTTAAGAATGAGGATAAACTAGATCGCCAAGGCTTTAGAGGAGTAGATTGAAATGGGAACACTTTTCATTTTCATCCCAACTTTTAAAGTCTTGACTTCTACAAGTCATTGAATGTTTTTATCATATGTGGTATTGAAGTCTAAAGTTTGTGACACGATCTGCAGGCTGAGAGTGCAATAACTGCACTGAATTGCAGCGGCGTGGTGTTGGGTTTATTGCCCATAAGGTACGTGAGAGCAATTACTCTTGCTTGTAATGTCTCATGCAATGAATTTAAATTGTGCCACCTCTAAATTTTGTAGCCCTAATTCACAATTTTGGCTGGTCTTTATAAACGCAGGGTGAGCCCATCGAAGACCCCAGTCCGGCCACGTTCACCTCGCCTGCCCCTGAACTAAAGCACCATATATATTATAGTCGGAGCTCTTAGTCTTCCTCATAGGCGATAGAAAGGTTTTAAATAGCTTACTTATAGTCCCTTTTTGGCATTTGTAATCATGGAGACATTGTGGTAGAGATGGACGAGACCTAAATTTTTTTTTTTTAAGCAACTTGTTTCAGTACTTCATCCCATGTTGCAATCTCTGATTCTGTTTTAATTATCTCTCTGCACACTACACATTTGTATACCTTTAGAACTCACAACTGCATGATGCATCTCAAAGCTTTCCCATCTGCGAGCAGATGCATTGCCTCGTTGATTTTTTCGAAGGGAAGCTCGTGGGTTATAAGCTCTTCCATATTCATATCCTGTCCACAAAAATATGAGTGATTAGAAATACACTACAGGGCAACATGCAAAATTTGAGTTTGTAAGAGAACTATATGTTAGTGAACTAACCACTTGGCCCCAATAACTCGAGTTGTTGGAAAAGGGGTAGTTAAGCCTTTTAACCTCTTATACGCCCCATCAAACGAAACCTCTTATACGCCCCCTCAAACGAAAGCCTACCTTTGTCTGGGTTTTTTTTTTATATACAGTTTGCACAGGTTGAACATATCATTCCTTATGCTGCCAAACCCATTAGGCTTTCAGTTTGTACAGGTTGGACATACCATTCCTTGTACTAAACCATTGTTTGCTTAAATTGGGGGTCGTCATGAGGATTCAAAACCACGACCTTTCGGTTCTAGGCTCTGATACCATGTTAGCGAACTAACCACTTGGCCCCAATAACTCGAGTTGTTGGGAAATAAATAGTTAAACCTTTTAACCTCTTATACTGTAAGCCAACGATGGAGGAGGGAAGAAGGTAATTACAGGTTGGAGGCATCGATGGGCAATGTGGTGAAGTTGGGATTTCCCCCTGACACCGCCGAAGATTGTCCCGGTGATGCTCCGACCGTCGAAAAGTTCCATCGGGTGGAGAGGCAACAGTTGGGAAGTCGAGTAAATCCCTACTAGCACTGTTTGCCCCCATCCCTGTGTTGCACAATAATAGGATACGTACGTGAAGACATGCATAGAGTTTCAGCCATTAGTAAGTAGAGATAGCTAAGCTTAATATATTTGAGGAATTACATCGTGGGTGGACAGGAAGGCCTCTCGGAGGACTTGTGGGTTCCCTACGCATTCCAAGCTGTGGTCGACGCCACCGCCACCTGTCATTTCCCTGATTCTCTGCAGTGACAAACCGTTTTCAGTTTCCTTTTTGGGTTTGTGAATGTTGAAGAAAGAAGATGGTGGGATGATGATGATGAGGGCGATCGAGTTAACCTCGTGGACAGGCTTTGAGCTATCCATTGGGTTTACGAAGTCTGTCACTCCCATTGCCTTTCCTGATGATCAAGAAACATGAAACAACCCAATTAGGTGGAGTGAAATCCAGTTTTAATTTCCTTACTTCATAAACGTATGTCTCTATAATATAACGTATACGTGCGTACCCTTGATGAACTTCTGGGGATTGATGTCAACCCCTATGATTTTGGAAGCTCCTCTCACCTTCGCTCCTTGTGCTGCCTGAAGTGCAGCGTATTGTTAGAGATGACAATGGCTCGGGGTGGTGCGAGTATTTTTTAAGTTTAATACCCGTAACGGTCTCCCACCAAAAATGAGGTAGGTACGTTCTCGATAGGTCAACCAATTCCTATATACTATTATTTGAAGAAAATGTTAAGGGTCCAAATCATCACTTAGCCAATTAGTTATCCCATAGTCAGCCATATCGTAAAAGCTTCCACTAGCTAGCAAACAAAGAAGTAGGTCAACTTATTAATTAGGAAGCTCACAGCGAGTCCCAAAGCTCCCAACCCAAAGATGGCGACGCTTGATCCAGCTTGCACATTTGCAACATTCCATGCCGCCCCGACACCTTAAAAACACACCATTAATTCAATAATCATTAACTAAACCGTACGATTCTTCAAGTCACTAGTGAAACAAAACAATCTGATTAATAAAACGTGTGTACACAAACAAACCAGTGGAGACGCAACAACTGAACAAGCTCATCATCTTGAGATGACGCGGAGACGGCGGAGGAGGCGGCGGAACGTCGGCATCAGCACGGTCGGAGGCGGCGGGGGAACGGTGGATGTTGACGACGCAAGCGGAGTCGAGGACGGTGTACTGAGAAAATGTGGAGGTGTTGAGGAAATGGAAGATGGGCCGGCCGTCGGCCCGGCTCCTGAACCGGCACGCGCCGTCGCTCCTCATGACGGACCGGAGCGGGTCGACCCGGTAACGCCGGCAGAGATTCGTCGTCGGCGACCTGCAGTAGGCGCACTCGCCGCACTCGCCGTTGAAGATGGGGATGACGTAGTCCCCTTCCCCGACATCGGTCACCCCTTCGCCGACGCTCTCCACGACGCCAACCGCCTCATGGCCCAAGATCCGAGGGAACGCTCGCTGTCCCTCGGGCACCTCCGAACGCCACGCGCTCAGGTCCGTGTGGCAGACGGAGGTGTAGAGGATCCTTAGACGGACCTCCATCTTCTGCGGCGGGTCCACCTCTACCTCTTCCAGAACCAGAGGTTCGTGTGGACCCCTCGCCACCGCAGCTAAACATAACTCTATCAAATAACATAACAATAATACTAATAGTATGAAATAATACTACTCGTACAACTACTACGTACCGTAGCAGGTGATGACCTTGCCGGCGGTAGCATTGCTAGAGGCGGCGGCGGTGGTGGTGTCGGCTGCCGTAGTCATATTGTGTTTGCGGAGGAGGCGGAAGGAAGACGGGAAGGGTTACCGTGGGTGACAAGGTAACACTGCTACTCCAGAATTTTTTTTGGCTATCAACAATGGAGCTCATCACCTCGACTAATATAATAGATGGGTTAGTTGGGAGGACGTATTGCAGAATTTAATATGGCTCTCTATATTTAGAGTGTGACATTGAATATTGGATAGATGGAGACTCTCATTGCTGTCTTATTGGGCAGATGCAATAAAAACGGTGATCACGACACGATCAATGAGCACATGCTTACGGACGCTAGATAAGACTTTTGGGTGCATCGTGGTTTTTTTTTTAAAGATTTTTTTTAGGGTGCATAGTTTTTTTTTTTGGTAAATGGATGCAGCGCATGTCAGCTTTCATTCACAACCAACGGGACTCAGAGAGTCCTTGACAATCGTACAAGAGAAAATTACATAACCCAGGATCAGAATCTGACACATCGTGAAACCCCAAGGGAAGAGTGTGACCCCTACTAGCCAAATAGTCCGCGCATTTATTCCCCTCTCTGTAGATATGGGAGATCGAGACTACCCAGTCTCGAGAAAGAAGGTCCTGGAAACGGCCAATAATAGCGGCCTCATGGTGATTCATCGCCTCACTACTCTGGAGTAGCTGAATCGCACATCTGGAATCAAGTTCCATGCGAATACGTCGATGGCCGTAGTCATTAGATTAACGCGATGATAATTTTGTAAGGGCGAGTTGTTAGTGTAATAGTCGGATTATTGGAGCAAATGAATGTGGAGAAATAAAAAGTCCAATTCACCCCATCCTTCAAACTCCCCAATTTAGGATTACAAACGAGATAAACTGATTATTCGAGCTTTTCTGTAGGTTGGGCTCGAGCTCGACATAAAATATCTTAGATTGGGCACGACTTGAGCACAACACAAGTTATAAATCAAGCCCGAGCTCCCTGTGATCAACTCTACCTTGACTCGATTATAGCTCGTCAGTGAGCCAAACTCTACGAGCCTAGCATTTTAATAAAGGGACCTCAATGAGCAACAAGCGTCTTAATTAATTACTAGATAATTGGCCCGCGTTTTGCGGCGGGAATGCTAAACAATCTATTAGGCATCTGACTTGGTAGAATTTAAGTAGATAATTTTGATTGGAGTGTATCAAATTGTATGTTTAGATAGTTAATTCATGTCCTTTTTTATATAATGGATTCTCTTTAAAACAATGAAAAATCCAAACCAAATCAACCCATATGATGAAATCAAATATGTTCTTAGTCTTAGAGATTTTAATAAACCTTTTATAATTTTTTAATCTTGGGGATAATAATAAGATTTTGAATTTAATAGTTAGGTTAATTCACATTCTCCTATTTCAGTCTCGACTACTAAACATAATTGGATGAAAAGTTGTCGACCCGCAGGTTGACCCAGATCCGATTGAGCTAGTGGGTCAAGGGTTAATGGGTACCCGTTTTAGCCCGGAAATATGGAAAGATATATTATATTGTACTTATCCTGATAAATTATATCAAATCTCATCTAACATATGAGTAATAACATATAACATTACACCAAAGTAACAGTCATACTTAGATCCAACATATAGTGAAAATTCACACACATTTATATAACATCAGCGTTCAAATGTTCGACTAAGGATTCCAAAGATTGAGTTAGGCGAAAATAAAAATTGGAAAATAGGCGCATTTCGCAAACAAAAGAAAAAATAACACAATTTGACCTCCAACCCGATACCTTGTAGCGGTCGACCCGGCGGGTGCTTGCGGCCCATTTTTCTCAGCGGGTCAGGGTCAAAGTGAGTTAACCCGCGGGTCGACAACCTTGATTGGATGTGATTCCGGTGACGTATGATATATTGCATACGGAAGCTTTTTATCACATTTTAAGGTACACATTTCTTCATAACTTAATGTTCACCACCCTACATAATTAATGCCCTCGATTCCAAATATTGATTGGAAGAACAATGAATATAAATAAATGTAAAGTGCTTTGATATGTAACATTGTATGCGTATTAACTATACTAATTTTTATAATGTTTGTGAAATCGTATCATATCGGAATTTCGAACATGAAAAATTTCATATCAAAGCCTAAATTAAAAGGTAATTTTTAATGGTATGACACGATTAAATGAATCTGTTAGAATGTATAAAGTATATATGGTGTTGGACTCAAGCACTGACATGGTTTCAATTTGAAGTAAACACCTGTCTCATATATATATATATATATGGATGATAAAATGCAAAAATGATAGAAATCAATAATTTGGCTAGCTTATCATCCACAAAGCTACGACAAAAACCAAAATAATAATCACAAAGCCAGAACCTCAATGGCAGAGATCCCAATTCCCAAGCCATGAAATTGTCGAGCAGGAAACCTTGCTGAGCTTTTGGCTAGCTAGAGAAGTAGCAGAACTGAAATTTGATAGAATTCCAATTTCCTGGAAGAGTCTTGATTAAGAGGCATGCAATCAAGGTGAGTGGTGGAATGGGTGCTAAAGGATTGAAGAAAATTGGATGACACAGAACTATTGTAGGGAGGAAAATCACTACATCGGCTCTTCGTCACTGTTTCCTTTGTTAGCTCTCTGGAGTTGTGTCTGTCATAAGATTCAAATCGACGGCAGTCCCTGTTCTTCCCTTCTGTTATTTTCCATGAACTGGCTGAGGTTTTGTTCGCTCTCGGTGGGCTTTGATTAACGATTCAGCACCTCACCATTGTCACCTCCAAGCTATGTTCGATAAGGTATTCAGCTTCTCGATTTTGATTTCAGGGTTTGTTTCATTGATAGGAATAACGGAAGTATCGGTGCCGCGGATGCTTGTCGATTTGGATTTCATGGGTTGTTTGTCCGCCCAATGCAATCCTCGACCGAGGGTTTCACGAAGGGGAAGAAGGAGGGAAGTAGACCGACACTTGGGTAGCCGTCAAGCCAATCGTCGGAGGGGCAAAAGAGGAGAATAAAAGAGGGGATGGATACTTGCTCAGCCGCCAGCGAATCATCGAAGGGGAAAAGCGGAGGCCGGAGAAATATCGGGACGGAAAAAAGAGGGTGTAAGTAAGCTTATGGTGAACCCTGCCGTATATGCCTAGACCCCTTAAGTATGCTTGCCAATTAATTATACTAATAATTTGAGTTCGGCTTTCATAGAGAGAAGTCGAACTCTTGAACTTTGAAGAGAACAACCATTTTAGACCCATATTTTATGACCAAATACATTTGACTCGATCTCCACCTTATTGTCTAAGCATTTACCACACATATCACGGATTCGGTTTGAGGATATTCTTCAACGAGGATTAAGTCCATTACGCACCGATTTGGGAGGATATATTCCAGGTCAATTTTTGGCAGATTCAAAAGGGGTACCATCATAGATTTTGTGCGTTTTTTCCGAAATGCCATTTTCTTTCGATTCTGGAGGCTGCAGATCACTAAATCTGGCCGAGGCTATTCTCCACCGATTATTAAGTCTTTTGGTCCTATTCTCCACGGATGATAAGTTCATTAAGCATCGATTTGGTCCAATTTATTTTTGGATGGTAATTTCGTAAATTTTTGGGCGACGAAAGGCAATTTCTTTGGATTCTAAAAGCTACAGATCACGGATTCGTCCTGAGGTATTCTTCAACGTGGATTAAGTCCATTAAGCACCGATTTGGGCGAATTTATTCCAGGTCAATTTTTGGCATATTCCAAATGGGTACCATCACAGATTTCACGCGTTTTTTCCGAAATGCCATTTTCTTTCGATTCTGGAGGCTGCAGATCACAGAATCAGGCCGAGGCTATTCTCCACCGATAATGAAGTCTATTGATCCTATTCTCCACGAATGATAAGCTCATTAAGCATCGATTTGGGCCTATTTATTTTTGGATGGCATTTTCATTATTTTTTGGGCGACGAAAGGCCATTTTCTTTGGATTTTGAAAGCTACAGATCACGAATTCGACCTGAGGTTATTCTTCAAAGAGGATTAAGTTCATTAAGCACCAATTTGAGCGGATTTATTCCGGGTCAATTTTTGACAGATTCCAAGGGGTACCACGACAGATTTTGTGCGATTTTTCCAAAATGCCATTTTCTTTCGATTCTGGAGGCTGCAGATCACGAAATCAGGTCGAGGCTATTCTGGACAAATAATTAAGTCTATTGATCCTATTCTCCACGGACGATAAGTTCATAAAGCATCGATTAGGGTCAATTTATTTTCGGATGGCATTTTCGTAATTTTTGTGCCGACGAAAGGCCATTTTCTTTCGATTTTGAAGGCTACAGATAAAGGATTCGGCCCGAGGCTATTCTTCAACGATGATTAAGTTCATTAAGCAGCGATTTGGGCGGATTTATTCCGGTTCAATTTTTGGCAGATTCCAAAGGTGTTAACATCACAGATTTAGGGTGATTTTTCCGAAATGTCATTTTCTTTCGATTCTGGATGCTGGAGATCACAGAATCAGGCTGAGGCAATTCACCACCGATAATGAAGTCCATTGATCCTATTCTCCACGGATGATAAGTTCATTGAGCATCGATTTGGGCCAATATATTTCCGGATGGCATTTTCGTAGTTTTTTGTGTGACGAAAGGCCATTTTCTTTGGATTTAGAAGGATACAGATCACGGATTCGTCCTCAGGCTATTCTTCAACGATGATTAAGTCCATTAAGCCCCGATTTGGGCGGATTTATTCGGCTAAATTTTTGGCAAATTATAAAGGGGTACCAGCACTTATTTAGGGCGATTTTTCCGAAATGACATTTTCTTTCGATTCTGGAGGCTGCAGATCAAGGGATCCGGCCGAGGCTATTCTGCACTGATAAAGAAGTCTATTGATCTTATTCTCCAAGGATGATAAGTTCATTATGCATCAATTTGGCCAATTATTTTCGGATGGCATTTTCATAATTTTTTGGACGACGAAAGGTAATTTTCTTTAGATTTTGAAGGCTACAGATCACAGATTCGGTCTGAGGCTATTCTTAAACGCTGATAAGTCCATTAAGCACCAATTTGAGCGGATTTATTACGGGTCAATTTTTGGTTGATTCGAAAGGAGTACAATCACAAATTTCGGGCGATTTTTTCGAAATGCCATTTTCTTTCGATTCTGGAGGTTGCAGATCACGGAATCAGGCGAGGCGATTCTCCACAGGTAATGAAGTTTATTGATCCTATTCTCCACAGATGATAAGTTCATTAAGCATTGATTTGGGCCAATTTATTTTCGGATGACATTTTCGTAATTTTTTGGGCAACCAAAGGCCATTTTCTTTGGATTTTGAAGGCTACAGATCACGCATTTGGCCTGAGGCTATTCTTCAACGGCGATTTAGTCCATTAAGCATAGATTTTGGCGGATTTATTCCTATTCAATTTTTGGCAAATTCCAAAGGGTTAACATCACAGATTTCGTTCGATATTCTGAAATGCCATTTTCTTTCGATTCTGGAGGCTGAAGATCACGGAATCAGGCCGAGTCTATTCTCCACCAATAATGAAGTCTATTGATCATATTCTCCATGGATGATAAGTTCATTAAGCATCAATTTGGGCCAATTTATTTCAGGATGGCATTTTCATAATTTTTTGGACGACGAAAGGTCATTTTCTTTGGATTTTGAAGGCCACAGATAACGTATTCAGCCTGAGGCTATTCTTCAACGATGATTAAGTCCATTAATCACGGATTTGGGCAGATTTGTTCCGGGTCAATTTTGGCAGATTCAAAGGAGTACCATCACAGATTTCATGCGATGTTTCCGAAATGCCATTTTCTTTCAATTCTAGAGGCTGCATATCACGGAATCAGGCCGAAGCTATTCTCCACCGATAATGAAGTCTATTGATCCTATTCTCCACTGATGATAATTTCATTATGCATCAATTTGAGCCAATTTATTTTCAGATGGCATTTTCGTAATTTTTTGGACGATGAAATGCCATTTTCTTTAGAATTTGAAGGTTACAGATCATGGATTCGGCCCGAGGCTATTCTTCAACGATGATCGAGCCCATTAAGCAACGATTTGGGTGGATTTATTCCGGGTCAATTTTTGGCAGATTCCATAGGGGTAACATCACAAATTTCAGGCGATTTTTCCGAAATGCCATTTTCTTTCGATTTTGGAAACTG